GTTCTATCTTGCAAAACTATCATTTAGAATTGAGGGGCAGATAAAGAGCTTCCCAGACAAGAAAAATAAATAAAGGAGTTCATCATCACCAAACCATTATAATATGAAATGTTAAAGGTACCTATTTAAGGAAAAGAAGAATATCAAAACTATGAATAATAAGATGGCAATAAATACATACTTCTCAACAAGTGAATCTGAAAAGACAAACAAACTAAGCAACCAACATAGAGAGAGAATCATGGATATGGAAAGCATTTTGATGGTTACCAGGTGGGAAAGGGGTGTAAGGGAATGGGTGAAAGGTGAGGAGATTAAGAAGTACAAATGGGTAGTTACAGAATAGCCATGGGGATGTAAAGTACAGTATAGGAAATGAGTAGCCAAAGAACTTATCCACATGACCCATAGACATAAACAATGGTGTGTGAGGATTTGTCTAAGGAAGGTGGGGATGCTGGGTGGAGGGAAATAAAGGGAGAAAATTGGGACAACTGTAATAGCATAATCAATAAAATATAATTAAAAAGAAATACATGGATCTGTGAGCATGGAAAATCTAGAGAGTTTTTAAAATGTAGCAACAAATGTGGGGGAAGAAACACTTCCAGTTTTTCAGGCTTTTCTGATAGAAATCTGATTTAACTCACTGTATTCTGAGAGATCCAAGCACATGCAAATATATAAATGTGCTTTTTCTCCCTCTCTCATGTCTAAGGTGTCTGAATTTCTCTGTAATTACAATCAGGAGGAAGAACGTCTGGCCTGTGATGAGCAGCTCCCAGGACTCTGTCAGCTCCAGAGCACAGAAACCCACCGACGCCCACCCTTCAATAAACACTACAGACCACATGCGTGTACACTCACAGAACTTCAGGGGTTTCCATGGAGATGCGAATTTTAGTGCTAAGGCACATTTACTATAGCTTTTCTCATCACCACGAGTCCTGTAAACACTTGTGCTTTAAGATTTTGTGCAGAAATTTAGCATTTTATAGAGGACCAAGTCAGAATTACCATTTCCCAAATGCACTATATGATTTCCCCTTAGAGCAAAGTCCCTGGAACCATTTATGGCTGTGGCTTCTTTTTAGTGATATGCTTTTATTTATTAGAGTAATAAAAGATATAAAGATTTAACTCTATGTTGGTATCACTTTTAAGTGACAGATACTTGTGCTGTGTAAATGTTACAATGAATAAATATGACAACTTCCTAGGAAGTTCATAGGGAAAGAGGCAAATGTGGCCAGGAATTGAATTATTATGTGTATATTAAGTCATTTCTCTTCCCGAATACAGTGAACTGTAAATGTCATTTCTAAGAATAACTTGTGTTACATCTGTCAACTGACTAGTTTGATTTTATTTTTTTTAAGTTTTAATAAATTCATTGGGGGGACATTGGTTAGTTAATGGTTACATAGGTTTCAAGTGTATGTCGTTTGTGTATTACATCATCTGTATACATCATCTGTATGTTGCATTATGTGAATTTATTCTTTCTTATATTATTATGCTTTCTGCATATTTAAAAGACCTTTTTATAAATGTATGAAAATGGCTGGCTATTTTGTTATTTTTCCCATTTCATACATGTCCCATAACACACAGCTAGCAAGTGTCGGTAATGAGATTAGAACCCAACTCCTGACTCACTGTGCATGGTTTTTCTTGTCTTTTCCCAGGGCAGAATGCAGGCAACTTCCTCCATAGAAGGCATACCCTTTTCCTTCCTTCCTTGCTATGTGCGGCTGATAGGTTTCTGTGCCTCTGGCCTGGGCTTCATGAAATTATTCTTCTCTCTATCTTCCCCTTAACTGCCCCAGAGACTTGGCTCAGCCTAGCTTACCAAGCTTAGTGATTTCAAATCCACATAACCACTGGGAAGCAGCAGTCACAGAGAGATCGCATAGCTTGGATGTACACATGAGGGCCCTGTAGGGAAGCAGATTTCTAGTTCCAGTTATATTGACCAAGATATACTAAGCGGATTGGATGACAGACTTGAGTAATTTGCGCAAAAATCCAATCTGAGCAGACACATGGCCTGGATATTCTTTCAAGTCATGAAAAAAGCTCTTACAGCGCAGATTTTTCAGGGTGGAGTTGGAACTGTTTGAATGACTGTCTCAGCTCTCACTTATGATACTCATGTAGCCAACAACCTCTGAATTACCTCAGCAAATAACTCTGTTAAAGCTACCTGATCTTTACAATGCCCCTCCCCCCAACTTTTTATGTGTGTGTATGTTTGTTTGTTTTTTTGCACCAGGTCTCATTCACCTTGTAGATGCAGGCTTTTTGTTTCGGTGGGGTTTTGTTTCCATCTGAAAAAAAGACTCTGCTTTTGCTGTCTGACTAAAGATGGAGTCTGGGCAGAGGAAGAGCTCTTAACTAAGAGGCCTGCTCTGGGTCCAACCCCTGCAGAGCCCGATGTGGAGCTCCATGGCTCAGGATGGAAAGCCACTGCCAGGCTCTGAGCATCTTGGGAAGATCAAATGATAGAAAGGATATGAAAATACTTTGCTAAGTGTAAAATGAGCATCCCAAAATAGGGTACTTTTTGAGAACCATCTAACATTACACAATGCCACTTATTTTTAGTGTTAAAAAAGCAAATAATGACTCACCTCACAGAGCTTTTACTTGAATGTGGACTTTATTCATTTAACAACAGATGACTAAATCATCTTCATTATGATTATTTCAGTATGTTTCAACCTTCTCAACCCAACTAGGCAGCAACTGAGAGTGCCACCTAGGTCAAGCTTCACGTATCATAAAAGCCAAAATCATGGGAACTGTTATTTGGTTGTAATCTAACATCTTCTCCCATCACATACCATGTGCAGCCTGTAGGGTCCCAGAATTACAACTCTAGGTTCAGACAGACTTTGGCTATTACTGCCTGAGACTAATTCCTCATTCTTTTTGAATGGAAATTTTAATTCTGTGCTGTTCATCCACAGAATACCTCTGAGTGATTAACTATTTTTCCAAGCTATAGAAATGCAGGGACAACTCAGCTTTCCTGAACTCCAAAGCTTTGTCTGTTTCTCCTCCAAATTCTATTCGGGCATCAAATTGAATTCGCTCTTAATCAAATGCATTTTATCTATACTTGGCAGGGATCTAGAAGTAAAAATACAAGATTTATTTTATTTTTATTCTACTATGATGCATTTAATCACAAATACCTCAAACGAAAAGTTAATTTATCATTTCTCCGTGACTGAGCAACACTCCTGAGTTGACATTCATGAATCCATAATGTAGGGAGGAGACTGGATGATTAAGTGTCCGATTAGAGAAAACAGATTAACCTGGCAAACATAATAAATTTAGCTCATAAGCAGGATGGCTTTATAAGTGCTCACAATAACTCTCCCATATAAAATCATGAACCACTTTCTTCAGTGATGACTAAATTGCAATAGTTGGGGAATATAAAGCAAATGCATGTTTACGACTTTCTTTTTGAGATTAAAAGGCTACTGAAAGGCATATCTGATTCAGTCTATAGCAAGATATATTGAATAGGGAATGCATAAGAAAAAATATAAACTCATTAAAAAAACAAAGCTCCTACCTCTCAAGTGTTCTAGTTTTCACTTTGCCAATGATTATATCTGCTCCCTGGTGCTCTCAATGTTTTTCTAGGTAGTCTCTGTTTCCAAAAGGCAAAGACATGCAGATACATCCTTAACCTTCATAACAAAACCTGATTCCTTTATAAAAGCTGCTGCATTTTAAGGTAGTTCTGTCTCGCTGTGACAAAATATAAAATTAGCAAGATATCTCAGCCTTTGAGTCAGAAGGGAAAAAAACCCTTCCTTTTAGCTGAGATTCCATTTACATCAGAATAAAAATCTAGGTTATGACTTATTTGAAGGAAAGGCCTGAGCAGTGCTCCAAAAACTGCACTTTGCAAGCAGTCTGCCAGGCTTCCTTACTTAGCTGGTTAGTGTTCCTGGCCTCTCTTTCTGAGCAGTGAGAAAAAGGATACTCTTCATTCCCAGCTTTATTTTTAAACTCACATGGCTGTGTTCCTGCAGACCTCTGCTGGCCTACCTGGCCTGAGAGAGAAGAGTCAGGCCCTGCTCTGTCACATGCACCTAAGTCACGCTGAATAAGGGACTTGCTCTGCTTGTCTGTCTAAAACCAGACCGCTGTTAGGGACTGGGCAGGGGAGGCGGGAAGGCGAATGGGCTGCCTGAGAGAGTGTTGTCTTTAATGAAGGCCCCCATCCAGAGCCAGGTAAATTTCATTTCCCACTGGGGGAAACTGGTACCTGGAGGTCTAGTGGAACAGGGGCCTGTGCACCCTTCCTTTCTGCTTTCTTCTTCCTCACCCTTCCCACTCTGAAGTAGATCTTAGGTTGGCGGGTGGTGACAGAGAGGGGTCCAGAGGGAATGAGGTGCATGGGCGTCCTCACGCTGAGGACGCTGAGCCAGGTGCACAAGCACACATTCTGCAGGGGTATGTGTGGTGGGAAGCAGGGAGGGGTTTTTGTGTTGTTGTTATTTTTTTTTAAGGCCAGTCCTTTCTCCCATCTTGGCTGAGATATTTTCTTTGGAGGCAGGATCCAGGATTTTTTCCACAGGCATAAAGGAGTTTGGAGAGCTAGAGGGGGGCGTACTTCTAGTGGGTGTACTTGTGTGTGTATTCGTGTGTACACCAACATTTGTAGGCTCGACGAGTTAACTTTATAACTTCAGCCATCAAAGTTGCAGGACTGTCCAAAGGCTTGGGAGGGGTGTCATTGGTCAGGTACCGCGCCAGGGCTGCATTTTAATCACTGGGTTTCGGGCGGTGGGGGTGGAGGGGAGGTGTGGCGTCAGTGCGCCTGGGGTGAGAAGGGCGGGGCGCGTGTCCAGGGTGGGGAAGGGGATCACGTTGGGGGTGGCGGCGTTGGGGCGGGCCCCTTGGCTGGCGTTCTTGGCCCGCTGCGCCTGCGCGTGCGCTGTTGTGTCTCCTGCGCCGGGTGTCTCCGCGCGGCGGGGTTGGCGTTAGCACTGGAGGCAGCCTTGGGTTGATAGTCCGCTGCTGTCGCCTAGACGTCCTCCTGGAGCAGATGGAGGCAGCCCGCGGCCGCTAGCGGGAGGGCAGCGGCTGCGAGGCCAGGGCGACACTGGGACCTCCGCAGCTGCCACCGGTGGGGCAAGACGACCAGGCTTTAAGAGCGAGGTGTGCTGGGGATTGGGAGGGAGGACCCACAGGCTGCCAAACTTGTTTGAACCAACTGTAGTGGAAGAAGCTCCAGAGAGAGCATTTGCATAATTTAACCCCCCTTCCCCCACCTTTTTTTTTTATGGGAAAACAGCGTCCCCAGGGAAAGAGAGACTGACGTCTCCAAGTCACACACCTATTAAGTGGAAGAACCTGGACTAGAAACCGGATCTGGTTTACCAAGGTTTTTTAAACATACTGTTTTCACTGGAGTGGAGATGAGTAATACAGTACAAGTAATTCTTATTATAAAATATTTGATTTTGGAAATATGGATGGTGCTATTACTTGGGCATTCAGGAGTATGTATATGATTTAGTGCTGGAAAAACTCAGCCATTCCATCCTCCTTGTGCTTCAGCTCCTCATCTCTTCATGAAACACTTACTGGGCAGTTCTTTGTGCCAGGCACTCTGCGGGAAGCTGAAGGTGTAGAGATAAACAAGAACCAGCCCTCCACATTAAGCAGAAGAGAATATTCCCCAGACACCAGAAACTGACGCAGGTAGAGGAAATGCAGTGGGCATCAGATACGAGGCTCCGTGGAGACTCGGAGGGAGGTCTCATTTCTGGCTGACTGGAGGAGAAACTCAGGGAGGGAGCAGCATCTGACCTGGATCTATAAGAGTAGGTCATATGGGGACATTTAGAAACGGGCAGTGCATTCCAGGTAGAAGGTTCAGTGTTAGCAACCCTGAATTCCAGGTGAGCGTGAGGAATGAGGAATAGTTTGCTTTGCCTAGAATGTAGGGGTGAATAAGGAGGCTATCATTATAGAGGGGACAAGATAAGGGAGCTTTGGAGGGATTCTAAGCAGAGAATGGCAGTGCTGTGGCTGTGGCTGGCTAATCTGGCTGGCAAGGGGAATCTCAGCTGCAGTGAGGATGTAGGACCAAGGGTCCTTGCAGCCCTGAGGCCTTGTGAATTAGCCCGTCTGGGGCCACGTCTGTGTGGCAGGACTGTGGTGAAACATGCAGCTGGAACAGGAAAGGGTCCGAATTGAACTGGGAGGCTGTCAGACTGCAGGGGTAGCCTGTCATGGTGTTTCAGACTCCCACCGCATTCCTGGGAGTCGTTTATGAAAAAGTGCTCTTGGCAGTCCTGTAGCATAGGTGTCCTCGTGGGCACGAGCAGCAGTTCATCAGACTGTTTGTCTCTCTGTGCAGGGGGCAGTTATTATTATTTTTTGATGCATCCCTAGGGACCAATATGGAGCTATAAACAGGGCAGCCTGTTTCAGCAGCTGGAAGGGAAATCGGTTGCACAAAGATTATACACTTACCTTCCTGCCACTCTTTATTTTAAACTGGTCAAAGAATTCTGTGCATATGAACTGTTAAAATGAAATATTTTTACCTTAAAGGTGAGACAGTACAGTAGAGGACTTTATAAATGTATCTTTAATTAGTTCTGTGTTATCATCTATGAAGTTCTATGTTACGTACTTGTCTCTGAATGAAATGGATAGAAGTGGTCCATGTAAATCAAATTAACTCAAGCCAGACACACGATAGCCATTTCCCTAAGGTCTGAGTCTGGGCCTCTGGATCGAGGGTGTCAAACTCACTTTCACCGGGACCACATCTGCCTTGCGGTTGCCTTCAAAGGGCCCCATGTAATTTCAACTCCTTAACAGTTAAGGGATAGTTACATTTATACAGTCTTAAAATTATTTCAGCCCTTTGAAGGCAACCCAAGGCTGCTGTGGCCCCCGGTGACAATGAGTTTGATGCCCCTGTAGATGCTTCTAGCTTTACCTTAACACCTTACCTGCTGGAGACGAGCAGGGGTCCCCCCAGGCTCTACTTCTTATTACTCACTGGTTCCACATGTGAATGTTTAGAAACTTCCTGTGTTGGCATATGAAATACATATTCTGTGTTCCTGCTTCTTTATCTAATGGGTACTTGGGAGGAGTGGCAAGACGAAAGTCTGTCTCACAGCAGTTCCTTTGGTGAGTGATGTTAGTGAGTGGCATAAAGCAGGAGTGTGCAGTCTGGTATGAGAAGACAAACCTGGACTTGAAATCTGGTTCCATCACTCACTCCAAGTGGCTTTGGGTCTGACATGTAAGTCATCGGATCTCAGATTCTTCGTCTGTGAGATGGTGGTCTCAATAATCAGCTCACAGATATCAAGCAGTCTCTGACAGTGTGCGAGGAGGGCTCCGAAATGTCAGCAAGGGAGGCCCTATAAATGTGCATGTGGAGAAGCAGGTAGGATTCGGAGCCTGGCCCCGGAGGCAGGCTAATCTGAGGGCAGGTGTGGGTTCTGCCCTTTCCTGCTGTGTGATTTTGGATGAGTTCCTAACTGCCGTGAATATCAGGTTCCACTCTTTCAAATGGAGGAAGTAATTATATCTATTTTGCAGTATCGATTTGAGGATTACGTGTAGCCCATTTTCTGGAAAATAGAATGAGAGAATATTATAGTTGAAAGGGACCTGAGAAAGCCTCCTTACCCTAACACCCTCTCATCTGCACCCCCACGATGGGAATTTTATTTTTATCACCCCTGACTGTGTTGAAATATTTCCAGTGACAGAAACAGCTCTCTGTACAAGGTGCTCCATTCCATTATTGGATCTTCTTCAAGTAAAGAAAAATATTCTTCGCGTGCAGCTCAAAATTACTCAGTGTAGCCTGTACATATTAGTCCTCTTCTATACTCCGTTAAAAAAAGATTAATCTTTTTTAAATTGTTATTTTTTATTTTGAAGTAACTGTAGATTCATATGCAGTGGTAAGAAATAATACAGAGAGATTCCTTGTACCTTTAGCCAGTTTCCCCCAATGGTAACAACTTGCAGAACCGCAATACAAGATCACAGCCAGGAGACTGACATTGACTTCTCCATCACCATCACCACTAGAATCTCTCGTGTGGCCTTTATGTAGCCACACCTACTTCCCTGTCTTCCTAACCTTCTGCAGTCACTATTGGTTCTCTATGTCTATAATTTTGTCATTTCGAAATGTTATGCAAATAGAATCATACATTATGTAACTTTTGTCATCTTTTTTTCACTCAGCGTAATTCTCTGGAGATTAATCCAGGTCCTTGCATGCATCACTAGTTTGTTCTTCTTTGTTCCTTAGCGGTAGTGTTTGATAGTCTGGCTGCACCACCGTTTGTTTAACCATTCACCTCTGCAAGGTCATCTAGGTGGTTTCCAGGTTTGGCTATTATGAATAAGCTGCTATAAACATTTGTGCGCAGATTTTTGCATGATTGTAAGTCTTCATTGTCTTCTGTCTCTGGAATAAGTGGCTAGGAGTGCACTTTCTGGGTCATATAGAGGTTGCAGGTTAAGTTTTTTAAGAAATTGAGACTTCTCCCAAAGTGGCTGCACCGTTTTGTGTCCTCAGTCATCCCGCATCCCTGCCAGCATGTTGTGGTCGCTGGTTTTATTTTGACTGTTGTGATTGGCATGAGGGAAGTCTCGTCATGGTTTTAATCTGCATTGTCTGAATGGCTAGTGACATTTAATGTGGCTTACTTGACATCTGTGTCTCTTCCATGTAAGGTGTTCTTGTGTGTTTTGCTCGAGTTCTAATTATATTCTTTGCTTTTTTTTCTTGCTGAGTTTTTGAGAGTTCCTTATATGTTCTCCAAGCTAGTCTTTTATTGGATATGTAGTTTGCAAATAGTTTCTCCTACTCTGTAGATTTTTTCTTTTTTGGTGCCTTTAACAGATCTTTTACAGGGCAAGTGTTTAATGTTGCAGACATCTGATTGTCAGTCTTTCCCTTATGGACAATACTTTTGGTAACATGTCTAAGAGCTCTTTGCTTACCCCCGATTCCAAGATTTTCTCCTACATGTTTTTTCTCTGTGCTTTACAGTTTTATATCTCGCATTTAAGTTCATGCCCCCTTTTGCATTATGTTTTTGTATAAAGTGTGAGACTTAGGTTGACTTTTCCCCCCAGTGAACGTCCAATTCCTCTAGCAAAACAATTTGTTGAAAACCTTTTTTTACAATACCGTGTGACTTTGGACAAGACCAGTCACCTACCAGGTTCTGTCTCCTCTGTCCGGGAAGTGAGGGGGTTGGTTGTACTGGGACTGGTGGCTGTTATTCCAGCTCCATTCCTGGAAGGTCAGGGGTCCCAAGAGCCTCGTCAGCAGCAACGATAAAGAGCTGATGGGATCCTCATGCCCCCACCCGACTTCATTCAGGGCAGCTCGGCTTTTTGTGTTGTATATTTTTGAGGATCTATCTGATATTTGATTTGGTACGGTGCCCCACTGCTAAAAACAAGGTTGCAGAGCACTGAGTACAGTAGTATCTGAAGTACCTTTCTGCAGTAAATTGCTGTGATTCTAAGTGTTTGGTGTCAGAAATTACTTTTCTCCTTACATACTAGCCTTCAGGCTCCTCTCTTAGTTTATTGAGACCTTACGCATATGAAATATTTTCCTTGTTATCCTGTCATCTCTCCTTTTAAAAATGACAGGCTTCATGAAATCAGTTAAATTGCTTTGCATAAATCAGCTTACAAGTTACATGTCAGAATTTAAAATGTGTTAAATATATTAAAATTTTGCAGTGGAATCATCCATTCTACAGAATCATTGTGGCTGAAAGAGAGGATAAGACATTAATATCACACATGAGCCATGAACCAATCTTCAGTGTTTACAGGTAGCCACCCCTTTCTCACCATTCACCTGCCTACTCTTGCCAGTTTACAAAGCACTCGCAAACAGCTCTTAGACAGTCTCCTGAGGCAGCAGCTGCAACTTTTTGAGATCAACAATTCAGCCTGCCTTATACTTTCTGCCTGCTTTCAAAATGAAAAAACTGAGACTTATACAATTTGAATAACTTTCCCTAAGTAACTGAACTAGTAAGTAGAAGACCTGCAACAAGAACTCATACTTCAAAAAATATTTTATTTATTTATTTATTTATTTTTTCAGAGAGAAGGGAAGGGAGGGAAAAATAGAGGGAAAGAAGCATTGATGTAAGGGAGAAACATTGATTGGTTGCTTCTTGCCTGAACCCAGACCCGTGGACCAAACCTGCAACTTAGACATGTGCCCTGATTGGGAATCAAACCGGTGGTCTTTTGCTTTTCAGGATGACGCCCGACCGAGCCATACAGGTCAGGGCAAGAGATCATATTTTTAATGCCTATTCCAGTTATTGTCCACACTATATTGTATAATATTAAGGTTTCAGCGGGTATTTTCCAGAAGTTGGCATTGTCTACTGTCATTATTTACCTGTAAAATGGGCTAATAACACAATAAACTCAAATAGTTGTAGATTTTTAAAAATTAAATAGGGTTAATTGAGAGAGTGCATTTGAAAAAATTGTTATACTACAGAGTGCTCTCTGTTTGAATGATGGTTGTTATTTTGGGCTTGGCTAGGTCTCGGAATTCTAGCCGGCAGCTGTGTGTGCTTGCTGATTCCTATTCATTGGAAATGTGTCTGTTTATATTGTAGTATATGATCTATTTTTCCTTTAGTACCCATGTGGCCAAGTTGTGAACTGACATATTAATAAGACTCAAACATGTTTGAGAGGGTGGTTAGACTTAATGGTTTCCATAAAGTTGTTTTAATAGTTATCTTTCAACAGATGGACAGTTTATACTGGACCACATTTCGGTGCCAGGGTGATGATTGAAGTTTTCAACAGATGGCACACAAATACTTGGGAAAACACCCTCCCAATATTGTTATAAAAAAGACTTGAAGAGTGCCAGAAAAATGATGGTTTATATCCCCAAGTCCTTAGCCTGTGCTATCATAATTATAATTTAGATGATTTGGAAGTTTCCCTTTCTGGCACTTGGATTTATTTTGTATATTAGATGATGAGGAACACTGTGTTGTCAATTAGATATTCAGCATGGATTTAGCATTAAATCTTTTGATTATTGATGGACATATATAACTTCCTATTCTACTTCTGTGCCATATATAGAAAATGTAACTTTCCATAAAAATAAATTGTAAGAGACTTATAGGCATTTTTTCTGAAAAGTATTGATTCATAAGGAAAAACAAGCTTGTCAAACTTAGAATTTTCAGATATACTCCTCAATAGGATGAATTTCCCAGACTTCTAAGTTACCCCACTTCAGGGCTGACCACTTTACACTGTTTCTGGAATCAGTAAGTGAGGAATCGGACAGTAAGCAGAGCAGCGTGGGTGGGGTCAAGCCTCTGGGGGTATTGATGGCCATTGCAATGACAAAGGGCATTTACTGAGATTTTGTGGGTGGAGGCCAGAGTGCCTAGATTTGCACAGCACAGTCCAGCACAAAGAAGCAATGCCCTGTGTTCTACTAGATGCCCCACTATCTGGCTGGACACTCATCTGAGCCTGGAGCTTAGGTCTGCTTAAATGAACTCAGAGTAAGTTTTGTAATACAGTGTTTTTTTCCCCCCACAGAATATTAGCACCCACCCATACCTCTGCTCTTTGATTTTATTATGCTGCTGTATGAAAGGTTGAAAGACTTCTCACCTTCTGCTTTTGAATCCTGACTTCATGCTCAGTAAGTGCAAGTATTTATGTACTTTATTATGTCTTTTTATGTAGTTATCTACATGGTAAAACAAATAGTCATATAAATGTCCTTCCCTTTTCTATTCCAAATAGGGCACCATATTAATATTTTTGAAGTCTTGTCCATAGGTAAGTAATATTATCTGTGAATTTCTGGATTTAAATAGATAATTATAAAGTGCTTATTATAATAAAGGGGCCCTGAGACTAATCAGGATGAGAAGCATTGCTACAGAAACTTAAGCAATAGCAGACAAAATCTTTCTCCACTTGTTCTCTTATGCACATGTAATTCAGTGTTGGAATCATTCAAACAGTCAAGGGCATGAGTCTAGGTCTTTAATAGGGACTGTAATCCTAATAAATTCTGTCTCCTTTTGTTTGTATGGAAGTTTCAACTGATTTTCTTTTGGCAAATTGCATCAGCTAGATTTTCTTTATGTCTGTCATTACAGATGGCGTTTAATGGTTGCTTTAGTTTGAAGTATCCTGGCAACCCTCAGCCAGGGGACTTGATCGAAGTGTTCCGTCCTGGCTATCAGCACTGGGCCCTGTACTTGGGTGATGGCTACGTCATCAACATAGCACCGCTAGGTGAGGTTTGTTTCCAGTGCTCCTGGGGGCTTCTTCGTTGTCTTATTACAAGAAAGAATCATGCACAGAATCACAAAATTAAACAAAATAGGATGAGAAAGTAGATGAATACAGCTGATCCAGGTTTAGGGAAGAACATTTTAAGACCAAAGTGACATTGAAGAAATCACAAAGGCCAATCAAGCATACAAATATAAAACTTCTGGTTTAAAAAAGAAAGCACCGTTAAAAAGGAAAGAATCCACTGGGAGCAATAATTGCCACAAGCATGACAATAGCAGCGTTTTCACATACCGCGCAAATTGGTTATTTCAATTTATTCATTCATTTGTTTATAGATTACTATGTGCCAAATGCTGTTCTAGGTGCTGGGGGCACGTGAACCTCTCCCAGTGTGGTGGAGCTTACTTTCTATTTGTGGAGGGTAGAGTGAATGAGAGAGAGAGAGAGAACAGTGTTGGAATGAAGGTAAGTCAATAAGTAATACGAAGAAAATAAATCATAGAAGCAGGATAAGAAGTGATAGGAGGTTGTGTGTTTTTAAATGAGGTGGTTGGGAAAAATCTCATAAGAAAGTAACATTGGGGAAACAACTTGAGATGAGAAAACCAGACGGATGATATTTGGGAAAAGAGTCTCTCGAGCCAAGTGGACAGTGAACACCCAAATCCCTCAAAACAGACAGGTAAATAGTTATGGAACGGTTTGTAGAAGAAGAAAGCAAAAGTCAATACCTGTTTTAGCTTTTTTTGTCATCTAAGAATTGTCAAATAAAATGACAGATTTTATGCAGGTTACATTAGTGAAGGTTAAAAAATGGTAGCAATCATTGCTGATAAGGGTATAATGAAATGAGTACAAAGATATCGTTGATGTAAATATAAGTTGATAAAATGATTCACAAAAACAATTTAATAATATGTGTTAAGAGTCTTCAAAGAGCTGACGTGCTCTGAGCCTGCCATTGGTTTTCTACGAATCTGCTCTTGAGAGATATTTAAGGGGTGTTGACTGACAGTCCTGTGAAAGGGTGTTCACATCTATCTCACTTATAATGGTTTAAAAAACAGATAATGGCTTAATGTTCAGTAGGGGAATGGTAAACAAATTATTATTTAACCACAAAATATTAGATATCTGTGTTTAGCAAGATTCTTCAGCTGCAAGTAACAGTAATCAACTCAAATGAGCTTAAATGACAAGATCACTAATTGTTTCACTAAGGAAAACTACAAAAAAGGGACAGATGGTGCTGGCCTCAGGGGTGCCTCGACCGAGAAGTTTGAACACTGTCAAGACCCTCCCTCTCACATCTGTCATCCTCATTCCCTTGGGCTCCATCTCTCTGAGAAGCTGAACTGACCTTCAGCATAGTCAGGCCCTCATTCTTCTAATCCTGTGACTCAACAGAGGAGATAGCAAATCCTTGCCTGTTGCAGTTAGTAACTCTAATTCCTCTCGTCTGGGCCCTGTACCCATTGCTGAACCATCACTAATGCCCAGGACAATGGGACACTCACTGGCCTAGAGAAAGTCTTTTCCAGAAAAGAGAGGCAGTGATGGGATGAGGTGCTGGATAGAAAAAAAACAGTAGCCACTAAAGACCGCATTTCTGGACATGTTTAATTGCATAAGTGATGATTCTTGTATGATATTTATTTGAAAATTCCAGATTAAATGCAACATGTAATAAAACTCAGTTTGCAAAAAAAAAAAGAATATGTACACATGCATGAATGCACCTATACGTGTGTTAATAGAAGAAATAATAGAAGTACATTAAAATAATCGTAGTTATTTCTGGGTGGCAACATGCTGGGTGATTTATATTTATGTGTTTATGCTGTATTTTTCTGTACCTTCTAAATGTTTAGAAATGAGCACAATTTTTAAGAAAAATGCATACAGATAAATAGCCTAGAGTATTTCCCCCCTCAGGGTACCTTTAAAAAGAAGTGTTTATAGGCCTAAGTCTTACTATATTGAGAACTTTTAATGAAGTAATTTTAGCAGTATTTTGAGATAGTTTCTTCTTATTCCAGGATATTGAAAATGGAAATAACAAGTAAAAATGACATTTATAATGCAGAACTGGTAGTTTCTGTAGAGCCCAGTGATTAACACTTAGCAGCTCTCTGCATTATCCCTGTAACTTTCATATCTGGAAAATAACATGAGTCTTTGGCATTGTTTCCTTATTTTCATGTTGTAAGTTGCATATTAATGTGGTCGAGTCACTGAGCTATGATTCCGTAGGCTGAAATTTAATTCCTGTTCCTGCTGTTAACTACTCATGTGATATTTTGCAAGTAAGTTTCCCTCCCCAAGCTTCAATCTCCTCATCTGCAAATTGATTACATCAAGAGTAGTAAAAAAAAAGTTTAGTAATTCTAATTAGGATATATGTGATCAAAGACCTTGTCATGTGTAAGAACTTCCGATGTGCGAGCTTTGGAAATGCTGCTCCAATGATTAGGACCCTGGCAGATAGAACAAGAGAGGAGTAGGAAAGAAGGTTTTCTTTCAGTCGTTACTAAAAGGCAAAGTGTCTAAACACTAGGGATGTAGAGACCCTTCCTCTCGTGATTTGTTGGAACAATGGCGGTCTTGGGCAGATGGAGAGGGACTGGAGCCTGGAGTTGGAGCTGGCACTGAGGAATTGTCTGTCCAGCCTCAGACGCCAACTGTGGCAGGTCAGGATCCAGGGGTCCCTGGAAGTTTAGGCAAATGCTTACCCATAGAGGCAGCGAAGACAAAGTGACGGGGCGTGGGGCCTTCTAACAGGTGGGTAAGCCACAGCATGAGGCCACATGTAGCAGACAGTGCATGTTAGGTTACGCTCAGGTTCAGGACCAAAACTTCAGTGTCTTGGCCAAAGAAACTGGCAAGACAAAAGTGGTGACTCCGTCTGACCCCAGCTGACCCCTCAAAGGAGTGAGGTATTGTGCAGATTGCAAATTGGACCCAAATGGAAGCCTAGTTGAAAGAATAAGTGTAAAAAGTTGAGGTGAGGGTGAGGAATGCAGCTTAGACGCAAGTACAGCCCTGCTAATCATAACGCACTGCTGCTAAAGCCCACAGTGTTAGCTGGGAAGGGCTCACATGCTGAAAAAGAGATTGCTGTGCAGAAAATGCGGATAACGATCCTATCTGTACTATGTTAGAAACATGTATCAAGCTCTCTAGCAACAATACCAATTGAGAGAGAACTTTTCACTCAAAAGGGGGTACAGTTTTCTCACCAATTTGCTCTTGGGGAGATTTAAATTTTCTGAAGTTTTCTTGCATTCTCATTCCTACAGTAGTGAATAAGTGTATTGTTAAATTACAATGAGTGCTTAGATTATCAGATCTTAAACTGGTAAGATTAAGTGATTTCTGGTTTGATGATAAGTGTGGAACAGAGCTGGCTTTAGTTATCCCAGCACTTTCAGTCTTTAGATGGTGTGGAGTTCCCTGGGCCGGGCCACTGTAGCTTGATAACCAGAATTCTCCTTATAGAGGATGGTGTTCCTGCATCATTTACAAGCGCCAAGTCTGTCTTCAGTAGAAAAGCCCTGGTGAGGATGCAGCTTCTGAAGGATGTTGTGGGAAACGACACATACAGAATAAACAATAAATACGATGAAGCATACTCCCCTCTCCCCACGGAAGAAGTCATGCAACGGTCCGAGTTCGTTATTGGACAAGAGGTGGAGTACGACGTTCTGGTCAACAACTGTGAGCATTTTGTGACTTTGCTTCGCTATGGAGAAGGAGTTTCAGAGCAGGTGAGTTTTCTTTAAGAGATATGTAAGGAGTTCCTTGTGTTGGGAAAAGAATATTGACTGTGAGAAGGTTCCCAGGCCTCACACAAAATGACAAAAATAAGAGAACACTGACAGACAAAGAAGAGAATTGAGTTGTTCAATCAAGGTCATGCAGCAAGTTAATGGCCAAACTGAGAATAGAGCATTAATGTCATAAATTTGGAGTAGAAGGGACTTGAAGCAGAACCAAGACCATAGCTTTCTGCTAGTTGTCTTCTGTCCTTCAATTTTTCCCCTCATTACTCCACCATACAACAATCTTAAATCAGTAACTTCATATCCTGAAAATATGTGCTGAAAAGATTGTTGACCTTTTTGTGTGGGAGTTCGTTTGCCAAAAACAGAAAGTAATTCTAACACTTTTTCATGAGCTGACAGAGGCCACCTGGTGACATATCCTGACGGGTTTGTAAATGTTTTCTATCAACTTACAATGCTAGTTTCAAAGAAATTTTGTGCCGTTAGGTGATTCATTGAGATTTTGGACTATTTTTAATGGAGTAATTGACCTTATTTTTAAAGTAGCTTGCAACTTTGTCATTTACCTTCACTATTTTGAAATGTGGCAGATTTGTGACTAAAAGTATGCCAGAGTCAATTGCTTGTTCCCCTGCCTGTCATCCCACCAACCCAATTCCATCATTCTATTTTAACCTAAAGAATTTTAAAGTGTTATAAGAAAATGAACATATAAAGCCTTCCAGTATCTTGAAATGTTGGATCAGTTATATAAACATCTATTCTAAGGAATGAGTTTAAAATTCTTCTCATGGAAGCTTAGGAAAATGGGAGATAAAACATAGTAAAAGGACACATTTGTTTCCCTTAGGAAATGATTTTACTAGAAATTAATTTTCGCTAGGAAATGCATTAACATAATGAATGTGCTACCCACATGGAACAATAAATTGCTTCTGGGTCAGAGCACAGAGTATACACACACAAATTTCTGCTCACATATGCTTTGGAGACTAGTGGTATAGCTAGAACTTGAGTCCATTTTTCTCTGTTGTTAAATGGTAAAATTCCACTGCACTCAATGAGCCATTTTTTAAAAAAATGTCTAAACTAAAAAGAATTGGAATCATCTTCTTGCTTTGACTCTCACTTGCAGTCCATCATCTTTTCACCTTTCATACTCAGAATCAAGAGCAGTAAAAACTCATCATCCCTCAGCAACCAGTAGAAAGGTTCCCCAGCAGGTCCTGACGAAGAGGGTACAGTGAGAGTCCAGAGAACCCACCTAAGCTTTGGAAGTCGGCTGACCTGGGGTAGAGCCCCGTCTTCCCCAGCTACTAGCTGGGTGACTTTGGGCACATTGTGTATCAGTTTCCTAATTTATACACTGAAGTGGTTTTGTAAATGACAGGAGATATTTGAAATCCCTTAGCATTCTGTATTACATATTATCCATTCTTATAAACAGTGGATATTATTCTTAATGGCACTATTTGGGGAATTTTATAGATCTCTGTTGGCACTCTTTAATAAAAACCTCTGCTGATCTAACAGGAAATATAGCACTTTAATGACTATTTCTATTACTGTCAATAATTAATAGTATTACTACTAGTAATAGCTGGTCATAGATTAGTTTTTTTGGTCCCCTTAAGGCTTAGGGGTCTTGAGCTTAGAACAGTTCTCCTGGGGAATGGCTATGGATTTCCTCCAATTAAAAAAGAACTGTGAATGCATTTTTAAAAATGAGAAAGATATTATTGTTGCTCTCTCTTTTTCTTCTTTGTGCTTTTCTATATTTAAAAAAATTTAATAAACATTATTTTTTAGAGTAGTTTTAGGTTCACAGCAAAATTGAGCTCAATGTAGAGCGTTCCTGTAGCTCCCCACCCCCCACCGCACATGCACAGCCTTCCCCACCATCTACGCCCCTCACCCGTGTGGTATGTTGCTCACCAAAGATCAACAACATCGGTGCGTCATTATCACTTAAAGTCCCTAGTGAAAGAAACCAGGGTGTGCTAGCCCAAAATATATCACTTTGACATGAAGATTATTTTGAGATGAAGACATTGAGAAGAAACAGAGACACAAAAAGCTCCTTGCCTCCTGTTTGCCTGAAAGCAAGACATGTATTTTCACAGGTTTCCTTCCTCTCTCTACCAGGAGGGACACAGTTTAATCCCTGGGGACAGCCTGGGGTTAAGGTAAGACACTTACCAGCTTGGAGAGGGCAGCAGAGGAGTAATAACGAACTCGACTGACTAGGCTGTGTCTGCCCCTGGTTCCCCATGTGCTTACTTTCCTACAGTTTGCTGTCCTTGGAAGCCTAAAACCAGTTTCCTTTGTCCTGTCATTTCCCTACAACCACCTGCTCTTTCTTGAAAATGCTGTATAAGCCTGAATTCTAAGCTACATTTTTGAGTTTCTCTTCCCTGAGATGTACATGTTGATACACTTCTGTGCTTTTTTTCTTGTTAACCTGTCTTTTATTACAGATAAAAGACAGGTTATATGAGAACCTAAGGTGGGTAGAGAAAATATTTTTCCTCGCATTAAAATAATTTGCATTAGGGTTCACTTTTTCTGTTGTACATTCTGTGCGGTTTGGCAAATGTGTCATTACAGTATCATACAGAGTTGTTTTCACTGTCCTGTAAATCCTCTGTGCTCGGGGCCAATTCACCCCTTCTTCCCCTTAAACTTTTGGTAACCACTGATCGGTTTACTGTTGCCATAGTTTTACCTTTTCCAGAAGGTCATTTCTTATACTAAGAAATATGCATTTTAAAGTCCTTCATATCTTTCCGTGGCCTGGTAGTGCATTTCTTTTTATCACTGAATAATAAATAGTTCATGGTCCGGATGTCCATTCACCTACTGGCGAACGTTTTGGTTGCTTCCGAGTTTTGGCAGTGATGAATAAAGTTACTATAAACATCTGTGCAGGTTTTTGTGAAAATGAAAGTTTTCAGCTCCTCTGGGTAAATACTAAGGAGTGTGATTGCTGGATTGTCTGGTATGAGTGTGTTTAGTTTTATAGGAAACCACCAAGTTACCTTCCAAACTGGCCGTCCCATTTTGCATTCCTGTCGTCAGTGAATGAGAGGTCCTGCTGCTCCCCATTCTCACCAGCATTTGCTGTTGTTGGTGTGTTGGAATTTAGCCATTCTGATAGGTGCATGTTGGCTTCTCGTCTTAATTTGCAATTGCCCAAATACCTGTGGTGTTGGGCTTTTCATAGGCTTATTTGCCATCTACATATCATATTCGGTGATGTGTCATTTGAGATCTTTTGTCCATTTTTAGTCGGGTTGCTTGCTTGTTTTCTTATTGTTGAGTTTTAAGAGTTCTTTGCATATTCTGGATAACAATCTTTATCAGATTTGTCTTTTGCAAGTATTTTCTCCTGGCCTGTGGCTTGCTTTTCTATATATATTTTTTAAATTTTCTAAAATCAACATTTCTTACAATTGCGCCTCACTATTTCTCACTGTTTAATAACTTTAATAAGTTATGAAAATGTGTCTCTCTTCGTGGAAGCTGGCAGGACCCCTGAACAAGCCCGGGCAAGGCGACAAGCAGCGCACCCGACTGTGCTGTGCTGCCTCGCTCTGCAGCCGGAAAGTCTGGAGGAGGGGCTGTTTCATTGCGCATGTGTAGACCCTCCTAGCGAAGCCTTTATAGTGTCCCACAGCCAGTCGGATTTGGTGTTTTTTTATAATCCTAAATCATATGATAAGACATAAAGGAAAAGCTTTGTTCACGCTGATTCACCGAGAACAGCCTTGCCTGTTTTAATCTTGCAGGTCAGATCCCATTACATATAACTCCAAGGGATTGTTCAAACTACGTGGGGTTTTACCATCTAGAATGCAACTTGAAATAAGCGTTTGGGATTTGAGAAAATGAACACCCTGCCAGAAGTGGCTTTATTATTACCGTATCTGGACTGTGCACTCTGGCTTAGGATCAGGTTGCCTATCTCGTTCCCCAGCCTCTCAGAGGCACATGGGATTTCTGTCACACTTTGTGTTTCTAAGTGGCTGAAAAATACCCAGTGTATTATATTAAGTCTTCACCTAGCTGGGTGCCACCCCCAACCCCTCCACCCACCCACAGGACCCTGAGTTTTTCCAGGACTGGACCCTGCTGCCATTTGGCACCTCTGTTTGAAGACACCAGCTGCCCTTCCTGTTTTGTCATTTCCTGCCACACTTCCCTGGATCACGCCTTCAGGGCAGCTCAGCATCTGCCTGGAATTGCCTGAAGGTCGGGCCTGACTTACAATCTTTGATCCCCATGTGATTATTGATTCCGCCTGTCTTTGGAATTGTGTCCTATGTCTTGTATCTGCCTGTGTCTCTTTGTACCCTGTGTGCTATGCAGGTAGCTCTATGCTGTGGTGAATTCTGACTCTCCTGGGAAATAACTTAGTGATCAGTTAAACATTACAAATACAATAAACAACCGACCAAACAAATAAATAAAATTACAATTATAAACTAAAATAGGAATTGTCCGTTGTTCCCTGGTGCCATTCTCCCTGGTAGCTGGGGCAGGTGGCAGAGCAGGGAGTTCCAGCCCAGGCCTCGTCCCTGCAGACCACAGGACAGTGGCCCAGAGTGAACACTCTTGTCATCGCCCTCTGTTCCTGGCCAGGGCTCCTTCTGCCTGCTCCCAACAGGGAGGCAGCCTGCGGCAGTGAGGTGGGAGCGGCAGGCTCGGGGCGGGAGGCCTCGGGGTTCCACGGGGGGTGTGCCCCAGTGTGGGCCGGCCAGGTTTTCCAGCACTGGGGCCAGTGTCCAGGGTCATCTGTGGGAACTGTTTTGCTCTGTTTGAGAGTCTGATTCCCAAATTCCAGAGAACAACTGTTGTTTTCGGTACACCTGATACTGAAGTATCGGGTCATAAAATTACACTCCAGCTCATGCAGATGGAAGGCAATATTAGCCGAGTACCGTGAAAACCATGAATATTCATTAGATCTCTCATCATGATGATGATTAATACCCTTAACACTATAAGTGTCTGAACTCTTTTACGGACAATTGAGCTTCAGAATGGTTCATATTCGTTTGTCTACATGAGAAATTAATTTTTGACATGATAGTTAACATCAGTATTGACTTCTTTTCAAGTTTCTCAGAACTCGTGTTGTATCTACCCAGTAAGAGCTTACAGATATTTAGCTCAGATAACATCCCTGAATTATTTGCTATCAGACATTCTTGTGTGGGGGAAAACACATTCACACATACACAGTATTCACCCTGGTGCAGATGCAACCAAACCTGTGTGGGGAGTAGGTAGAGGGGTGCAGAGGGTGAAGACGTGCTTCAAGACTCAATCAACAGCTAAACGTTCCAGCCTCACGACCTTGGGAAAATCACTGTTAACTCTTCAACTTTGGCAGAACAGGAGAAATACTGCCTGGCAGGTATACTGTGATGACTAGTAGGGACTGTGATAGCGAGTTTATTAAGGGTCAAGGACTATAAAAATGTGAGGAATATGTATATGTGTACATATATATACCCATGTGTATTTATCTTTATCTTCATCATCATTATAAAAATTGTATATTTATTTCATCTTCCTGCAAAGTTTAAATTTCACATGGAATTCTAAATGTATCTGTTGTATAGTAAGATGTTACGAAACAACCTAAATCGTGGGTTTAGGAGACTGAGATGCCTTTAGACTGAAATGTGTTTCTCATGTGCTTGTTTCTTTACAGGCCAACAGAGCCATAAGCACCATCGGGTTTGTGACAGCTGCTGCCAGTGCCTTCTCATTCCTGGGCCTGTTCTCAAAGAGACAAAAAGCAAAATACTATTAAGGATTTACTGAAGAGATATTGGAACCGAAGGAATTTGTGAGGAGGGGAAAAGGAAAGCCTGGGAGGAATGCTTATTTTCAATGTATCGTTATTGTTTCAAACCCCAGTGATGGATGGCAAGTTCTTTAATAAATTGCTTAGTGATATTAATCTCATCACTGAGCCAAAGAAGTGTTGCTCCCTGCCAGTGTAGATTTTCTGTGGCAGCTTGAACAAAAAACAGTAACGTTTTGAGTGAGCCAGCAGAGGATGTTAACAAAATCACATTACATTATCTTCTATTGTAAATATTATTTTCCTTTTCCCTGAGGGTGGCTATTTTGTATTTGCCAGAGGGAAGAAGAGCAGATTAAATGTGATTTTGAAAAAAAAAAGATAAGAGTTCCAAATGGTTAGGGTTGACAACTAAATTCATACTCCTGGTCAGAAAAGAACTTGGGAAATTGGGCATTTGCTTAGGCAGTTTGAAGCAGTTTGCTTAAGAAGCCGGTTGAGGGTGGACACCCGTCCCCTTGCTCCTGTGCCCATGGGTGGTGGGGAGGGCTGGTGGGGAAGGGGCTCTTGGCTCCCATTTTCAGATCCAGTGATTCTCTCAGAAACTACTCACTTATCAGAAAAGTCCCTGACAAGCAAGAACGGACTGTTACTTTTGCCCACATTGTTTCCTTTGGCTTTTGAAGTATTTCAAAGGTCTTAACCTTAGAAAGAGATCATTAAAGTAGGTTTCAGGTGCCATTTTTAGAAAATCATATCCTATATTACTTTTTAAAGCTTTTACTGGAAGTCAAGGAGAGTTGTGATTTTATGCTTGCATTTTATTGATTATGTGTTGAATGAAACAAACTGCTTTTTAGTACCGTTCCAGTGGAATTGTTGTCAACAGCAGGTGGGGAAAATGATTACAGTCTCTATACCCTAAGATTTTATCAGACATTATAACACACTAGCAGCCAGTGATGGGATTCCTGTGACATCATTAAAAGCATAAGCGTTACATAAAAGAAACGTTCAGGTAAATATTGAGGGGGGTGTGCAATGGAGGAACCGGGAATATGGAAGATAAAGTGACTGAACAGAAGACTCAGTGAAAGATGTGGACCTATTAAACTGATTCAGATTTTACCCCAGGGCCACAAGTGCTCCACAATGTAATTGCAGGGTTAGGAATAAGGGTAACAGAAGGGGCCACGTACTGCAGTCAGCGGCAGGAGAGACCTTGTCTCTCTTTCTTCCTGGTTCCCTGATTCACGGCTTCCCTTTCTCATGGTGCCAACTCTGCCTCCAACTAACCCGGAACTCTCTCTTCCTCCCCTGGACCTCTGGGGAGGTATGGGTACCTCCTACCAGACACCGTGACCCAATAATGCCCCTTCATGCTTTTTTTCTTTTTTCTTTTTAATATATTTTATTGATTATTCCATTAAAGTTGTCCCATTTCTCCCCCTTCATTCCCCTCCACCCTGCACACCCCTCCCCCACCATCCCCCCCTTTAGTTTGTCTCCATGTGTCACAAGTTCTTTGGATTCTATATTTCCCATACTATTCTTGCCCTCCCCCCTATCTATTTTCTACCTATGGTCTATGCTACTTATTCTCTGTACCTTCTCCCCACTTCTCCTCTTCCCACTCCCCTGTTGCTAACCCTCCATGTGATCTCCATCTGTGTGTTTCTGTTCCTGTTCTAGTTGTTTGCTTAGTTTGCTTTTGTTTTTGCTTTAGGTGTGGTTACTAATAATTGTGAGTTTGCTGTCATTTTACTGTACATGTTTTTTATCTTCTGTTCCTTATATAAGTCCCTTTAACATTTCATATAATGAAGGCTTGGTGATGATGAACTCCTTGAATTTGACCTTATCTGAGAAGCACTTTATCTGCCCTTTGATTCTAAATGAAAGCTTTGCTGGATAGAGCAATCTTGGATGTAGGTCCTTGCCTTTCATGACTTGGAATACTTCTTTCAAGCCCCTTCTTGCCTACAAGGTCTCTTTTGAGAAATCCGCTGACAGTCTGATGGGAACTCCTTTGTAGGTGACTGTCTCTTTATCTCTTGCTGCTGCTAGGATTCTCTCCTTCATTTTAATCTTGACTAATGTAATTATGATGCTTCTAAGTGACCATGAGATAGCCAACCTATCAGATGCACAGTTCAAAACACTGGTGATCAGGTTGATCACAGAACTGGTTGATTTTAGTTACAAATTAAAGGAACAAATGAAGGCTAAACTAATTGAAGTGAGGGGAAATGCACAGGAAACCAATACTGATGGAAAGGAAACTGGGACTCAAATCAAGGGAGTGGACGAGAAGGAAGAAAAAAAATGACCAAACAGAAAAGAATGAAGAAACAAGAATTGAAAAAAATGAGGAGAGGCTTAGGAACCTCCGGGACATCTTTAAACGTTCCAACATGCGAATTATAGGGGTGCCAGAAGGGGAAGAGGAACAGCCATGAGTGGAAAACTCATTTGAACAAATAATAAAGGAGAACTTCCCCAATCTGGCGAAGGCAATAGAATTCCAGGAAGTCCAGGAAGCTCAGAGTCCCAAAGAAGTTGGACCCAAGAAGGAGCACACCAAGACACAGCATCATTATATTTGCCCCTTCATTCTTATTCTAGGTTTGGTTTCCTGTTTCTTTTATGTCCCATTCTCCAGCAACAGTTTGAAAAGAAAATGAGCACTTTGCTAATATTATCAAATTAGGGTGAGATTGGTGGCAGTGTAAGGTGTTACCTTTCCCAGGGTATGTGTACGTTTCAATAAAGGTGACTGCAGAGGAATCATGGCATCAACGCATGAGGGAGTGGGCAGGTTTGAGGTCAGACCTTCGAGAATCCTCAAGTCAAATCTTTCTAAAGAACTCTGGACTTCTCCACTCCAGATGACAGTCCTCCCTGTGCTAGACAATGGCACAGTGCACTTTTAAGTTAAATTCATGGATTAATTTTTCACATACTGTTCAAGACCCCAGTAATTTTCACCCTTAAAAGTAAGTCCACGAAGCTAGTCACCAGTGTTCCCCGCAAATGGCCACTCTTACGGATGGGCAGCTCAGGGTGAAAAGTCTGCTTTTCCCAGAGGCGATCATCGGTGTGTGGCCTGGCTCATTATGCTTCTGTTGGGCCTTTTTCCGAGACTAGGAAGCCTTCCTCTGAGCATACTTTTAGCAAAGTTAATATAGAGTTCAACTTTATCAGTTCCACCTCCACAAAGATGTGTGAAATAAAGATTTTCACTTGTCAGACACCAAACAGGTTGTTGGAAAAATTGGGGCAAAAGAAAAAGGTGTACATTTATTAAGTCAGGATTTTTACACACATTGTTATCCTAACTAAATGCCATAGTGTGTCAATTGACTCTTCTTGCTTTAAAGGTCAAATTACTAAATACGGACATGACGTGTTGCTCACAGAACCCGAGTTACCATATTTATATGTTGACATAACATTACTTAACCATAAGCTAAGTATCTTTCTACCTTTTCATTTTTTATTAGTAGCTACTGAATTAGACACATTTTGAAAATTATTCTCCAAGAACTGTGCACCAAAGGTTAAAAGCAAATAAAATATAAATTGAGAGGGTTTGTTTTTATAGAAATTTGCATTTGTGCTGCTGGTTTGTGTAACGAAGGGTGTTACTGAATCCATACACCAGTGTCAGGCGCCTAACAGACACTCATGGAATGAGACTGGTTACCTAATTGCCTGTGAAATGTTAAAGATCTGTTAAGTTAGCAAAATTTGATTCATTGTTACAAGTAAAGCCTAGTATATAGTGGAAAATGTTCACTAGGAATAAATTCCCTGCCATGGTCACAGTGGGATTGGTGTATACATTAAAGGTTATAGTGTCCACAATATATTCATAAAGGGTGTACCCTCTCTTATGGTTGTTAATGTACATCTAATAATTGATTTAGATAATGAAAAGATAGAATGAGACTTAAGATTGTTTAGTAGCCTAAGAATTGTCACACTTTAGATACAGATATTATGGGTCCCATGCCTATGATTGTTTTTTAAGACAAATGAGGCAGAGTGTGGGCCAACTTCTAGAGTAAAACAAACAAACTTCAGTATTTCACCTGTCAGTAATAAAGAGTAAATAAAGGTGCTGTACTTCTTTAAATTAGAAGTACAGTTCAACAGTTTAGTTTATTGCTTTTGTGACCTACTCTGAACCTAGCCCATTGGCCCCAGAACAACAAGCTCTGGGAGAGGCCACCTTCGGTGGAGTTTGCTTGGACCCTCGCTGCGGTGCCCAAACCCAGTTGCGTGGGGCCAACAGAAGCCTCCATCATTCCTCCCTCCCACACTGCCCCAGCTCACCACAGGGAAAGCTGGATTTTCCCACATCAATGTCAATTCTTGTTTTTTTCTTACAACTGAACAAAGGGAGCCGAAAGAAAAAAAGAAATTTAGTGACCTTGGAAAAACATGTGTATGAATGTTCTTCACAAGGGAATATAAAGTTGAGGATATTTGTGGCATTTATGGAGATAAGGGTGCTTTTTCCGAATTCTTTTGTTCCTGTGGGTGAAAATAAAAAATATATCTGTGAAACTTTCAACGCCAAAATTCTTCTTCAATTTTCCTTTTGTTGCTGTTCATACTATTAGTCTCACTGCTGTGACAAGGTGTACATTTTAACCAGGATAATGCTATGTAATGTGAATAAAGTTTATGAAAAAATGATAATCCAGGCAATGCATTTTTCCCTCAATAGTAGAAGATAGGCATATTTCAGATCCTTTGTTGCAAAGCTCAATACACTGGAAAAAGTGCTTTGAGTCCTCAGCTAAAGAGAGAAAAGAAAAGGGTAAAGTAGCATCGCCTCCCCACAGGGCTTTAGTTTCTCGGGGGAGGGGGTGCTGCAGGACGTGCAGAGCCCAGTTCTGTTACAGTCTGGTCCAAAAATGCTGTTCCGTGGCTTGGCCTCCCCAGCCGGGCTTCCCCTTCGGAACCTCTTTGGGGCTCTCATAGCCTCGGTTGATGTAGAACCCATTTTGCCCATCGCCCGAATAATCTGTCCTGTTCGTGGGAGGCCATGTAGGGTCTTCTGCCAGCTTCTTTTGCCAGTTCCTGTATTGGCTTTTCGAATGGAATCCAAATTGTTTTTTGATCAATAGCCAGAGCTCTCGATTTTGAAGGATGGCATCCTGCAAAATGAGGTGAGAAAAACAAACCATCATCCACTTCCCCTGCTGCCTGGCTGCTACCACCACATGCTGCTGCCCCAGGCCCTCCCCTGAGATGTGCTTATTGCTGCTGCGGCTGCTGCTGGGGGAGCTTCTCCCTTCAGTTCCCATGAAGCCCAGCAGCTCCCCTCCTTCCCTTGAGAAGCAAGAGCACACTTGCATTCGCAGAAATCTGCTGGAAGTGTACATACAGCCTGTCATTTCCACAGACTCCTAGCTAAATCCTGGCTGTTGATGATCTAAGGTGATAACTTAGAATTATGTCACTGCCAGACTGAAATGATAATTAGTATACTCAATAAACTCAAAATCCAGATAAGAAAAAAATCACTGCTACCTGCCACATGCCACATAGAAAGAGCCAAGTAAAGGTTTGTTGAATGAATAGATGAACTAGCAATTAAACGGATTTTGATTTCCATTTTGCACGCTCTCTTTTTTCTATGTTCACATGCACACACTTTATACATGAATAATAGAATTGGTCAAATTTTGCCTTCCACTTTTATACTTGACTTTAATATACAGTGATAGTCCTTTTTAATGACTATATAACATTTCTTCAAATTGCTGTACAACTATTTAAAGAAACTGCATCTTTTAAACACCTGAGTCTAATCATTTACCACTGTGATTGATACTATGATACCTTCGTGCATGCAAGTTTTTTTCTAACTTGGGTTTTATTAAAAATATAGTCTCAAAAATAATATACTTCAATTTTACTGTGTGTTTTCAATGGAATATTTGTGTGTATATACATATTTTTAAAAATTGGTTGATCACCTTTCTCAACAGACTTATAATACATGAATCTTTTTTTAAAGAAAACTACCCTTAAAAAAATAGTACCCAAAGCTTTCACTGAGAAGGTAAAGAAATGCAGTACACTAACTAGAAGAGAAATGAAGGGAGAAGACCCTCAAGGGGAAGAATTGACTAGAAGAAGCAATGACTCCCATCTCTCGTCATTAAGGAAGCCCTTCTGAAGACAGTCCTTCACTTTAGATGGCCTCACTGAATCTCGGAGCCGGAAGGTCACCTGGTCTAGTCTCTGGGAGAGTATTGAGAACACTAGAGAGGTGCAATGCAGTGCTCTCACGTGGGGCCACATTAGAGTTAATTTGACATTTTGCTTTCTGTGCTACAGATACCGAGAGCATTTTTGTGCAGCCTTCCAAGAATTTTAAATCATTCTCCAAGGCATTTTCCCATAGGGTACATGTACGAGTTTATATAAACCCTTAATAACTATCACTGTTGGGGACAGAAGTGCCCTAAAAATGAGCATGTGTGGAAAATGAGACCCTTTGTTTGTTTAGCTTCCCGGCAGAAGAGCAGGAACTGCACAGAAATCACTTTACCTCCACAAAGAAGGCCACACAGAACTGGATGAGGGCTGCCACCAAAACTGAAACCCTCCATGATGTTACGGTTGGAATTAACTGTGAAAAAGGAAATATTATTGCTATACTTTCCATATCTTACAGTTTGAAAAATTACATTATTTAATTCATATATCTATAACAACTCTGAGCTTGGAGGGTAGGCATTATTTTCACTGCTTTCCAGATGAGACAATCAGTACCTTGGCCAAGGTCTCAAAGCCGATAGACAGAAGGCAGAGCCAGAATTCAAACAGAACGGACTGTCTCTTGTCGTGTGCGCCCTCCCTTGCCTGATGATAGACATCGAGTAAATGTGCCTTGGGTTGCAGACGTGAGACAGGACACTTTGGAGCCTGTGTGTGTGTCTCTCCATTTTTATCTTTTTAGATAGAGGGAAGTGGGTGTAAGTTTAAATCATTCGTCTAATAATATTATTACCTCTAATTCTCCCAAAGCAAAATCTAATTGAAATTCATTCTTTCAGCAAAATTAACCTATGAGTAAACATAGAGGAGCACAAAAGTTCGAGTTTATTGTAATTGAAACGAAGGACACTTTTCCTGAACGAATCTCCCCAGCCCTAAATCTGACAGCTTGGAGGAGTCGGACCCACACGGGCCACCTTCTTTCAAGAAGCATTCATTGCACACTTCAAGTGTTAAGGGGCACGCACTGCACACTGACCACCAACTGCACTTACTGATGAGTGTGACAGCTACGACTGCCCTCCCATGGCCGCAACCACAACAGACACACACAGAAGAGCCACACAGCCTTGTCTCTGATCCTGCGGGGTAGACTGTGGATGACCGGGTGAAGGGCGGAGCTGCCTTTTTGACTAATAGCATAGATCCTCCACACTGTCTAAATGCTCACTTTTAACTCTCTACTCTGATAGGAGTTATTTCAAAGTGACAGTTTGTTATTCCCCTCCCCAAATGGAGACAGTCTTTCCTTGGATGGTGAAATGGAGCACCCTGGGCCTGAGGGTTGTCTGAGGGGCTCAGTAGGTCAGGTCACAGTGAGAGCCAAGGGTCAATCATTTTCTATATCTCCCACAATGCTGGGTCCAAGAACAAGTTCACTAACCTCTTCATAAATTTAATTTTAACCCACTGCACCATGTATCAAGCATTGTCCACTGAAATAAAACCCTCCACAACCAATATCTGACAGGCAGAAAAATAAGTGGCCTATAAGTCTATTTTGTCTTACTCCTCACAACTACATTATGAAGGATTTCTACTGTATACTTTAAATTTTAACTTGAAGAATTAATTATAGTATTAATATATAACAGTATAATAAATTTTACTGGTATAATAAATGCTATTATACTAGTTTAACATAGGAGAATAAAATATCCAAACATAATATTCCAGGTGCGAATAGGATACATGTACCAAACTGATAATACCAATAATATGAAAACAATCAGAGCCTAGGGTATGTGAGATCTAGCTGAGTTATTTGCTTTTCTCATACATGGAAATAGCCTCACAATATTTAGTGGTCAGAGAGACTATGGCAGTAACAGAATTTCAAATTACGGTGTAAATATGGTTTCATTGCACGTGCCAGTCCTAACAGATGTGCAAATGAATTACCGCTTACCTCCATTCCTCGGTATATATCTTGAAAATCAGAAAACAGAATGAAAACTGTGAGGCTCAAGGCAGATATCAGCAGAAATGAGAACATATCTGAAGAAACACCAAACATTATTTTTAGATGCTGAGGAATGTTTCGCGTATTTTTGGCATGCATTGCAGAATCAATTATCTCTGTTGGGCAAATAGCAGATACATCTTCAGATGTTTTGATGTATCCTCATGTGCTTTAAAATATGTTCTCATGCTTACAAGACAAAGGTGGTATCTTAAAGATTTTCCTTGAAAGGCTTAAGTGTAGAGAGATGCTAATAAGTGCATTATAGTAACCTCCATAAAGGAGCTACCTCACCTGAGGAGTCCTGGGGAACCGGGACATCCTGCGGTGACCAGTCCATGCAAATGGTCACCAGGGGGGCCCTGATGCTTTATCACCATGTATGTATGGAGGTGTGCATGCATGGACAAGCAGTCCTCTAGGTCCTGCCTCATTCTTCATTGTCTACAGAATAAATCCACAGATCCTTCTTTGATCGACATCCACAGCCTTCCACAACATTGATTCGATCAGCCTTTCTAAACTGATTTCTCATTGCTCCTCCTCATGTGCATAGGAAAGTTAAATCACACACCTCCTGCTTCCATAAGGACCCAACCCTTTCCAGCTCCTGGCCCTCGGTCCACAGAGTACTCTGTGCCGATGATAGTCCTCCTCTCTTGGCAAGTTCCAATTTTTCAAAAAAAAAGCCAAATTCAAATATCATTTTATTCTTAAAGACTCCCCAATTCTCCCCTACAAGTTTTTGTTTTTTATATGGTGTCTATCATAATCTTTGCAATATCTTCATTTATGTATCATCACAAGTAACTAGGGCTCGCTCAAGAATATGAAGGTGATTTAATTATAAATTTATTCATATAGCTGCTGGTTCGTGAGAGGAGGACTTTGTGTTTCTCTCTCCTTTTTCTAAATAAATAAATAAAATCTTTTAAAAATTTATTCATATAACCTATTCTAGCAATAGGTCCGAGGAGAGAAAAAAGCCAAATCATCTCAGTAGGTGATGGGAAGGCATTTGATGAAACACATCTCCCAAACTGGATTTTAAAACACACTTTTAACTTGTTAGTAACAGGAGGGTATTTTTTTTACATGATGAACCAATATTCAAAATTATGTTTACAAGTGAAAACTACTAAAAGCATTTTTATTAAAGAGTAGAACTACCTGCTATTACCACTATTATTTAACATTGTCCTGGAAATTCTGGACTATGCACTAAGAAAATATAAATAAACTATAAATAAACATTTTAGCTATGGGAAAGAAAGAAGAAAAATTATTATTTGCAGATGATAATAATTATCTCTTAGCACATCAAGGATTAATAGCAAAATTCAGGGAGTTCTGGATAGAAAAATAAATGTTAAACAACACTATACCTTTCACATGTGTTTAATGATAATCACTTAGAAAATATAATGGGATAACGTCATTCACAATATAAACAAATATAAAAAACATAGGATTTGTTTCTTAAATACATGTGTAGGATCTATAGTGCAGAAAATCACAAATATTTACTGAGACATAAAAGAAAGCATAAATAAATAAAAGAGAAGAGACATGACATGTTCTTAAATGTGAAGACTAAAGTGTGTAAACAAATACATTATTTTGCAAAAGGGGTTGTTTAAAAGCTTGACAATTTTTTTCTAGCATTTATCTAGAAGAATGGATAAGGAAGAAAAGTAAGAATTTTTTAAAATGGAGAGTAATGAGAATACACTAACCTTACTACTCATTAATTATAAAACTACAATTTTAAAGTGGACTACTAGATCAATAATAGGCTAGCATATCAATGAAACAGAAAAGATAGTATAAAAAATTAACTACATACAATTAATATATAGTATATAACATAATAAACACAATATTAAAACACACATAATATAAATTATATATGTGAGAAAACCATAAATATATATGCATATAGGTACAATAATGACTATGTTACATGCAGTTGAGAAATAAGTGACCAAAAAGAATATCAAATGATAAAATCTGCTGGAAAAACTAGGGACTAGTTGGATAAACTAGTTTGATCTCTATTTCAAATTATGCCCCCAAATTAATACTGTATTTCAAAAAACATCAAAAGAAATTAAAAAAGCTAAATATACAATAATCTGACTTCACAATGAGAAAAAGTTGTACATAAAGGCAATGGAAAAAATCACAAAGGAATAAAGGCCTCATACTAATAAATAAGAAATATAACAGTGATCCAATAGAAAAAAATGAATAAGAATGTAAATAAAATTCAGAGAGAAAGAAATGTCTAATAACATGAAAATATATTCATCCTCACTAGTGATTAAACAGATGTACAGAGTGATTAAAGTAAATTGCTCAATCTTATAAAGCTATTACAAGGCCAAGTGGTATTTGAATTGGTGGGAAAGCCTTTTACAAAATATCTTGACTTATACTTGGTTCCTAAAATCCTTCTTGATGATTCACAATAGGGTAGCACTCATGTGATTCAAAAGTACTTGTGTTTATCTGCAGATGAGCAGGTTTCTGCCACTGGCTCTACCACCTACAAAAATTGCCATTTAGTCATCAATTTTAGATCAGTGCAATTGTTTCCCTCTCTGCCAATCACTTCATCAGTGAGTTGCACCTCTGGGGAGGGGAGTGGAAAATCTTTTTAATAAAATGTGAACTTCATATACTTACAGTTTGTGTAGATGGGTTTTCGAAATGGCTTTCCCTTAGAAAAGATAAATGCCACTGTGATACAGTTGATAGTGGTGATGGGCCACAGTGTGGTACTCTCGAAACTTAAAACTGAACCAGGAACCAGAGTTGCATTTCCAGTCCAGTTTCTTTCCAAAGTCATATTTGTTGAGAAATCACTTTGGTTGTCCAGAAAGCACTCGCTACAAAAGAATTACCAGCATGTATGGGACTTTTTATTTGACTTTGATCCAGCTAGTGGAAAAACATTAGTTTACCACTACCGCAGAACCTCAGCTTTCAAACTGTCCCAGCCAATAACCACCATGACAAAAACCTCTCGCAATGTCCAAGCAGACATAAAATTCAGAGGAAGTCAAGATTGTTCTTTATCCAGCATTCCATTGAGAACAAGTGATCTGTTTTGAAACAGCTTGAGTAAGGATTTTCTATGGAATTCCTTTCAATTCAGAGTAAATGAAGTATGTGTGTATTTTCTCTTTTGTGGACTAATGTAAGCCTCACAAGTTGGTTCTTCATTTTGAATCTGCCCACTCTAAGCCACCCTCCTCATACAACCAAAGGCTCTACTTAAGGGTCTGAGTATGACACCCCACTGCTTATAAGTGTCTGTGGCTTTAATTTGCTAATAAATTAAGTTCAAACTTCTTAGGCAGGCCCAGAAGACCTTCAGACTCTCATCTCAATGTCCCTTTCCAGCCTTATCTTTTGCTAGTTCTTCTATACTCCCTATATTCCAAACCTATAGGAATATTTTCTGTTCCCCAAATATCACCATTTGCACATCTCTGTTCCTTCTAACATCACTCTGTCTTACGGGTCTTTACATCTGCTGTCCAGCAGAATTGGTGCCCCATTGTTCCCTCTTATTGCTGCACTTAGCTCATTCTTTTGCAAGTATTCATTCATATGTTTTTATTTTTCATGCCTAGGATGACAGAGTTCCTTGCATGTGAAATTTTTCTTTTGGTTTTTGTTTGTTTGTTTGTTTGTTTGTTTTACTTGGGTTTACAACAAATCTTTAGCACCCATCATGGTGATGCCACATAACATTTGCTGAGAGAAAATAATTAAGAGCTTTTCCAGCTCTGATTGATCTGTTTGAAATGTTTATTATTTTCAATATCAAACCCATAAATTAGTCTCCATCAGCTTTCTCATTCATCTTGAAACTTTTTATTACTATTACAATTGTTTATAAATTTTATATTCCAGTTATGACCTCAAATGCAAGTCTTAAGTCTTATTACTCTTGGCTCCCTTGGATTTCAAAATGTGCTTTGTATATAGGATATATTCAGTTAATGTTTGCTTAACAGATTAATGAAACAATCAATAGTTAACAAAGCACTCTTGCACAAAGGGGATAAATAGGAGGTCTGAAGTAGAGCGTTTAATACTAAAAGGTATCTAATGCAACATACCTACATCGAGATGAGAGAATTGAGGGTCAATGTGACATAGCTAGTTAGTGATAGAGGCAGGCCTACCCATCTATCATCTTTTCTCCTGCACCATGCTGTCTCCTAGACTTAATCAGACCTGTACTTCTCTGACTGTGTACACTCCAACTTGGGGGCAATCTGGTTTTGAAACAAAAATGACATATATTTTAAGTAACATATATTTCAAGTAATATGTCATTTGGGTCTAGGTGGCAATCTTAAGCATCATTTGACAGTTTTACTGCCTTTCACTGTGCTGGAGCTTTGATGTCTGAGCTTTGATGCCTACAAGCCCAGCTTCAAAAACAAAACAACCAAAAAAATCAGCTCTCTTCCTGCCTTTCTTTCTCGAGGTCAGGCAGGCTTTGTCAGAAAAAATAAGTTTAAACTTCTATGGCATAGTTCCCCTCATTTAACCCTTAATCTACAGTTAAATAAATTCAAGCTCAGGGAGGTGAAGAGACTTGCCTTGTGTCTAGTGTTCAGTCAGAACAATGATATCATCAGCTAACATTTTAATTTTAACATTCATTTGAAAAACTCAAACTAATTCAGGCACACCCCTTATATATCAAGGGCCAGCTGACTTCAGCCCACAGACCAAATCCAACTCACTGACTGTTTTTGTAAGTGAGGTTTTGTGCGGTGTAGTCACATCCACTTGTTTGTGTATTACTTGTGGCTGCTGTTCACTGCAACAGCAGAGTTGAGTAATTGCAGCAGAGACCACCTAGTCCAGAAAGCCCAAACTATTCACTGTCTGTCCCTCTGCAAGAAATGTTTTCCCACCTTGGTCTATATGTTATATCCAAACCATCAGGGAATTAATACATTCATTCAGTCAACCAGCTGTCAGATCTATATCTCAACAGCTAATGTAAAATTCTTTTCCTTCCCCTTCTACATGACTGACCCCAGGACTCTACTCATTAACTGCACTCTCTGTTCTATCTCACCAATGGTGTTTTGCAATGTGGAAACACAACTATTGCTAATTAAAATTGTAGGGTGTATGTTCAAATCCAGTTGTACTCATTGTACCACCTTCAGAAAAGAAACCTAAGGAAATGAACATTACCTGTATCTGTAGACCTCACAGTACCAGGGCTGCTGCTTCACATAGAGAAATGCGCAGACCTGCACAATGCAGGTGAAGCAGGTATTCAACAAGACTGAGAGCAGCAAAGGCGGAGAGAGGAGCTGTCCGGCTGGGCGGTACGGAGCCAGCTCTGGGTAGGCATGAGTTGAACTCACTGAAAGACAAATGCATTTTCCCCATTACAATTTCATTGTTGAGAATGAAAGATTGAGATGTGTATTGTTTTGAATCTTGCCTTAGGGCTCAGACTGAGCACATGTGAATTGAGAATTTACACCTAGGAAAGTACACTGTCCAGTTGCAGATCCGATGCTATCAAGCTTTGCTTTCTCCAGGCTTTAGTTTTAGCTTCAGAAATGAAAAGTAATGTATTCAAAGTTCTGTAATTAATACATTTACCATATTGCATGATGCAAATATTTTCTCTACAATCAGACTGACCAGAAATGGTATGTAAGAGAAGATGGCCTTCTACATAGATAAGCATTGCTATTACCTCTCAGTGATGATGGGAAAGTGGAGAGTTAAGGTGAGGAGAGTAAGAAAGCATCTAGCTCAACCCATCTTCAGATGCTGGGAAAAAATTATCTTAAAAGCTCTCACTCTACTATTCATTCAGCAAATGTTCTCTGAGCACTTCTGTGTACCAGGATAGATGCTAGAGGTATGTTCTCTTCCTGCCTGGAAATGTGCGTAAGTGGCGGATGGCTAGAGCACATTAGTCTTGGTTAGGAAAAGGAGTTCATTAAAAAAATGTTTGCTTCTAGATGAAAATATTAAAATATGTTATAGTATCTTCATTTTTCTTGGGAGCCATGCATTCCCAAGCTAATGAAAATGGAATGTACTTCTTAGGGCAGAGCAGGAAAGAAGCAAGGGAAGGTCAGAAATCAGAAACATCAAATTTAAAGGTTTATATCTTAGTCATGTTTCCATCCTTTCCTTCATAACCATCAATATGTCCCATTTCATAACTCATCACTGGTTTCTTTGGAGTGAGAAAGAAAATAAATTGTGCATAGTTAGTTATGCATTCATGAACATGGGCAGGGTGGTGGGGCCTAAATGTCCAGCTTGGGATAAGAAAATTATAAAGTAGTTTTCAGTTTGCTCAACATGTGTTCTGGGGGTAATCATGTTAAACTCACCAGTCTCTCACTTTCTCATGTATTAATATAAAATGAAAGTGTTTGAATGTCTAAATGTCTTCAGAGGCCCTTCCAACTATCTTATCCTAAAGCTCTGTAACTAAGGCTCTACCCTTATTAATTTAAGCAATATCTCCCCAGGAGGGTGCTGGGCTAAAGGCTATGGGGTATGCAGAGAAGAAGGACTCTCACCTGCCCTCAGAGAGCTTGAAGTCCAATAGGAGACATAGGTGGGCGTCTTCTATTGCATAAAGGGCTTTAAAGCCCCATGTGTTTTCTGCTCTACAGCATAATGTGGTGGTATGGACCCCAGGAACTAAGCATGATAGAATGAGGAGCCCTGAAGTGTGAGCTTGGATAGCAACCTTGGGTTTCAGTGGACAGAGAAAACTTTTCTGAAATGTCCAGTTTTCCTTAAAATGATGATATTGATGATGATGATATATGCTATCAGATTGCATGCAGAGCAATGAAAACTGGTGGAGTGTTATATTTTATTTATAATTAATTATTGCCTCTAAGTTTCCACAGGACATTACTCATATTGCCACTGGTGTCTTGCATTAAACCAAGCTGTTTACACATGCACTCAGCAGACTGTGAGCTCCCTGAGTGAACACAACCTGTCTCATTCCATTTTCTGTACCTGACTGAACCCAACACAGGTTCTGCTGTATGGGAGGACTTATAAGTTTTAATTCCTATTGTCAAAGTACAGTTGTTAATTGTTCAGCATCATCCGGATATAATGTAAGTATGCTTCTCCTAAATAATTGGCTTATCCCATATTATAGACTTTTTAAGTCATGTAAGTCATGTTGCAGGAGGCTCATGAACTCACCTAAATTACATGCAAAATTTTGAGCATGCATCATGAAATTTTTTAACTGCAAAGATCTATGTTTTCCATCAAATTCTCCAGGGGGACCGAGAACTAGAAAATCTTAGGAGTCATCGAAGCCCCGGTGGAATTTAAAAAAGAGATGTCTTTATAGAATGTATGAATTCCCTCCTATAGCCTCCTTTCCTGGATATTGCCTCCCCCCATGTGCTGAAGTGATTGGCCTGGATTGTGTGAACCCATCTTCATTCATAAAAATGACTGTCTTAGAGGTCATCATCTGACACAAAGTAGGTCACGAAGTTTTCTGTCAAGAGATTTGCAAATAAGATACCTAGAAACTAAGCTAATTAGCTGTGGGAAGACAAGGAGAAAGGTTATGGAGATTCAGCAGGGTCACCATTTAGGGTCATTTGCGGAGTGAATGAGTAGAAGTGAGATGAAAACAGTAAGAATAGAAAGAAGAAGAAAAAGACAAGATTGTCTCTTGGAAATAAAGAAAGCAGCTGTGAGTGTTCTAGTCCTTCCAAGGGCCACGTGCTTCTGAATTTCTGTTCTCAGATTTCTGTGAGAATTATATTCTGAAACATCTCCCTTTCTCTATTTTTTAAATCTAATTCAAGTGGGTCTTATGGGAGAGAACAAAGATGTAGCAAGAACAAATTCCATTCAAGATGGCTTCTAGGCCTATTACAGTCAAATGGATTTTAAGGCATGTGTTTTCTTAATTGACTTCATCTTCCTTTTCTCCTCAATTTTACCCTTAATATACAGGGGTGGGCAAAAGTAGGTTTACAGTTGCTTGTATGGAAAGAGAAATGCAGGTTATCATTATTACAATAGCTTTATTCACTCAAAGGATGTCACAAGACAATCGTAAACCTACTTTTGTTTTATTAGGTGCTTTCGTTTGACTTTAAATCTTGTGGGAACAAGGCAGGGTGTATATAGATAAGCAAGTAAATAAATTCAATATGTAATGGCATTGTATTTGTCTCATACTAACTCAATCTTAAGGTCAAAGCCATAACCTGGGAACTTGGAAACATAGGGACCTTGGTGAGAATGATTTTACATTGAGCGTTTAATTGTCACTGACTCAGAGCATCTGCAGGTGGATGTCCACAGTTCTCAGCCTGGGAGTCAGGGTTCTGTGATCTGACCCAATTCACATTTCAAATTTTATCTTCTGATGTTTCTTTTCAAGTGCTCTACAGTGTGGTCAAACTGAAAAGCTCATGCTCTGTATTTTATCATCTCTCTCTTGCTGATGATGTTTTCTCCTATTTGAAATTCCCTTCTTTTAGTAAAAGATATTTGGAATCTACCCACCCTTCCTATTTTGGTGCAAATGCTTACCTCTTCCATGTAGCCAACCTGAGTATATCTCCTTTTTCTCCATTGCTGTGTCTTCCCTGAAGCAATCTCTTCTTTTTCTGAACTTCTTTTATCCTGGTACTTACTACTTCAGGTTTGCATTTCATTCATTCATGTATGTGAATTCCCCCACTAAACTCTGAATTTAGTAACCAGTCTTATGCACCAGGCACGTACATGCCTAACAAATAGTAGGAGACGCACACATCTAAGAGGATGCTGATTTGGAAATTTTCCTTTTGTCTGGGGAAGTCTACTGAGCTTCACATTTGAGGACAATGAATTTTAAGTGTCAATATAATGTAAACAAAGAGCCCTTTGCCAAATCTCCATAGTATGTACATGGGTCCTTCAACTGAAAGCATGCCTACCTAGTCTCCCACACACTGTTACCTACATACGACTATATAAGAGAAAGCTACAGAGATTATCAAGCGATTTTAAAGGAACTTTAGAAGCAGAAAGAGCTGCGTGTTTTTTTCCTGCATTACCCCAACGCAAATAAGTGAGGGTCATTACAACCACTCTATGAGAGACCTCTGTGGTTTTGAGGTCCAGATTGGCTCACTCCTTCCCCTGTTGCAATGCCAGAGGGAAGAAAGAGGGGGCAGCAGTGAGAATAAGATATACATCTACCATCAATATCTTGTAGGTCAAGCATAAGCTATGGGAACTAAACAAACCAGAGCTGTATTGGGAGGAATCTGCCCAAGGCAGCAGTTTGCCGGGGTTAGAGGCACAGCAGCAAAAAAAAAAAAAAAAAAAAACCTTTGTGGTATGTACCACTGGAAGGCAGCTGCTGAAAGGAATCCTGGAGTGTCAGAGAGAGAGAGCACCACTGTGTCAGGGAAAGGTCTAGTCCAGACCAGTCCACAGGGATTCTCTGAAGAACCCAATAACTCAGCAATGGGCCCCCTGAAAATTCTCCGAATTTAAAATGCCTGTCATACAGAGGCCACTTGAACAGAGAGTACTATACTCCCACTGAAGTAAAAACTTCTTTGCAGTTGTTGTTCTGAGAGTCCCTGAAGCAGGGCCTGAGTGTAGGTGAGTAGAGACCATTGCAAGGAAAGTAGAGACCACGGCCTTCTCACTACTGTTTGCTCCAAGCCATAGGGTTGGCTTGATATAGGCGAAGCAAAGCTTCAAATCAGATAAAAACACAAAATGTTAATTTGCAAGGCCTGGGTATTTTATAACTAAAGATGAGATCGTTTAATACTTGGAATTGACTGGGAAATGATCCGCCTGTAGGATAACTGAGCTTATAGGGACGGGAAAGCAATAGTTTCAGAAGGCAGAGAGCAAAAAGCAAACAAAAATAGCTGTTTCTTGACTCCATTTCTCACCTTTACCAACCTACCTGGAGCCCAGCCCATTTACCAAACCAGCTCCATGTTTGTTGAATAATATTTGCATAAAGTGCTGTCATTCTGGTAGAACACTAAGCTTCTGATCTATTACCCTTCTGAGACCTTTTCTCCCTTTGGTAACAGGGATCCTGCCGTAAGTCATTCCAAGTTTCCCACTGAGCCTGCTCTGACATGAGAGGCTAACTGGGCAGCTGGCAGGGAGATACCAGGCTATTGTCCTGAGAAAGAGGAAAGTATACCCACTGCCGTGGGAATCAGATTTATCAGCAATATTGTGAAATTAAGTGTGTCGAAGCTCAAAATAACTTGCTCAAGGTCATCTCTCATTCTGAGGGAAGGCTAAGACTACCACCCAGTGTTTTGGATTACTAATCACACAGTCTACTTGTACACAGTCCAACTCTTTCCAAGGGCTCCCCAAGTTAGCATCGTTGTGCAAGAAGAAAGAGTATAGGGGCATATGGTGGTATCATTAATACTACAGTGAGTGCTCCCAGTGTGTGATGCATTATGCTACACACGTCACATGTATTATTTTGTCTGATCCACACACTATGAGGACTTTTCCTATCAGGAAATTATTTGATTTATAAATAATTTGCCAAAGGTCACAGAGATAGGGAGTGGTGAAGGATGGCCATGGCTTTTTCTTTCATGCTACGACTGTTAGCTTAGCTCTTGGAACTTTCTGGTGTTCTATTTCCTTTTTAGCATCATTGCCCATATTCACAAGTAATTATGCAAATTACTTAAAAGTGTCCAACATTGCAGAGCAATGTCATTGATTTAAAGTTATCCAGTCATGTGAATATGAATAACATGTAGAAAAATATTTTAATGGGCCATGAATAGACATTTCAACCATAAGAATCAAAATTGATACTTATGTCTCTGATATGGTAAGTTTTGTCGTTGGGTTGATATAATAAATGGCTTCAATATCAGTTTCATGTTTTATGATTCAACATGAAATTTGCATGGTTATTAATATCCTGCACTGCCTGATGTTTTATGTTATATTTCAAAACACTTTCATTGTTGAACAAGGCAGAAAAGATGACTACATCATTCTTTTCCTTTACTCTGTTGAGGCAATCACCTTTCTCACTTATTAAGAGTTAGTATCAAACCCAAGTTCTTTGATAGGAAATACTACATCAGTGTCATCCACAAGGAAGGAAATGAGCAATAGCTGCTGTAAGCCACACCTTGCTTTTGAGAGAATTCCACAAGAGTAAAATGCTAGAACTTGTTCTCACACATCAAAGACTTAGCAAAAATCTGGTTTCACATCAACATGAAGCATAGCCAAATAATGGAAAGTGACCTTTGAGTTTCAAAGATTTTCCTTTCCAGATTCCATAGACAGATTCCATTTGTCTATGTACAAGCTATAGACCTACAAAGAACTCAGAATATATTGAAAATTTTATGAGGCTAAAACATATTTGCTTTCAGGATACTTGAATGCCAGGTCTGAAGATTTCAAGTCTCAATTTTCTTCCAACACCACTTTCAAAAAATTAATAAGAAATGAGGTTCTGGCTTCCAGCCAAGACGGAGGTGTAGGTAGACACACTGTGCCTCCTCACACAACCAAAAGAAGGACAACAAAAATTTACAAACAAAAAACAACCACTACTGACAAAAATTGAACTATATGGAAGCCCGACAACCAAGGAATTAAAGTAGTAGACACATTCATCCAGACCCATAGGAGAGGCGGAGTCAGGAAGCTGGGCAGAGAGGGCTTGCAGCAGAGTGGCAGCTGGCGAACCCAGGCCCAGAGCGGCAGTGGGCAGACCCAGCAAGGCAGCAAATTGTGGATGGGCGCAGTGCACCAGTGGCTGGTAGGCCAGGGTGTCCCATATTTGCTCGCAGATAAACCAGGTATAACTGGGAAGTGAGACAGACTGCGCAACCCAGGGTTGTAGTGCAGGGAAATAAAGCCTCAAAACACTGATTGAAAACACCTGTGGGGGTTGAGGTGCCGGAAGAGACTCCCAGCCTCACAGGAGAGTTCATTGGAGAGACCCACAGGGTCCTAGAATGTTCACAAACCCACCCACACGAGAATCAGCACCAGAAGAGCCCAACTTGCTTGAGGGAAGCAGGGAAAGTGACCGAAATCCAGCAGAGAGAAGAGCAAATGCCATTGTTCCCTCTCAGACCCCTGTCCCATATACAGCATCACAACCCAGCAACTGAGTTGCCACACCCTGGTGAAAACCTAAGGCTCTGCCCCTCACTACATAACAGACACATCAAGACAAAAAAATGGCCCTAACAAAAGAACAGATCAAAGTGCCAGAAAAAATACAACTAAGTGACAAAGAGATAGCTAACCTACCAGATGCACAGCTCAAAACACTGGTAATCAGGATGCTCACAGAACTGGTTGAATTTGGTCACAAATTAGATGAAAAAATGAAGGCTATGCTAAGTGAAATAAGGGAAAATGTACAAGGAACCAATAGTGATGGGAAGGAAACTGGGACTCAAATCAACGGAGTGGACCAGAAAGAAGAAAAAAAGTCCAATCAGAAAAGAATGAAGAAACAAGAATTGAAAAAAATGAGGATAGGCTTAAGAACCTCCAGGACATCTTTAAACATTCCAACATCCAAATTATAGGGATACCAGAAGGAGAAGAGTAAGAGCAACAAATGGAAAAGTTATTTGAACAAATAATAAAGGAGAACTTCCCCAATCTGGCTAAGGAAATAGACTTCCAGGAAGTCCAGGAAGCTCAGAAGATCCCAAAGAAGTTGAACCCAAAGAGGAACACACCAAGGCACATCATAATTATATTAGCCAAGATAAAAATGAAGGAGAGAATCCTAGAAGCAGCAAGAGATAAAGAGACAGTTACCTGCAAAAGAGTTCCCAATCAGACTGTCAGCTGATTTCTTAAAAGAGACCTTGCAAGCAAGAAGGGGCTGGAAAGAATTATTCCAAGTCATGAAAGGCAAGGACCTATATCCAAGATTGCTGTATCCAGCAAAGCTTTCATTTAGAATGGAAGGGCAGATAAAGTGCTTCTCAGATAAGGTCAAGTTAAGGAGTTCATCATCACCAAGCCCTTATTATATGAAATGTTAAAGGGACTTATCTAAAAAAAGGAAGATAAAAAACATGTACAGTAAAATGACAGCAAACTCACAATTATTAGTAACCACACCTGAAACAAAAACAAAAACAAACTAAGCAAACAACTAGAACAGGAACAGAAACACAGAAATGAAGATCACATGGAGGATTAGCAACAGGGGAGTGGGAGGAGGAGAAGGGGGGAAAAGGTACAGAGAATAAGTAGCATAGATGGTAGGTAGAAAATAGACAGGGGGAGGGCAAGAATAGTGTGGGAAATGTAGAAGCCAAGAACTTTAAAGTATGACACATGAACATGAACTAAAGGGGAGGGGCAATGCAGGTGGGAGTGGGTGTGCAGGGGGGAGGGGGGAAATGGGACAACTGTAATAGCATAATCAATAAAATATGTATTTTTAAAAAGAAATGAGGTTCTAGTAGTTAAGGTGCACCTTTCTCTGAACATCTCATTTGGATGAACATTTCTAGAATTTAATGGGTAAATACAAATAATACAGTTTACTTTGCTAAATAGCTTACTTGTCAAACAGACCATCAAAGTAATGGCTACATCTTGCATTAGATACTGGTAATTCCCAAAGAGTTGTAGTTGCTGAAAAGGAAACAAAAGTAGATATAAGGGTTGGTTGCTTCTACCATTTTAGCACTTTATCATTTCTGCCACTCCTTTTTAAAGTAACTATTATTTTTCTTTCCTCTTTAGGAAGAAAGTGACTTACCTTGTCTTCTGCATCTTATTGGAGGAAATGAAACCAGACCACTGTTTTCCCAGTGTTTAACTTAATTCCATAAAAGCAACAAGGGTCAGCCCTTTGACCGGTCACAGTAGTATAACAGCTATAGTGTTAGCCTGGACAATTGAATTTTTAACATAAGAAATTAAAGCCCAAAAGTTCTTCTGAGAATTTCAAACTTAAAATGTAAAGTTAAGGCCTCAAGTAACTGAACAGGTGTTTCTTTCCATCTTTATTCGTGGACTGAGTTTACACCGTAGTTCTCTTGGAGGTCCATTCACTTTCATAAATTGAACAAGTACTCCTGCCTCAAATAAGCCCACTGCAGACTTCGGTCTAGCACACCTGTCTTTCTGAAGCTCGTATAGACATAGAGCTTCCTTTATGTTCGCATTTATATAGTTGAAGCATTTAAATAAAAAAAGTCAAGTTGTTCCTCTCTACAGACCTGCTTGCAATACATTTTTGCAGCTGGGTCTTATTTCTCTTCTGCATAGAGATTGAATGAGCACCAAATTATAATCTGGCTCTGAGGACTTTACAAACCTGATAGACACAAATGAAAAGCATTTCTGGCCTGTTAGAGGGTGAACCCAAGGCTGAGAAGTTTCCAGGTGCAGGTCCTTAGGAACAGTCCTATTTAGGTCTCCAGGGGTGTCCAACCTGAGGCCCCTGGGTTGCATGCTGCCCAGGATGGCTGTGAATGTGGCCCAGCACAAAACTGTAAATTTACTTAAAACATTATAGTATTTTTGGGGGGATTATGTGTCACAATGTATTTAATGTGCAGCCCAAAACAACTCTTCTTTTAGTGCAGCCCAGAGATGCCAAAAGTTTGGACACCCCTGGCTAGACTATGAGGGTGAATGGCTTCAAAGTAGACCATGGTTTCAACTCTGTCCTAGTCTGTGAGAACTAGGATGCGACAGGAAAAAATTTTTAAAGCACTTTTAGTATTCATGCTAGGAGCAACTTACATAGACCTGCATTATAGAGGGTTTTGGGAATCAGCTAGCCTAACTTTCCAAAGGCAGATAGAGGCTTGGCTAAGGGCAAGATCTAATTTGCTCTCAGTGATAGAGGCAGAACTTGAATCTAGGCTTCCTGACTCCCAGTCCAGGTCTTGTTTCTACCCATCTGGTTGCCCCTTAACCTTCTGTGAGTTATCTTTGCTAGTAATAGCCCACCAGATGCTGGAGTGCCACGGACCTCTCAGTCACCTCTCAAATGTCTTAGAAAAGCAGTAAATTAATTCCTTTCCTGATGTGGTCCCTAAATTCATTCAATCATTTTACTGTAGAACAAGTTATGACTGAACTACTAAAGTATTCTTTCAACGTAAACATATTTCTTCCATATAGCTAATTAATTCTTATGTGTTTGTTTTGATCACTTAATTTAAACAATCCTTTTTTTTTTAAATGAAGAATTGCTAATCCTGTACTAATGACGTGTCTAAATGTGTAAGTTCTGGGCAGGTTCAGAAATAAAGCTCCAGTATGGAAGTTTCTCTAGCTTTTGAATCCTTCAAAGTCAAATTCAACAACATGTCTTTCTTTTTATCTCTTCTTAGTCTTTTGCCAAAAATATTCCACAGTTGGTGACTGATCCATTTCCTGCTGAGTTATATTTAGGCTGTTCTGAAGCTTTCTTCATAATCCAGTGAAGAAATAGAGGCCTGAAGAGGTCAAGTGTCTCAGGAGAAACACTTGTTTCAAGTGTTTCAAGAGAAAAACAACACTTCTAAAAAACTGAGACACATCTATTTATTCCTAGCTCTACGTTTCATGCAGTTATACCAAGTTCCCACTTTGTAGACATCTATTTTGAGAAATGTCATTTATATATAAAACATTGTATCCTGTGTAGGAGCTACACCCCCAAAGAATAAACCAGTGACGTAAATGCAACTAAAACAAAAAAGAATTATTTTGATTCATACCGAATAGAGCAGTGAGGTACCAATAAACTGGATTATACCATATATGGTCAAGTATTTAAATACTCCAAAGGATGAAACCAGAGCAGCTCGGCCTTCTCTGTTTAAGAAAAAGAAAAGTAACTGGTTATATGTGATACACATCTCCCACTCTCCTTTATATTTCAAAAAGAGTTTAATTTTTAATAGCCTGTTGACACACATTCACTTAACCACCAATTTATCCTCTCAGTTGTCTATTTACTCATTCATTTATTGTCTCTTTTAATCATTACCTCACTCATTAATCCATGCACTCACCTTTAGTTAGGGTTTATGATTTACCAGACTTATGTTAAGAGTCCTGGGGGATATCAATTAATCAGGCTTAGTCTTTATTTTCAATAAGCTTTCAGTGAATTAAGAAGATTGACAGGTACATTATAAACACAATGCATTATGATGAGGTGGAAAATGTGAAACATTGACTTGACTATGACTCATTACATCCTAACGACATTCGCTTCCTAAGAACCCAGCTGTGTCTGCTTTCAAGTCCCTTAGAGACCCAAAGCATTTCAGGAAGGGTCGATGGGACTCCAATATTGGAGGTGAAATGGGATTTGTTGGCTTCCATACACCAGGAAGAACCAAGGGTAATAATCTGAGCTGGTGTGAAGACCAAAAGAGATAAAGGTAAGGGTAAAAATTGCAGCTTAAAAAGCAAATATTCCTCTATTTAAAAAATTATTTAAGTTTCTACTCCTTTAACTGGGGCTTGGTTGGGTGATGGATTATGACAGGCTGTACAAGACAGGCAAGGCAGTAGTGTGATGGGAGAGTGGGGAACATAGTGAACATCCCCACTTTCGGCCTCCTCTTTTTTTTTAAAGATTTTATTTATCGGTCTTTAAAGGGGAAGGGAAGGAGAGAGGAAGAGAAATATCAATGTATGGTTGCCTCTCGTGAGTCCCCTGCTGGGAACTAGCCTGCAACCCGGGCATGTGCTCTGACTGGGAATCAAACTTCGATACTCTGGTTCACAGGCCTGCACTCAATCCACTGAGCTATTCTAGCCAGGGCTGCGGCCTCTTCTTTTCCCAGCAGAAACAAATCCATAGGGAGGCAACTCACACCCCTTTTGTTTCTGGTCCCTAGTGATGTAGACACCCTAGTGATGTAGTCTCTGTAGCACTGCTCAGAGACTGTCAACAGAACAGGGACATGAGAAGGAAAACCTAAAAAAGCTACACCATAACCACCTTGCCTCAAGTAAATGAGAAAGTTCAGGTGGAAGAGGGGCCAAGATGCCATGGGCAGGTATTTCGCAGCAGGCTAGGCGGCACTACATTTGTTTTCCCCACCGTGGGTGGAGCAGAAGACACGCTGAGAAGGGGCCAGCATGTGGAGCCTGGAACATTGTCTGACATAAACTTTGTCATTTTATCCTTTTTCTATAGTTGGGTACATTTACCAAAAAAAAAATAATAATAATAAGAGGCAGATTCAAAGGGAAGTTCAATAACCCATTCTAACTAAAGAATAGAGAATGTTTGCCTGGACCTCCAATATTACTGCTACTCCTACTGAGTATGTATTTTAAGCTGCTCATTCATTTATCTATGCATTCCACAAACAGTAAGCAGATGCTCTGATGCATTTGGTTTAGTGAGAGGCACAATGATACAGAAACGAATAAGGTACAGTTGTTGCTCTAAAGGACTTGAGGGCAATATCGCTCCTCTGAGGGCCACTTTCTCCAGAATCAGCATGCGTCACAGAGAGCAAGAGTACAGCGAGCCTAATGGAGCTGAACCACATCTAATTTTTATAAATCTATGAACTATCAAAGCAAAGAGTTTCTACCCTGAAATATCATTGAACCACCAGCCACTAGAGAAATTTTACATCATCACTTGTAATTTAAAACAGTATATCATATTTACAAATGAATCAGGCCACATGTGCGAAAAAGAGCATCTGAAGTTCAAATACTAATGCCTTTTGGATGGACCAACCGGAACTTTGTGCAACTATCTAGGACACAGGTGGCAAACACAAGACCCTCCACCTTGTTTCTACCTGGCAGCAGTGCCAAACTCTCACTTAACTACTGTTAAGTAGCTACATTTATACAGTCCTGAAGTTACATTCGTCCCTTTGAAGGCAGCCACAGGCTGATGTGGCCCCTGGTGAAGATGAGTTTGACACCCCTGCTCTAGGAGTTTAAACTCTCTGTAGTCTCCACACCTGGTTCTCCAGCTTCACCTTCACAACTCCCGTATGAGAATCCTTCCAACCAGATCGGACTATTGGGCTCCCGTGCCCTCCAATTAAAACCCTGTTTCCAAATATGGCTTTCCATTTCCCTGACCTGGAATCCTCTCCCAGCTCCTTCTGTTCACAACGGTCCTTTAAGGTGCAACTGCCCTGCTGAAACCTTCCCTCCGGCTAGAGTTATCACACTGAACTACTGGGAAAGTTACTGTATTGTTGGATGTGACCTTATTTAAAGCTAATTTATTGAGCACCTCTCACTCTGTTTTTTCTTATTATATCTATATCTACCTATATTCTTAATTAAAATGTAAGTCCTCCAGGGCAAGGCTCTCTCTCATTTTTAATCCCCCACATTTCAAGCACAATACTTAAAAAGAGCTCCACGAGTCATGTTGACAATGGAAAGCATGAACAAGGGGGAGGGGTCTGAGCACTCTCATGCTGTAGTCACCATGACATGAACCAGAGTGAGGCAAAAGAGGTAGTAAGAAAAAGGCTTGGAAAGAGTCACTGAAAGCAGTAAAACATAATGGCCGATTGGCTAGGAGTAAAGAAGAGGAAAGAGTAAAATGTACTCTGAGCTTCTGAGCCTGAATGACAGACACAAAGGACCACATGGTCCTTAGAAGCAGGGAACCTAGGGGTTAGGGAGAGGAGTGCTTTGGAGTCTGGGGAGGTGGTGATGTTTGAGGGTATGGAAGGACACAGGTGCAGCCACCCAGTGTTCAGGAATATGTGTCAAGCTGTTGCCCTGACGTGCAGCCGAGTAGGGGCATGGAATTTCTAGCCTGGCACCTTTTGGTCAGTGAGTCTTGTCGGTAGCTGCCCATCCATATACACCACAGGACATGCCAGAGAACTACATGGTTGTCTTTTTTGTATAAATCTCATTTGATGATATCTTCCAGACCACTGGCCATGAAGATGGCCCAGATGTACCCCACAATGTTATAGGAAACAAAAGGGGAATAGGACTTAAGAAAAATATAGAGCCTATTGTATTGTTCCTAACTACATTTCAAACAAGAGTACAGACATCAGAAATGAGAGGGAAGTGGAAATAAGGGAGCTATATTGGGAAAATAAATAGTTTTTAATTCCTCTCTCTTCTCTAACTATTACCAATCAATCGTAAAATCCTTTTATGCAGTCATTTTGGATGTTCATTCATTTGTACTTTAGGGATGGAACGCTACTTGGGGAAGCTACCTGATGGAATGGCCCCTTTCTGCTTCCTCACCATTGTCGACTATTGAGAGAAAGGTTCCAGTGAGCACCCAACGTACAAAATAAAGCAGAGAAGTAGAAAAGCAATTAATTTTTAAATACCAACTTCAGCTTTCCACTATCCATATGACACAGTCATTTATCATTTAATGCTCAGCAAAAGTCTTTTTTGTGTGTGGCTTTTACCCGCATTCGCAAGCAGCACTCATGGCTTCCTTGCTTGGTGCTCCAGTGGCACTATACCCATGCCTCCATTGAGACAATTAACACTAAATTACAGCAGAATTCTGTCCAGAGCCAGACAACGAACCCATCAGTCATGGGGGCAGAGGAGGAAGAAATGGCTTACTTGATGAGATGAGGTACACACTCAATGTTGGCCATTTTTGAGGTGAAAGGCGAGGCCACAGATGCCTCCTGTTCTGACAAGGACACGCCCGCATGAGCCATTTTCAAAGCCTGGAATGATAAATGCGTGTTACACCCAGGGCTCCTCAGGCCAGGCTCTGACTGCTCAGACACTGTGAGGCTCTTCTTCACAGTGTAGAGTTTTACAACACTGCAAGCTTCCACCCCTGGGTCTCTGATTCTGTTCTCCCTGTACCTGGAATACCCTTTCCCCCTGATCCACAAAGTCACCAACTAAAGAGGCACCAACTAAACAATGATCCAGAGGTAGAAGAAAGGGGCATATGTGTGTGTGCATGTCTGTGTATTGGCTGTGGGGTATCGAGGTAATAAAAAATGGAAACATTCAAGAATCCTATTAAAAAGATGACAGCATTTGAATATACATTTGTTAGGCAAATTCATTATCACAGTTCTCACACTTAGCAGGTCATCCTGATGAATGATAGGAAAAAACATCCAATCCCCACCTTTCCATAGGCTTTCTGACCAGGCCAACCAGCTAACTGCTGGGATGATATATGTGGGGCACACCGCATCTTTACTGAATGCAGGAACTAGATCATACTCATTAATGACTTATACTAGTACGTCTGTTGCCCCATTGAAATGAAGGCTAATTCATTTCTCACCAAGACTGAAAACTGTTCACAGAAACAGACTCATAGACACAGAGAGCAAACTGATGGTTACCAGATGGGGGTGGGGAGGTTGGTGGTCTGGGTGAGAACTGTGCAGATTAAGATGTACAAATTGGTAGTTACAAAGTAGTCATGGGGATGTCAAGTACAGCATAGGGAATATAGTCAGTAACACTGTAATAACTATGTAAGTGTCAGATGGGTACTAGAATGATTAGGGGGATCACTTCATAAATCATATAAATGTCTAATCACTGGGTTGTACACCTGAAACTGATATAAAATAATATTGAATGTCAACCTGGATTAAAAAAATAAGAAAAGAAACACTGTTTATAAGAGTAATTATAAAATATATCACATAAAAATAATTTTTTTAAAAAGACTGAAAACTTTCCAGAAAGCACACAGAGCAGAGAGTGACAAATTGGAAGGCTGACAAGTCCTTGATTCTATGGGAATTGTGTGGGAATAAAATAAGACTTTGTATTTCTGCAGTTCTATACAACTACGAGGGATCTGGATACTATGACTGATACAAAACTAAATTCATGGTGAATAAATATTAAGATATTTTCTTATTCCTCTCTTTTCTCTTAATACTTCACACCTCTATCATATAATTTAGTACTGTCTGTGTTATGTGAGGGTTATTTTTATGCATGATTCTTTCCCCCACCAAACAATGAGCTCTTTAGAGGCAGAGACTACTGTATCCTTTTCGGCACTTGATTTCTTCATTTGGTTCTAAACTCCACATAACTAATGGGAATGAGTACTCATTCTAAAATTTGAAGAGTGAACTAAAGACTAGCTTAGTGTGAAATATAATGCAGAAAAATTCACAATAGATCTCTAAGTATGAACATAGTTTTACATAGAACTTTGAAGAAAACATTTGAAGAAGAAAGTAAAATAAATACTCAGATATTCAGTATCTAACAGGCTTTGGAAATACAAAGCAATCCCTTCGCTCCTTGTCCCACACATTAACAACTAAAATATTTTCTTATGTACATAAATTTTTAAGGTAGTGTTTCAACAATATCTTTAAAACTCAGGTTATAAAACACATACTGTCCCTACTGTGTAGAAGAAGTAATCTGTTGAGAATCATTTAATTTAGGTTTTGCTACAGTATATATCAACTGAATAGTTTGGTCTAGAAGCTCATTGAAATTGTTTAATATTGTGCTTATCTTGGTTCAGTCATCAGGTGATATGAGGACTGCAGCCAACACATGAAGAGAAGGCTAAGACTCAGAAGGGCAGCAATGGGAGGGTTAGGCAAGGTCACTAAAAGCAAAGATGTGTCATTAGAGACCAAGGTTAAGATCATCCATATCTTGCATGCCCAGTTACTGTGTACAGACACAAAAGTTGGACAGTGAAAAAGGCTGATAAGAAAAAATTGATTCACTTGGAACGTGGTGTTGAAGGAAAGCTCTGCAGAGACTCTGGACGGCCAGAGAGAAGAAAAGTGGGTCCTAGAGCAAATGAAGCCCGAACATTGGCAGAGACAAAAGTAACAAAACTGAAGCTACCCCGTTTTAAGCATAACCTCAGAAGGCAAGGCTCTTCTGCAAAGACCATAGTGCTAGGAAAATGGAGAGCAGCAGGGAAAGAGGAAGACAAACACGAGATGGACTGACTCCATAAAAGAAGCTGCAAGCGTGAGTCTCCAGGAGCTGAGCAGGGATGCTGAAGACAGGACACTGTGGGCATCACATATTTACAGGGACTCTGACAGGCATAGCCGACCCTACGGCATGTAACACACACAGTTTCAACCACATGTAAGAACTGGGGCATAAAAATCGACTTCCAAAAAAGTAACCCTGAAGTATCAATAGAAGTTCGGCCGGAATAATACAATTAAATCTTTTAGCAATAGTTTCAAACTTTTCCTTCACTATGATTTTTGTCAGTTGTGTGACTTCAGGCAAAATAAGAATTCACTTCCCTGGACTCATTTTCTTATTGATAACGAGAGATTTACACCAGCTGGTCTTACAAAGTTTCTATAAGTCTGAAATACGGGAGTGTAAGTAGCCTTCCCTTGTCTTTATTATTCTAGGCGTTGCCAGAAAACAGCTGAGGTAACTTATTTCATTTCACTCCTCTCCACTCCAGCCCACACTCAGGTGCAGTTGAATATATACAGTAAAATAATCAGGTGATCTTTGGCAGAAGGGTGAAGAGTCAGAACCCGGGGGACTGTGGGGTTCTCAAATGGGATATTAGTGAACTGCCTGAGTTAGTAGAAGCAGTTTCTACTCACCCCACAGTCATTGGCTCCGTCTCCACACATGCCCACATAATAACTGTAGAGAAAAAGATCAGGAAAATTAGTAACAAGACCTCACCTGAATGATTTCCCTCATACCTAAGTCACATGTGATGTGTGTGTGTATGTGTGTGTGTGTGTGTGTATTATGAGAAAGAGAGACCTGAAGACATGTAGAATCCGGCTTCAGAAAAATCCTAGAGGAATGAGGCCATTATATTATTTAAATTGTTTTACACAATCATATGGAAGTGATAATGATACTGCGGGGATGTCCACAAAGATGATCACACACTTCAGAAGAAGTCCTGCTTGATTATACCCACCAAGGCCAAGGGTAAGGTTACACAGGCATAATCAGAGCACTTGCCACAGAACCTAATACACAGACCATAACCTAATCCATCCATGTTTTGGTTGCTGACTGCTGTTGGGAGTTTAGAGTGAAGACACCAGGGTGAGAAACATTTGGGAAATAGCTTAACAGATAAAACTAGAGACAGATACACATATTTTTGATGCATCTTGGAGTAAAAATAAGATGATATGCTCCCATCATATCAGTTTGGGGTGCAAACACAATGGTACCAATAACAGAGTAAATAGGGTGTGGGAGGTGAGAAAAGTAAATAAATGAGCAAATATTAGAGCTGTTGCCAAAGAAAAATGAATTTCTGATTCAAGACATACTCTGTCTTCTTATACAAGTAAATAATACATTATAGGTATCGATTAATGACAATAATATTAAAGGCTCAGCTGCAGATTGCCAAAGGCAATTGAAATAACCAGATAATATAGAGAAAAGGTTTTTGAGAATTTCCTTACTATTAGTTGACAAAGAAATGGCCATTTTTAATAGGTCAAAAATGGTCAAAACTAAGCAAAATCATATTTGGCCAGAATAAGTGAAAATCGCTCTATAAATATTTGCATGTTTGCTCTGGCTGGTGTGGCTCAGTGGGCTGAGCAGTGGCCTGAGAATCAAGCCCCACTGCTTTGATTTCCAGTCAGGGCACATGCCTGGGTTGCCGGTTGGGTCCCAGGTCGGGGGCGCATATGAGGCAACCACACACTGATGTTTCTCTCCCTCTTCTTCTTCCTCCCTTCCCCTCTCTCTAAAAAAAAAATCTTAAAATAAATACTTGTATGTGGTCATTTACATGTCATGACTATGCACATTTGCTGAAAATGGGTTTCCTTCTTCAGCCTGAAAGCACGTCTTCAGTCTCTGTATCACACAAGGAATCTTACACGTTTTATCAGCCCCCGAATTCAGAAGGAGAATTCAGACAGCCTTCTGCACACTGCCAGTGATAAAGGCATGAGGAAGAAAAAACTGTGAAATTGAGAAGACCGCTCATTCTGAAATAGCATATATCTTCCTGAATTGGTTTTTCTTTAGGGGAATATAGCTTTTCAACTTTAAGCATTGAAGTTGGCAAAATTTCTCAGGCATTTGAGAAGGGTAAAGTTACTCTCATCAGCCAATGTTACATAATGACCATGTGAGAGAAATAGCCATTTCAGACACTGGTTACTAATCCAGACAGAAGGCATTATGGGAGTTAATAAGCAATTTTTGAAACACCCCAAGAATGCTTGGGCAACAAAAAATAATAGTAGAAGTCAGTCTTGGGATTTTACCTGCTGCTTATCAGCAATTATCTTAAGTTTCACCACTCTCTGTTCCTTTCCACTTTTTAGAAATCCATAGCCGAGAAACTGTAATATTCCTAGCATAGAATAGGCAGGTTTGGTCTCAAGAAGAACCATTTTATTCTAACATGACATGGTCATCTATATTTTTGAGGGAGATAAGAAAGGACTTTGTTTTTTCACTTTGGCCTCTACACCCATTTCCTGCCAGAGCCTGATATAGTGAGTATGTCATTCACCTCTTTTCTAGAAGATCGGCAATTATTTACATATCTTCTAATGAACCCGCCTCAGGTAATTTCAAGTGTAACTCACATACTTCCCCATTTTTCCCTTTCTGAGTGATAGAAACCCTACTGTTTCTATTGTCTACATCCAGGGAGGCAATCTTCCTCTAAGATATGCCCTGCGTGGGCCACAGTACGAAAGCTCTCTGGGGCAGAAAACTTCTAAAATGGTCCTCAGGGACCCCTGCTCCTGGTATTTTCGATGTTGTCTCGTGCCCTTCTTTGAGGGTGGGCTGGACCTAGTGACTTGCTTCTAATGAAGAGAATACAGCGAAAATAATGAGATGCCATTTCTGAGTTGAAGATATAAAAACACGGTGATTCTCTCTCTGATTCTTCTTCCTTGCTCACTCTTATGAAAGCCAGCTGCCACTCTGTGAGCTTCCTTGTGAAACAACCCATGTGGCAAGAGACTGAGGGTGGCTTCTGTGTAACAGTCAGTGGAAAACAGAAAGTCTTAGTCCATTCCAACAAGAAATGAATCCTATGAGTGAGGCTGGAGGCAGATCTCTCCCCCTCAGGCGCTGAGATGACTGCAGTCCTGGCCGCCACCTGATTATGGCCTTGAGAGACCTGGAGCCAGAAGAGTCGGCTAAGCGTGCCTGGGTGCCTGACCCACAGAATTATAAAACAATAAATAGTGTTATTCTAAGCCACTAAATTTGGGGGTAATTTGTTACACAGTAGGTAATGAATTCACTCCTTTCATGCAATAACACTTACTTTAATTTCTGGAATTCTTCAACAAGGCTTGATTTTTGCCCAGGAGACATTCTTGCAAAAATGGTTGCATTCACCAGAATCTAAAGAGAAAAAAATGATTGCTGCAATAAGATTAGAAAAAAAGAACACTTTAAAATAAAAGAACAGCCTTGAAAAATCACCTCTGGCCACTGTTTGAACATAGCATTGGGTAGTGGGTCATTAAACCAAATGTCAGGAAAGGGAATAAGGGGATTTAATGCTTTAATATTTAACTTGCACTCTCGGTCCTCCGTCACAACTCTGTTACTTCTTTCCAGGCCATTTTTCCAAGATGGGATAACCTCTACTTAATAATAACAACTAAAAAGCAGTAGAGCATATGGGATAAAAGTGCTTAAGGAAATACAGCCCTTTTTACTGAACCCTGTCTCCACAGCCAAAGCACAGATGGAAAGAGGAGCAACACGTCCAGAGCTGAGAAATAAGCTTCTCTTCTCAGCCCTGAACCAATTCCCTGTACAAACCTTCCACGGGTGACTTGACTTCTCTGAGGCTCAGCTTTCCCATCCCTACAATGAGGAATTGGACTGATCATTTTCTGGAAGTCTTTGGGGTCTAGATTTTATGGTCCTTGGCTGATAAGATGAGAGAATTCTCAAGACATGGCTAACAGAGGGGTGCTGCCCCAGCTTGTGCTCTACTTACCTCCTTCACAGGGACAGCACAGCCCCACACGGCACTGCTTTAAAATAGACATACAGAGGACAAGATAACAAGTGATTCTGAAAAGAATCTGTGGGGACTTTGTTTCCTCCTGCTGTAATTCAGAGAAAAGCTGACCCACAAAACAGGAACGTGTTTGGAACTATCCTGAGGTCCTCCCTGCTGGGGAAGGAGGAAGGAGGGAGGCTGGGGTTGGACTGCTGACAGGGGCAACTGGAGGTACCAGAACTCAAACACCCAACAGGAGGCCATGAGCAAGGGCCTGGCCAGGGCCAGGAAACTTCAGAAGGGGCAGTGGCCCTTGGGAGGTGTTTATTCTCTAACTCAGAGATATTCTCAGTGATGTCAGCCTTACTACTCTCTTGCCCTTTTATGCCTCACTAATTTGCAGAGGAAAACACAACATTTCATTTCCCCAGTACTCACTTTTGGAAGCAAGCTGTTGAAATGCTGAAATAGCACTTGGTATGATTTCCCACTCATTGCAAAATGATAACAGCTCCCTCTTTCTCCAGCAGGCACTGAACTGTTTCCAATATTAACGTAGGTTTCCTAAAATCAAAACGCATCATTTCCACACAGACTCCTAGCTCTTTCAGAATCACTTTTCTTTCCAATGTCTTCTATAAGGAATTACGTTCATATTTCATAACCACGTAAGGGCTAGCAAACACATGTGTAACTTGCCCATGGAACATAGATTTATATGAAGAAGACACTCGAAATATCTCCCCAACATTATATATGAATATGCTATACTTTGACAACATGATGCTCTGGATCCTATCCTGGGAGCTAATATGTGTATTTCATTCTATGGAGGAAATTATTCTCAGGTGCCAATTAGTAATTTTAAGAAGAACAGGAACATTCATCCTTCCTTTTCTTCTCTCCATCATGCAATATTTTATTTCCTAAGATCACTTACAACTCATTCCTTCAAAAATCATTCCAGTCTTCACTATAAAATAAACACCCTCTTTTATCGGAGCCAGAGTTCCTTTAGCCCCTGACCTCCCCCCAGCCCAGCAGGAAACCTGCTTCCTTACGGGGCCCATCTCCTTTTCTGAAATGCGTTTCTTCCTGTCTTTCACCTGTCAGTGTCCCCTGACACCATGTTCCGGCCCCACAGAAGATCATATGATGAGTGCATATGCACTCATCATGTCAATAGGTGAGAAAACTTCATTCATTAGAGAAATTCATCTTTGGGAAAATATTGCACTTGGAAGAAAAAATATTTTGATGCGTCAAATTGGAAGGCAAGGTGCATCTCCTCCCAAGTCCCATCAAACAGCCAACAAAAAGACATGCTCTGAAGCATTCCATTGAGGCAAGGACAGGCTTCCTTCTACTTTTAGTAGAAATTGCAGGGCAGGGGCTGGTGGGAGGGAGGCAGAGAGGAGGAGGAAACCCTGAGACTGTGATGTGACTTCTCCTAGCAGCAGCTGAAATGTCAGTCAAGGTAGTAAACCCACGAATGGGTGGTGTGAGTGCACCATGTGTTAAACATAAGTGAGGACCTGAGTTTCATCACGCAGTGAACTTGAGGCAACATAAAATGATGTTGAAGTCTGCCGAAAGCATAGAGAGAGTTGTCGTCTTTCACTCAAGCCCATGCAAAGGGGTTTGAGCCAAGCGAAGGCACCTTCCATAGGGTAGGGGCAGGAGCATTCTGGGCAGTTGTGAAGTTTGCATACTGAACAAAGGCCTGCTCTACACTTTACAAGCCAAAGGACTGGCCAGCTTAGAGGAAGAGAGCATTTTTGTGAATTATCACCAGGAGGACCATCTCTCTGAATTAACACAATGACTGAGGTGGTGCATTCAGTGATGGGATATCAGGCTGCAACCGCTCCCTTCGTGTGAAAAAGCTGTTCTGTCTTAAGTACCAAGGTTGCTTACTCTGGAGAAAAGCTGACACCTGTTAACCGCATGTCACAGGTGCAGCGCTATCTACATGCTCGTGACTTGGGTGGAATCAAACAAAGCTGGGTTTGTAGTCTGCTCTGCAACTTGCTGGTTGTATGCCTTGGACAGACTCACCTCCTCAAGCTTCAGTTCTCTCATTTGTAAAATGAATAGTTTACTCAAGGGTACAGGGTAACTGAGGATTACGTGGAGATTATGGATGTAAATTGGTGTTTTTCAACCATGACTTAACATTGCAAACACCAGCAGGAAAGGCTGAGACCAGCTCCCAGCCCAGGGGTTCTTATTTAACCAGTAGAGCTTTGGCATGGGAAGCTTAATCATCTTCCAGGCGATGTGTCTGTCCAGCTGGGACTGGGAAGTGCTGATGACAATGTTAAATGTGTCCTGGCTGGTGTAGCTCAGTGGATTGAGGGTGGGCTGTAAACCAAAGTGTCACGGTTCAATTCCCCAGTCAGGGCATATGCCTGGGTTGCGGGCCAGGTCCCCAGTGGAAGGCCATGTGAGAGGCAACCACACATTGATATTTCTTTCCCTCTCTTTCTCCTTCCCTTCCCCTCTCTCTAAAAAAAATAAGAATAAAAAAAGAAGTAACATATTTTAAAAAAGAAAAGGAAATGCTAAATGCTTTGCAAATTGTAAACCTCTGGACAGGTATGAGGATTATTACTATGATAACTTGTGATACCAAGAGAAGAATGCCCAGGGCCAGCACCCCGTCAGCTCCAGCCACAAAGGGGCCCTTTAACATTTGCTCACATTCTTCCCAGGTCCATTCTCTTGGTTCTCTACCAGCTGCCAGGTCACAGAAGCAGGAACAAACTCTTCTGGTTCACTGGCATCGATGAGGATCACTTGGCTCCCTTGAGGGATCATTTCAGAATTCTTTGCAACGGTAATGGCTGTTTGCAGGTTGTCACCTAGTTGACAAAGAAAGTGAGCTGGCTTTACGTATAAACCTCTCAGCAATGAGAATTGAGCTCCCCCTCTCCTGCCTGTCCATACTGCTTGGTTGGTGGTTGGGGGAGCATTTACTGCTTTCTGCCTTTTTCAATAACCCTTTCTTTTCTTCTCTGCCTCAGCCCGTCTGCCCCTAGTGATCAACTGCCATATCTGCATTTCCCTCCCACCACAGTGAGTGTCCTGCTGTCCTGAACACTGTTCCAAAACCTGCACAAGTGAACAAATCAATGTCTGTCACTTCATGACTAATCTTCAGGAGACTGACAGCTCTAAGTGGTGAAGGTAGTATGACCCAATCTGATAGCATCAAACCACCCTTGGGATCTGGATTCCAGGTAAGCAGAGAAAAGAACACTTAGTTCCGGCTGGACCACACTTGGGTTGGATCATCCCATTCCATGCCTGTCCCCATTGCCCCAAAGTACAGTCAGGCTGAGTCTCACACCCTTTACGCAGAGGTCTTATTGGGATTATTGATGCAAACACACCCATTCCTGTGTTTGAACATTTACTGGGAGCCCTTAGTACTGTGCTTCCTGGGTAGGAAGAGTGGGCATTAGATAAAGAAAATGCAATATGGTTAGTGCCTCCAAAAGTCCTGGTGGTGTTGGGGGAGCCACGCGTTCCCAGATAACCATACCACAGTGTAACAGACTTGGCAGCAAAGCGTTCTTCTTTCTGCCTCAGTCACATCAACTCAGTCAGCTCACACTGTATTCTTCTTATGCCTGAGACACATTCAATTTACCAGGCCTCCAGAAACACATACCCACCAGTAATCATCACGGTCCTGATGTGGGCCTCATTCAGCTCCTTCAAGACTGGTTTGGTTTCCTTTTTCAAGCGATTCTCCATTATGAGAAGTCCCAGAAATGTTAACTCAGACTCCACCTTCTCTCTTTGGATTCAGGAAAATCAATATTAAAGCTTATTTATATAGTCTCAAGAGTTGGATTCATTTTTTTTAATTTCTAAGTTTTATCAGTGTAATATATGTCCATATTTAATTAATTTAAAAAAACCCCAAAGACTTCAAATAAAAACCAAGAGATCATGTCCTCACACCACCCTTATTCTTAGCGGCAGCAACCACTTTTATATATTTTAGCTCCTTATAGTTTTCAACTCCATTTTTTAAAAAACATTGTGCTTATCTTGCAACTCTTCTGTTGGTTGTGAAAACTTTTGTGAATCATTTGCATTTTTATTTCCAAGGCATTTTTAGAGCTTGTAATAATCAATTTATTACACATTTATTAAGTATATATTTCATAGAAGATACTATAGTAATAGTCAAATATGGTGTCATTCATTTCAGCTTCTATCTATAAGCTCCAGTATAAATGTGATATCAGCCAAGGATTTGAACAGTTTTCAGAATTTGAAATCAGAGGCTTGGAAATATGATTCAAATTTGAATGGGAATATTACTGTCTAGAGTAGAGTCTAAATTGCTACATATTTCAGGCAAAAGTCCATTCACTGGATAACTACTTTATTTCAGATCTTATATCAGGCACTTTAGATACTCAGATAATCAGATATAAATCCTGTCTTAGAGATCTCAGAAAATTTTCTTTAAAACATATACCTTAGTATAGAACTTGCTAAAATCCCATCATTTGACCTCATGAATTTCCATTTTTAATTGGAGTCATATTTTCTCATTAACTTGAATTAAAAGAAAGATGCAAAAACCTTCTCACCAGTTTATTCTGGTTTTCAGCTCTGTTTCAGAACTCTTCCCCTTGTCCACCTTTTCAGACACTGTGGCTTTTGTGATTCCACAACATTTCTAGCAAACTCCTGTTTCAGGGTCCTCGTGCCACTATTCCCATTGCCCGAGAGGTGTCCCCCACTGTGGGTATCCTCTATCCCTTTACCCAATCTCTGATCAAAGGTTTACCTCCTCAGAGGACTTCCCCATCCCCCATGTAAAATGGTGTATTCTGGTTGCTGTTTTTTAATCCTCTCAACCTGCTTTATTTTTTCCTTTCGGGTATTGATCAGTACTTGACAAGATTGTATAGATTTATTTTATTACCTGTTTCCCCAATTAGGATATAAGTTCAGGAGAACAAGGATTTTATTTTATTCGCTTCTGAATCCTTAAGTACCTTAAAGAGCATCTCATACAGACCAGCTCCACAGATCTTTGCTGAACCAGTGAAAGGGGAAATCTTGATAAAATATTTCTTCTATTTTTAGTGGGGTTTTTTGCCATCTCACAAAGCTCTCCTACTTCCTTTTCTGATGGCAGTTTTTTAGAATTTTTTGTAGTTTCTAATTGGAAACTTTGCTAAATAGAATTTGATTCTAAAGAACATTAAAACACTATTCCTTTACCCTATTTGAAAATAATAACTGAATTCCAAGAAGGAGAATAGGTTCCTGAAAAATTTAAGATGGTTAGAAATCTAGCACATTTTATCCTTATTCCTTAAATTTTGGTCTATTTATAATAATGTCTGTCTCACTAGTAGCCTTTAAATAAGAACATCGCAGCTGCATGTACATGCTGCAGCTGGGGGGTAGCTGCGCTCCATGTCCAGCTACTTAAATATTCTTTTCACAAATGATCTTCATGTTTGTTATTAAAATTTACCTTGAAAAATTATAAAATCCTGAGTGTGATGGGTTTTTATGCTTGCTCAAGAATAGCTAACACCTTGAGACTTCCGCCAAGATGGAGGTATAGGTGGAAGCACTGTACCTTCTTGCACAACGAAGTTTAAAAACAACAAAATTTTAGCAACAAAAACACAGCTAAACCACAGATAATTGAACTACATGGAAGTCTGACAACAACGAACCCTTCAGCCAAACCAGTCCAAAGCCTGAGAGTGAATCAAAATTCTGAGTGATGGGCCTGGGCACCAGAGGAGTCAGCTATGGGAGCTGGGACACTCAGAAGTGATAGGCAACCAGCACGGGGACCAGCGCGAGGACCAGCGCGAGAGTAGGTAGAGACAGAGAACATCAAGATACCTGAAGGAGTCTGCACCACTGAAATTCACAGGTATTATACCACAGAAGTTCACACCATAAACCCAGGGAGTCAGAACAGATCAATTTTAGAAGCTGAGACTAACAAGAATAGTCTCATAATGGGAAGACAAAGAAACAATCCCCAAATGAAAGAAAAAGCAGAAACTTCAGACAGAATGTTAGATGAAATAGAGGCTAATCAACTATCAGATATTGAATTCAAAGCACTGGTTATTACGAAGTTCAAAGAGCTCACAATGAGCTACCAGAAACTACAGGGGAACTACAATGATCTCTCTGCAAACTACATCAACATGAAAAAGGAAATAGAAAATATCAGCAAGGGACAAGAGAAAATGAAGAATACAATTTCTGAATTGAAGAACACAATAGAAAGTTTCAAAAATGAAATAGATCAGGCGGCAGATCGGATTAGCAAGTTGGAGGACAAAGTAGAAAGCATCTCACAGAAAGAGCAAGAAAATGAAAAGAAGCTCAGAAAAAATGAAGAGGGATTAAGAGAAATGCAAGACAATATGAAATGTAATAATATCCGAATAATAGAAATACCAGAAGGTGAAGAAGAAGAACAAAAGATAGAAAATGTATTTGAAAGAGTAATGAGAGAAAATTTCTCTAATTTGATGAGAGAAAAAGTCACACAAATCCAGGAATCACAGAAAGTCTGAATCAAGAGGAACCCAAAGAGGCCCACTTCAAGACACATTATCATTAAAATGGCAAAATTCCAAGACAAAGAGAGAATCTTAAAGGCAGCAAGGGAGAAAAAAGAAGTAACATACAAGGGAGCCCCAATAAGGTTAGCTACTGACTTCTCAATGGAAACACTCCAAGCAAGAAGAGAATGGCAAGAAATATTCCAAGTAATGAGAACCAGAGGCCTACAACCAAGGCTACTTTACCCAGCAAGGCTCTCAATCAAGACAGAAGGCCAAATAAAGAGCTTCAAGGCAAAAGAAGCCTAAAAGAATATGCCTCCACAAAACCAGCTCTACAAGAAATACTGAAAGGACTGCTTTAAGGAAAGGAAGAAAGAGAGGGAAAAAGAGAGGAACACAGGTACAAAAATGGTGATGAATAAGTACCTATCAATAATAACCTTAAATGTAAATGGATTAAATGCTCCAATCAAAAGACACAGAATAGCTGAATGGATAAGAAAGCATGACCCACCCATATGCTGCCTACAAGAGACCCACCTCAGGACAAAAGATCATCACAGACTAAAAGTGAAAGGCTAGAAACAAATTTTCCAAGCAAATGGACAAGAAAAAAAAGCTGGGGTAGCAATTCTCATAACGGACAAAATAGACTTCAAAAAAAGAGCCATAAAGAGAGACCCAGAAGGTCACTTCATTATACTCAAGGGAAGAATCCACCAAGAAGACATTAACATCATAAATATATATGCACCCAACATAGGAGCACCAAAATATATAAAGAAAATCTTAGAGGACTTCAAGAAAGATATTGACAGCAACACAATTATAGTAGGGGATTTTCACACCCCACTGTCAAAAAGGGACAGATCTTCCAAACAAAATATCAACAAAGATATTGCAGCATTAAACAACACCCTAGATGAAATCGACTTAACTGATATATATAGAGCCCTTCATCCCAAAGAAGCTAAATACACATTTTTTTCAAATGCACATGGAACATTTTCAAAGATAGACCACATGACAGGACACAAAACGAGCCTCAAAAAATTAAAGAAAATTGAAATCATACCAAGCATCTTCTCTGACCACAAGGGATTGAAATTAGAAACCAACCCCAAAGGAAAAAACCCAAAGCACCCAAAATCATGGAGACAGAATAGTATGCTATTAAACAATGAATGGGTCAAGAATGAAATTAGAGAAAAAAATCAAAACGTTTCTGGAAACAAATGAAAATGATCTCACAACAACCCAAAACTATGGGACACAGCAAAGGCAGTCCTGAGAGGGAAGTTTATAGCAATACAGGCCTACCTAAAGAAGATAGAAACATTTTAAACAAACAACCTAACCCTACACCTGCAAGAACACGAGGAACAACAACAAAGACAGCCCAGAGCAAGCAGAAGGAAGGAAATAACCAAGATCAGAGCAGAATTAAATGACATAGAGACTAAAAGCACAATTCTAAGAATCAATGAACCCAGGAGTTGGTTCTTTGAGAAGATAAACAAAATAGACAAGCCTTTAAGTAGGCTCATCAAGAGAAGAAGAGAGAGGACACAAATAAACACAATCCAAAATGAAAGAGAAGAGATTACAACTGATACCACAGAAATAGAAGGGATTGTAAGAAATTATTATGAAGAACTGTATGCCAAGAAATTTGAAAACCTAGGGGAAATGGACACATTTCTAGAAAAATACAATCTTCCAAAACTCAATGAAAAAGAAGCAGAAAATCTGAACACACCAATAACAGCAAAAGAAATTGAAGCAGTAATCAAAAAACTCCCATCACACAAAAGCCCCGGACCAGATGGTTTCACAGGAGAATTCTACAAAGCATTTAAGGAAGAGCTAACCCCTATTCTCCACAGACTATTCCAAAAAATCCAGAAGGATGGAAAACTCCCAAATTCTTTTTATGAAGCCAGCATCATCCTAATTCCAAAACCAGACAGAGACACAACAAAGAAAGAAAACTTCAGGCCAATATCGCCGATGAACATAGACACTAAAATCCTCAACAAAATATTGGCAAATCGCATCCAACAATATATCAAAAAGATCATACACCATGACCAAGTGGGATTCATCCCAGGGATGCAAGGATGGTTCAATATTTGCAAATCAGTAAATGTAATACATCACATAAACAAAAGCAAAGACCCAAATCACATGATCATATCAATAGATGCGGAAAAAGTTTTTGATAAGGTACAACACCCATTTACGATAAAAACACTTAGCAAAGTGGGAATAGAGGGAGCATTCCTCAATATAATAAAGGCCATATATGAGAGACCTACAGCCAACATCATACTCAATGGGCAAAAACTAAAAGCTTTTTCACTAAGATCAGGAACATGACAAGGATGTCCACTTTCACCACTTCTATTCAATATAGTTTTGAAAGTTTTGGCCACAGCGATTAGGCAAGAAAAGGAAATAAAAGGCATCCAAATAGGAAAGGAGGAAACAAAACTGTCACTGTTTGCAGATGACATGATAGTGTACATGGAAAATCCTATAGATTCTACCCCAAAACTGCTGAAACTGATTAATGAATTTGGCAAAACAGTGGGTTACAAAGTAAATATCTGGAAATCAAAGGCATTTCTGTACACCAACAATGAATCAGCAGAAGCAGAAATCAAGGAAAAATCCCATTCCATATAGCAAAAACAAAAATAAAATATCTGGGAATAAACCTAACTAAGAGGTAAACGACCTGTATGCAGAAAACTACACAGCCCTGAAGAAAGAAATCAAGGAAGACACAAACAAATGGAAACATATACCTTGTTCATGGATTGGAAGAATTAACATCATCAAAATGTCCATACTACCCAAAGCAATATACAGATTTAATGCAATGCCTATTAAAGTACCAATGGCATATTTCACAGACGTAGAACAAACACTTCAAAAATTTATATGGAACCATAAATGACCCCGAATAGCAGCTGCACTTTTGAGAAAGAAGAACAAAGTATGAGGGATCACAATACCTGATATCAAACTGTATTACAAGGCCACTGTAATCAAAACAGCCTGGTACTGGCATAAAAACAGACACATAGACCAATGGAACAGAACAGAGAGCCCAGAAATCAACCCAACTCTCTACAGTCAATTAATATTTGACAAAGGGGTCAGTAACATAAAATGGAGTAAAGATAGCCTCTTCAACAAATGGTGCTGGGAGAACTGGACAGCTACGTGCAAAAAAATGAAACTTGAGCACCAACTTACACCATACACCAAAATAAATTCAAGGTGGATAAAAGTCTTAATATAAGCCGTGACACCATTAAAGTCCTAGAGGAGAACATTGGCAGGAAAATCTCAGATATTTCATGCAGCAACATTTTTACTGATATGTCCTGTAGAACAAGGAATATAAAGAAAAGAATAAACAAATGGGATCTCATCAAAATAAAAAGTTTCTGTGTGGCTAAAGAAAACAGTATTAAATTAAAAAGACAACCAACTGTATGGGAAAACATATTTGCCAATGATACCTCAGATAAAGGTTTAGTCTCCAAAATATACAAAGAACTTACATGACTCCACTCTAAGAAGACAACCAACCCAATTAAAAAATGGGAAAAGGACTTGAACAGACACTTCCCCAAGGAGGACATACAGAAGATCCAGAGGCACATGAAGAGATGCTCAATACCGTTAGCTATCAGAGAGATGCAAATTAAAACCATGATGAGATGCTGCCTTACACCAGTCAGAATGACTATCATAAACAAAGCAACAAACAACAAATGTTGGAGAGGTTGTGGGGAAAAGGGGACCTTAGTTCACTGTTGGTGGGATTGCAGACTGGTACAACCATTATGGAAAACAGTATGGAATTTTCTCAGAAAAATAAAAATCAACCTGCCTTTTGATCCAGCAATTCCACTGCTAGGATTATATCCTAAGAACCCCAAAATGTCAATTTCAAAGAACCTATGCACCACAATGTTCATAGCAGCACAATTTACAATAGCCGAGAGTTGGAAGCAACCTAGGTGCCCATCGGTAAATGAATGGATCAAAAAATTGTGGTACATATACACAATGGAATTCTATGCAGCAGAGAGAGAGAAGGAACTACTACCCTTTGCAACAACATGGATGGAACTGGAAAGCATTGTGCTGAGTGAAATAAGCCAGGGGTTGAAAGACAAATACCATATGACCTCACCTTTAACAGGAAGCTAAACAACAAAACAGACAAGCAAGCAAAATAAAAACAAAGACACTGAAATAGAGAAAAAGGGGACAGTGACCAGAGGGGAGAAGGAAGGGAATTTAAGGGGAAAAAATGGGAGGGATTTAGAGGAACAAGTATACAGGACACAGGGACAATAACTAAGGGGAGTGGAAATGGGAGGGAGGTGGGGTGCGTGGGGAAAGGGTGGGCTGGGATGGGAGAAATAAACAGAAAACTGTACTTGAAAAATAACTAAATAAAAATTTGAAAAAAAGAATAGCCAACACCTTAAATGTGAAGTCTGAGAGTGCCATCCATATATTTCAAAATGAGCTTTGTAATTTTACTTAGAAGATTAAAATGTTGTAGCTAAAAAGGCTCCTTAAAGGTCATCCAATCCTACATTTTGAAGACAGGGGAAATTGACACTGTAAGAAAGGGACAATGACTACAGATTATATTACGGTGGATGGACTTAAGTTGAAAATACTAATGTTGAACAAAGAATATCCATATTTTATGGAGGGGAGCTAATTTTACATAAAAGTATCTCCCTCAGCAACACAAAATCAAAGGTGACCAATGCATAGGTGATTCATTATTCAAATTTTTTACAGTGTTTCTCTTCTTCTTTGTTATAAACAATTCAGAAACAACCTCTAAAAATTGAGAAACATCAAAAGGAAAAATAACCTTCTAATGAGGACCATTCATCCCCTTAACATAATTAAGAATACTGGGTTCTAGTTTGTTTAAGGAACTCAGTTTGCACACACTGTCTCTCCAGGTCTGAGGGAGGTGTATTACTGAGCCCTGAAAGAAGCCAAGTCTAAAGATTCTGGAGGACTTTCTAGGTGCCAATTCTCTCCTTCCTCTTTGTATGTAGGCCTCCCAAGTCAGTTAGCCACGTAGTGTTCCAAGGCTGAAGAAGGGCTTGTCATTTTTGGTGGGATAATGGAATTCAGGAGATGGAGAATTTATGAGCATCTGGAAGTTAGGAGATGTCAGCTACCATCCGTGTTCTGCCACTGACCAGCAGGGTGACCTAATCAAGTCTTACCCTGTGTGGCTCACATTTAGCCATCTCTGAATTAGGGGACTGGAAAAGACTGTCTCTTCACCTCTGAGAGTTTTCTTAATGATTTGAGCTCTCCATCAGCCCATCATTTCTGGGGTTCTTTCTCTTCATTCCCAATTTCTGAGTTTCTTACCTGGATAAACTCTCCACTTCCAAAAGCTTTCCCATGCTCAAGGCTTTATGGGCAAGGGCAATCACACGAAAGCCTTGTTTGGTGTAATTTCTCAGCTGCTGTGGGAAGTCCTTGGGCACTGTCAGGAGAGACGAGAGAGGTAAATGTAGTTACACCGAAGGTCACCCAGCTCCTAAGCAAGGCTTTGGCGTGCAGTCACTGTACCTTGTTTTAACTTTCACTGCATAAAAATGCTTTAATAGAAATGTGGAATCACAAAAATGCGTTTGCCAAATCAAAAATTGGGTGCGCAAGTTGATGGATATCAGTCATCATAATGAGAATATAGATGAAAGTCAGAAGGAAAAGGCCAATTTTATCCAAATGAACCCCTTTGAATGTAATAGTATCCTTGTAAATCTGGGCTGCTGCTTAGAAGGGGCATATGTCTGTAAGACTGAGAAACAATATAAATCAGCTCAAGATCTGGCCCAGGGAGATGAAATTACTGTGAAAATGATCAATTACCTTTCTCGAATACTACCTAATTTAAACGCTGTTTTCCTAAAAGATTTATCTTTTCTACATTATCCTTCCATCGATGTCTCTGGAGCCAGCTCCCCAGGAGCTGACAGAACACCTCTGGTCTAGAATCAGTCTAGTGCCCCAGCTTGTCCCTATGGTTTCCTCTCCCAAATGCGCCTCACTCTCATCCATCCTTGTTCTCAAAACCCTGACTAGCTTCCCATTCTGGCTCCTGATGCTCACTTCACATCTCCTTCCCTGATACCCTGTCATGGCTGAACCACAGCTAGCATTTACTCTCTGCCTCTTTGCCTTGAAATTATCATGTCTGCCTTATCAAATCTTCCAGTCCCTCTTCACATCCACCGAGAAGACAACCACCTCCACACTTGTTGGCTTAGCCTTGTCTGCTTTATGTGTGAACTTTAGAAATACTTTCCCTCCTGAAAGAGAAAGGTATCTGTCAGTACCTGTTTCAGATCTGCAGAACTTGGCCAACATCTCCGGGGCCCCCTTCATGTACACATGGAGGTGCTCCTCCCCTGCCAGCCGAGCCACCACGGACATCCTCTGCAGGCTCGACGAAAATGGGAACTGGAGCAAGATGGCGATGGCTTCCACGGGACTCTGTGGCGCACCAAGAGGGGTGTTTATGAAGCTTTTGAGTGAGATGTATTAGATACACACCAACAAACAGGTTGGTTGTCTTCTGCAATGAGCTCAGGTGCATCATGAAGTGTCACAACACTGGTATTTTTCTGGCTGCCTCTAAGGCGATTTCTTCATCAAGTTGCCAGGCCTGCAAGGCGCTTTCCTTTGGCTGCCTGGACAAATCCTGATCATCTCAGTCCAAGCTCACATGTCTCCCCTCCTTTGTGGTGCTTCTCTCCCAAAGACGGCATTCACTCCCACCTCTGGACTGCTGCGGCTCTGTCTTCAGCCTTTATTATGGCACTTGGAACACTATATTATATTTATTTGTACCTCTAATGATCTTATTTTACCAGCCCCTGTGCTCTTCCAACACAGAGACCAACTCATCTAGCTTCGAAATCACTCTGTCCCTGAGCACCTGGCACCGTTCGAGAGCATATGTAGGTACTCAGGGAGTGTTGGAGAAATTCAGAAATGAAGGAATGAGCTAACCAACTATGGACACTGTTAGGATAAGGCAAATAATAGGAATGTAGAAATATGTGAAAGTCAGAGAGTTTCATCAGTTTTAAGGGAAAGAGCTATATGATTTAAAGAAGCAAATCATACCTGACTAGCTTTTGGTCCTGGTTTTATTATTACGTTTGAGTCTGACATCCCAAATTTGCAGTAGTCTGCATTGTGATCTTCCATTATCTGGTTTAAGATAAAAGAAACATAAGATTCCCTAGAAAAAAATTTATAAAAGAAATTTTTCTCATTTGCATAGCACTTTAATCTTTTCCAAGCCCTTTTCCCATACTTTCTCTCCTAGACCAATTATTTTAATGCCGTCATTGTCAAATTTCTATTGTGTTGATTTACATTAAAGGACCTAGTGACCTAGTGATCTCTAGTGACTGAAGGAGACTGCCCTGGAGATCTGCTCTCCAGCAGAGCTGAGCCCATTAGCTCTCAGAGGAGTTGGGATTGGATTCTGAGCCAAACACGGGACTACTTCTTACCCTATATCTATGCTACTAGCCTAATTGGTCAGCCAGAGAGTTAGCAAGTTAGCTGCCGGCCAATTAATTAGAAAGCATTATTTTAAATGATATGGGTTTTTTGATATTATAACATTATAAGTCATAGCACCTGAGAAACTAATATTCACTTAATATATGGGAAAAGCAGATATATATATATATATATATATTCAGAAAAAGGAGACAACTGTTGGTTTCCACTCTGTCACTTGCTTGTTTAATTTTGGGAACGTCACTTCATTTTCTCAGACTCAAGATCTGAGAAACTCAGATGTCAGTTTCTTTTGAAAAATGCTCTTAACATCCCTCTAGTGCTAAAATTTCTACAGTCTGCAAGGACTATTTCCCTCCCCCTTAACGTTTAGTGAAAGGCTCCTGCCTAAAGATGTTTAACTCAAGGCTGCTTCTCACCCAGCTTTAAACTCAGTGAATAATCTTACACTTTTATGCTGTGTTTGGGGTGGATAGAACTGTTTGTAAAAACAGTTCTTTCAGAGCTACTACTAAAGATTGATGCTCCCACACAAGACCCTAACTTGTCTGCCATTTGTGCAGATAGATCCACCCTCCTCTGACGGAGAAGGGATCTCGCTGTAACCAGGATCTAAGTCCCATGCAGTAACAATGGCCCTCTGCCGTCCATGATTGTGTCACCTCTAATGATGCTGGTAAGATATTGCAGATAATAATTACACTGATTCCTCTCTATTAAGATCCAGAAAAGTGGGTATATTTCTGTCTTGGTGTCAAAAGTTCCTACAAAACAAGTACTCTAATTATAATTTACTGATACCAGAAAGTCCCCTGTTTGACAGGTTTATTCTGTTTTTACTTTGGCCTCTAGAAAGCTACAGTTTTTCTACTATACATCTTTAAATTAACCTTTTTGTGAGACGTACTTCATGTCCCTACAATGTGGTGTTTCCATTTCTTTACAACTCTGTTTAACATGCTGTCTTGTGTTTGATGTATCATTGTAAGTGGCTTTAGAATGTTTTTTGAAGGGTAACAGAATGTAAGTAAGTAACTAATTAATTAATTGATGCCTTCCATTTGTTGGGCAATTCACACAGCGCCCTTTTAGGCTTATAGTCTTTACACTCACCGCAAGTCCATGAGGGAGGCTTTGTCATCTCAAATGCCCAGAGGAGGCACAGACTCAGAGTCTCAGTTCTGAGTTTGGGGTCACACATCTAGAGAGTGGGGGAGTTGAGTGGGGGGACATTCCTACCTTGTCAGACAGCTGCCAGGATGCGTTTGTGACCTTCTACTGCCATTTACACTCAGCTCAGAAAACTGAACCACTTGGACTGAGAGCCCTACAGTTTGGTGTGTAGACTTATGCTGTCTATACAGTAGCTACCAACCACTCGTGCCTGTTTCAACTTCAACTCATACAATAATAGAATAGAATAGAATAGAATAGAATAGAATAGAATAGAATAGAATAGAATAGAATAGAATACAATTTTGTTCCTCAGTTGCATAGCCACATTTCAAATGCTCATTATGTGGTAAGTGGTTACTATATTGGACAGCTCTGCTTTAGTCTATTTCTCTGGGGATGTTTTAAAGAATATTTTTCTCTAAAACATGTTTTGATCTATCAATAAGGGTTCTGTGGTCAAACAGGTTTGGTAAATGCAACATTTCATAGTATCTCTTGAATACTCATGGTGACCTACAACATATTAAAGAAATCTTGCAGTCGAATCGAGTTAACTGCATTTAAACAGCAGCTTCCAAGGTCATTTGATCAGGCAACCCTATTTCCTGCTGAGTCATTAACAGAGTTCTTTGGTACCGAGGTTGGGCAATTTGGATATGATTAAACCTTCATTTGTCCTAATAATGATTAGGAATCTTCTCTGGACTTCAACCACACAATAGAAAAGCTTTAGCATTCCCAGTAAGGATTTCTTCAAGTTTTCCTCATTCAGTTGAAGCAGGAAACTATCACCTTACCCAGGCGGTGCCCTCAAACATCTTGAGGTCCAGAGGGTCTCCCTGGATGGTCCCGTCCAGAAGGATCAAAGAGTGGCAGCTGGCCATGGCGGCACACAGAGGGCCCCACGGCAAAGCCCTGCCCGAGGCAAAGCTGTGGGCTTCCTGAAAACTGGTAGAGAAGATGCTTAACAAGTTAAGGTCTTCAACAAAACCATTTTGCACACCGCCCTTTAAATCTTACTAACACAGAGCTTTAATGGTACCTAACCTCTGTCCTGAACACCTTCGATACTCCCCAGGTGCTGTGCAATAATGTTCATGCTCCTGCTAGTCAAGGCTCCGTCTGCTCCAGTTCTACATCGCCTTACAGAGTCTACTCTTACTAGTGTCATTTACATAGTTTTTCCAGAGCCAAGTTAAACTTCTTGCTATTTTTATATTTGCACAAGTATTGCCCTGCCCTTCACCCTTTGGGGGGTTAGAAAGTATCAGCTCACTGGACTTCATCATGTTCTAACTGGAATATTCTGCCTGTAAATTGCTTTTCATAAAACTCTCCTTTGAGATGGATGTGAATTTCCTTTGCAACAGTTTGCCACTGGTCAATCAACCCTGTCGTTGTGTATATAGAATCACGGGGACTTGTGTCAGATTACTTGCAGCAAGCCCACACGACAGCAGTGTGGCGGGAAAGCACGTGTTGGTGAGGCTCAGAGCAGGTTCCTGTGAACTCCCAGAGCTGGCTCTAGAAAGCCACACAACCCGGGCAAGATGTCTCCAGGCCAGTGAGGTAGTGGGGATGAAAAGGAAGCCTGCCGGCCATTCCTTTTCTCTTCGAGTAAAAGCATGCACGGACTCTGAAATAGTTCTCAGCCCTTCGGCCTTTGCCCCTATTTCCTGAAACTCTTGGTAAAGACGTCCAGCATCTAAAGTTCATTTTCCTCTTTGGTGGTGGACTGGCTTTGTTTATCTTTATCGTCTCTAGTCTTAGAGCTAAATAGTCATTTTATCTAGTTTACTCTTTTATCTACGTTAAGATAAAAGAGTAAAGTAGATAGTCTTTTATCTATGTTTACTCTTTCAAAATTTTCAGAGTCCTAGGGGCAACCAGTGGGGAGGCAGGTGGAAAGTGCAAATATCCTTTTCTCCTTTTTATGACTCTGACCAACAGAAGCTCTGCTGTTTGGACAAAGACCTGGCCCAGGCATCTAAGCAGCCAAGAGCTGAGAGACAGAGTGAGGCTAGAGCCCAGTAATACACTGAGGCCCAGACCAAGGATCTGCTGCAACATGGCACTGCCTGCCTGTTGCTACTGTGTGTCAGTATTGCATCTGGCCCTGTCACCATCTTGAGGGGCCCCACTGTGACTTGTCTTCAATGACAGCAGCCGCAGCCACTGTTCGGAGCCAGAGCTTAGGAGCAGAAGCCTCTCCACTCAGACTAAGGCCTGGCAGGAGGGATCAAGAAGCTGTGGGGCACTCCCTGGGGGCAGCAGGGACACTCCTTCCACCCTCTGGCTCTGTTCTGGGGTAGCTTCTCTGCGATTGCCCTCTTGCTTTTAGCCCATGCCTGTAAAGATGCTAGCCACACACCCTTCAAAACCTCTCGTAAATGCTGTCTCCTTCATTTTCTTGATCTATTCATTTTCAAAATTAATTTCTTTTATCCGTTATAAAAACCAGGACTGTGTATTATATCAAGCAATTATTATTACTTCTTCTCTAGTCTAATTTTGTGCTGTAATGGCCACCCTTTTTGCAGCCTGTGTTACACACTGAAGGTGGGTGTTCGTACCTTTCACCCCATTTAAGTGGGAACTCGGAGGGAAGGGACAGAGCTCCTCTTTTCTGGATTCCCCGCCACACCAGCTGCCTAGGGAGTCTGAGCAGTTTTTGATTAAACACAATCCTGATTTCACTTCTCGCTTCTCTGTTTTATTCATTCAGCAACCCAATCAGCCAACTTATTCTGTTCCATTGTTCATGTAGAGTTTGAAGGTATACTTTTCCTGTCTGATTCTGAAATTAGAACTCATTTAATTAAAAAAATTAAAATAATTGGCAGCTGCTTCCAGGCAATTATTGTACATACTTTATATGACATTTATCCCTCAACTCTGAAAGGACAGGTTTGAGCAGCCCCAAGGCAGCCTCAGCAGTCACACATTCCTTCTTCACTAAGGTGCCTACCAGTTGTCTGCAGTGGGGACAGTCCCCCAGAGGTCCAGCCCATCTTCGGTAAGTGTGCCAGTCTAAGGGGGGAATTAGAATTGGTATTAGCATAAGATTTAGAGCTTTTAATTATATCATGACTTAATAAAAAACCAAGCTCCCAGGAAATTAAAGTAGATCTGATTGTCTAAAGCCCTTCTCTTTGTAAGCATCAGATGTTAGGTTAGAGAAGGGCCCCTGAGAAAACAGGTTCAGCAGGTGACAAATGATTCCCAAAAGACCGTGTTGATAATTAGAGTCCAACTACTAACCACCGCAACACGGTGGAAGTGGTTAGTTTTGGTGCACGAACGTTTGGCCCTGTTCAACTAGCGAGGTTCAGTGAGTGCACGTCTAATAGGAACCAGCTTTGGCTCTCAGGAAGCACTTGCTATGTTTCTGTAGCAGAGCTCAGATTTTTTTTTTGTCTTTTAAGATGATTTAGTTCACAGTCTTCCATCTGGTTCACACAATTTCCTAAAATATTGGTGACATGGTGACTTTCCAGATTGATAATAAAATGTTGCTAAAGGGCTTTGAGACTAAAAAGAGCAACAAAGTGCTAAACAAACATTAATTAAGTCTATGAATGAGTTTGATCAAGAGGAAAATAGAGGAGAGATTTGATGTGCTGTATTCTGAGTGTTTATCAGAAGACGTTAACAGAGAATTCAGAATAGAACTGAATACACCATAGCACTTTTAATTTGCTCATTGCTTCACAATTGATCCTTCATCACAGAGCCTAACGGTCTTTACCAGGTAGGCTAACAGCTGGAGGTCTGCTTAACTAACACCCAGCGGGGCGGAGGAGTTGGCTACTGCGGTGTCGACCCTGTCAAGGCGGAACAGAGCACTAGCCAGTGTCCAGGAATATCCTGTTTCAACACTGACACCCAGCTCTCCAACAGAACTTTTTAAAGGTCACCTCTGTATAGGATGCTGAATTTTGTAGTTTTTCATTAACTGACACTTTTTGTCACTACAGCACATCACATTAGCACAGGGTTTTACAGTGAAGTGCTCACAGTGCTTTCGACTCTTGCAGTTGAGTAAATAAGGCAGAGACAGTCTCAAGGCTGCCGGCGAGTGGAACAGCCTCAGAGCACAATGGCCCGTGAGTTGGAGAGCAAGTCCAGAATCCAGCCATGTACAGTCTTCTACTAGACCACAAATGTCAAGTGAATTTGGGAAAGCACGTGGAAGGATAAAGCTCATACTGATCTCCAGATTAAAGAATTGGGGGAGCTTCGTTTTATTAATTCAATTGGACTTTGTAGGAAGCTAACATATTTGTGTGAGTTACTCCTTGAAGAACAACAAAACAACTTGCTTCATTTCCCTCCTGTATTTTATAAGGGCCCCAACATGTATGTTTCCAAATCCCCTTGAGTTGTTCCATTCCAAAAAAGACTTAGCAACTTAATCTAAACTGAGATATTTTCCTGGTGATGACATTATGTCTTTTTAAAAAATATATTTTATTTTATTTTTAGAGAGAGGGGAAGGGAAGAAGAAAGAGAGGGAGAGAAACATCAATGTGTGGTTGCCTCTCATGTGCCCCCACTGAGGACCAGGCCCACAACCCAGGCATGTGCCCTGACTGGGAATTGAACAGCGACCCTTCGGCTCACAGCCTGCACTCAATCCACTCAGCCACACCAGCCAGGGAACATTATGTCTTTAAACACCATTTTTCTGAATATGAAAACAGAGATGATAAGGCAGCAAACAGAAAAAGGGCCATATTATTTGTCTGCTTAAAAATGACCATTATCCAGTAGAACTGTCCATCAAATAGAAAGAAAACTAAACTACAGTTGAGGTTCTGGAGAGAGTAAAATAAACTCAGCATAAATACTAGTGCAGGCTTCGCTGAATTGAATAGAAAACAGAGAACTTGTTTTAGAAAACTTACCACAAACCTACGTCAACTAGAGCTACACATGGGAACAAATGTACTCGGCGGCCCAGTGGCAAATATCTTCTAAAATGATACAGCACTAGATGGCAATTCAATTAATTGTAGAGTGCTCTATTCCAACATCACTCTGGTGCAGCTTAAAATGGCAAAGCCAGGAAGAAACTTAGAGATAATTGTAGTTCAGTCTTCTTATCTTCAAAGTCATGCAGAAACTTAGTATTATTTGGGATTACTTTTCCCACTTTGCCAGTTCCCAGTCAAGAGTTCTTTGCACTGTAACACAGCATCCTGCCAGCAGAGTTTGGCCAAGCATGCTGAGGAGTGGCCCCTAACAGACTGGCAAAGGAGCACATGGAGATGAGGAGGAAAGGCTTCACATGGGAACTAAGACAAACACCCTGCAGAAAATTAGGTCTAGAAATAGGCAAATATGTAATGGACATATTTTATAAATCTCCCTCTTATATTCTAGACACAAGTGAGGCTGCTGGGTAAGTACTGGGAATCCCTATCAGAATATCCAAAGGGCTGTTGTTACCTAGCCCTGAATCTAAAGGGAAGCAGCTAAGTAAATTCTACTGGTTCCTCACTGGTGGCAATAGAGGACTTTCTTTGCCAAAGGAAATTCAAAAAGAACAAAACTAAAATAATCTGAGATCTATGCCAATTTCAGCTGGGGATGAAGACTTGTCAAGTCTGCTCATGGTGTCCCTTCCGGTTTGTCCTCTACTCTTCTGCCTTGCCCCCATTGTCTAGGACAATGAGCGAGCTCTGCTGTTGCCCCCAGATAGCCTCCTGCTTCAATGATATCTCCCTTCTATCCCTTCTCACCAATCCCCCCTGTTGGAATAACTAAAACACAACTATAAAAACGTTGCTGGTCCCCCACTCCTTAGCTTCACACATCAGACCCTGAGCAGCTGGGCTCCCCCTCTCTGGCTGCATTGCCTGCAAACGGCCCACACCACAGCCTTGCCCGAGTGAACCTCATCTCCACCCCATCCATGCCTTCACACATCTATGCTTCTGAGCTGCTCAGCTCTGAGCACAGCCAAGATCAGAGGTGACCTCCCACCTGTGCCAGGTAACTGCACCTCATACCTGTATAAAACATGCATCTCACTACATTATCATTATCTGCATTTCTATTTACCTGCTTCCTCAGCTAGACCCTGAACTTCTCAATAGCCAGGAACATTTCTTTAATGATGCTCTCTGCCAATGTGAGTTAATTAAAAAGTGGCAAGGTTTTCACTGATTATTCAGATATAAATGAACTCAAGAGGTGGAGGGAACGAGCCAGGCCTGTTGCATTATAGCAGTGACACTGGCCTGCCTGAGCTGAGGGCAGGACTGAATGGCAAGCAGGCAGGTGACACAAAAGTCCCACCAGGTCCCCTACAGGAGAAAGAAGTGGTCTCGGGATCTGTCAGCAGGAGTGTATCCAATATGAACCTACTCCTCTTCTGCCACCTTTCCAAGGCCTAAAGCACAGAGATGACCTTCCCTAATCCTGAGTCCTGATAGCCCAAGGAGCAAATCAGAAAAGATAGGCCAGAGTGCATAATCACTGTCATGTCCACTCCCTCCCTTTCCTTAGAAGTAGACAAGGAGGGAGGAATATGTTCACTTAAGCTCAGGATAAGGCATTTCAGGGGAACAAAGGGTTCTTTATATATATTTTTCGTCTGAAAAAGTCAGGGAGTTCTACAAGTTATTACAATAAGAGATTTTTTTGAAACCCCAAACAGGAAAAAAATATTAAATTTCTCAGGATGGAAATTCATGACCGAATGAATGGCTGGCCCCACTCCCTCAGCACTCAGTAGACCAGGCTTCCAGAACATGATCTCGCACCAGCTCACTACGCGGCCTCCCCTGGCCTCAGTGCACCCATCTGGTCTGTGAGAGTGCCAGACTGGACATGCTCTGAGGCCCTTCCCCACCTTAAAACCATCAACCTCCAACCTGGAAAGCAGATCATACTTTGTCAAAGCACACGAGGTTTATCTGCCCACACATATTGATCCTCTGTGGGGAGATACAGAAGATCTTCTTTCTCATCAGCCTCTTTTGTGCGTACACGATGCCTGTGGTCAGGGCAGCTGGCAGCACCGGAGGGACTGTCACCGTGAGGAGAAGCAGGGCCATGGTTGCGGTATCTCTGGGAGGGACCTGGGGAGGGGAGGGACGTACAGGTTAGCCTAGCAGAAAAGGCTGTCACCCTTCCTGGCACCATCTCCTGCAACACCACCGGAGCTCTGGAAACTAAAGAATATTCCTAGTGAGTCTGCTCTCTTAGTGGGGCTGATTGTTCTCTTGGCTGTGCCTAATAAATGAACAAACTGTCTCTCACTACAGAACTAAGGAGACTCTGATCCTTACTCCATGTCCTTTTCTGACTCAGTTTTTTCTCCACTTAGCATTCCTTCCACTCAGAGCGCCATCCCTTCTCCGCCCATCCACATGCCCTCTGTACTCCCAGAGCGCTGGGACTAGTCTTGAGTAGTAACATTTCGAAAAGTGGCTTGGCTGTTGGATTATAAGTCTCTCTCTCCCTCTAGCCTACAAACTCCCTGGGCACAGCAGCTGTAGCTTATTCATCCTTGAATTTATCTTATCCATCTCCAGAGAGCTCAGCACAGGTTCTGCCTCGGAGGAGGTGTTCCGCACACACATTGAATGAACGGCAGCTTAACAAACACTATGACCGAGACTCGGACAAGATCTCAGTGAATATTGCGTGCTGGGGGGGGGCCAACAAGAAAAAGAGCTTGTGCTCACCAGACACACATGCTGGGACAGGCTCTGTGTTCAGCTACTTGCATTACTTAGTTTCTCCACAACTGTACGATGGAAATACCATTATTTTCTCTTAAGCACTTAACAAGTGAGGAAATCAAGGCTTAAATTATTTAAAACTTCCCCCAGGCCACAGGCTAATTAAGGGGAGGGGATCTGACCCCGAGGCTGTCTGACTCCAGGGCACAAACCCATAACCAGACTGTTGTATTATCAAGCCAGTGCTCACAGAGTGGAGATTTCAGGTAAATCTGAAGAAGTTCACAGGACTGATAAGGGCAGGGCCAAGATCAAATCACAGCGTTGCTTGTTATATTTTTCACATGCTCTAGATGTTAATGGCTCTATCCTCTCCAACCTTGCCTGTATTTTTATGAAATTAACCATAATTTTGGCGATAAAGTCCTCTTTTGAGTACTGGAATCACAGGTTCAAGTTCAATGGAAATGCTTGCTAGATACAGCTTTGGTCCAATCTCAGTTTATTACAAAATCCATCACACTCTGCTTCCCCCCCCCCCCCAGCCACAGAGCCGTTTTGACCCTGAGGACCCAGCTGTGTCTAAACCTGAGCCAATGCAGATAGAGGCAGCTAACAGCTCCACAGGTTTTGACCCACAAGAAGATGGGCTCTGTGATTAGCTTTGTTGCTTTGGTGCACATTGGATGTTGAGTCCTACCCACGAAAGCTTCCTTCCCAATCATTGCCATCGCCCCCTGGTCCACGAGACAAGGCATTTTGCCTATTTTCCTGCTCAACACTTCTGCTCCTGGATGAACTGGCACATTGCCTCAAAGTACAGCCCCACTGAATTCGACAATTTGTCTTGCTCTTTCAGAGTCCATTCTACTGGTGCCAGTTTGTTCTGGCCTCCTCTAGATGGGCTCCCTGGGGAGAGACTTTGGATTGAAATGACTACTCAGAGCTCAAGTGATAACATGAATATGGCCTAGAATTTTTGTGACTGTGTCTTTTCCCACCAATATTATCCCTCTCCCCTCCAACACACATGCTCAATGAACTGGATGCTTCCAGTTGGGACACTGTAAGTAGGTCACCCAGAGCCAGCTTCATGCCTATGTTTGAAACCTTTTATTCACATTTTTTTCTTCTTCCCTATGAGCCCACACTGCTGAGCTCCCAGCATATCTCACAGAAGAGACTGAACGCCTCATAAGAGAATCAGACTCTCAGGACCAGGAAGAACCTCAGAGGTCATTTGTGACAACCTTTCCCTCTCCCACCATCACAACTATTGAGAGAGAGAAATCCAAATGAAACAGATGCCCTGAAGCCTAAAGACAGTTGGCATCCAGGCAGCATGCACATCCTTAAAAGTAGACATTAAAGTTAATCTCTGAACCTAATGAAACACAGGATGCAACTTTTTGACTACATGGTATGTTGGGTATGCTCTGGACAATGTACACACTCAGATATGTCAACACTGGCTAATAGTTCGAATTTCTGGACATGACGTTCAAGATCTCTTTCAGCTGAATATCTATCTTGCTAGACTTCATCTCTTAACTGCTTGCTGGTTCCAGAAAACCCCTACACATTTCTTCCTTTGTGTTTGGTCACTCAAATTAGTATGCCCTTCCTGCTCTCTCATCTGATTCACTAAATCCTCCCCATCCTATCAGGCTTCCTCTGAGGCTATTTGAGCTCAGGTATCACCTTGCCACACATGCAGTCACCTCTCAGTCCCATCCAAGTGGTGACAAGAACTATGAATTTTGCAATGTTTTGTAGCTGTACCATCCAATATAATTTTCACTAACCACATATGGCTATTTAAATTTAAATTGATTAAATAATTGAATTATTTTCATTAATTGATTAAAATAATTAATGAAAATGAAGGAAAATTGAAATTCACTTCCTCACTTGCACTAGCCACAATTTAGGTGCTCAGTAGGTGCACATCACTAAGGGATTCCAAAGTGGGCGCGGTGTTTATACTGTACAGAGGGTTTCCATCACCCTAGCAGGCTCTGTGGGACAGCTGAAATTCACAGAATAGTGGGACTCAGGGGTAACCATATCTCACTAATCCTTTTCAGTAGGTCAAACTCCGGGACAACACTATAATATAAACGAGCCTTACCCCCAATACTTACTCCATGGTACATATACACACCAAGGGCATAGAAAAACCCCACAACTCCAAGGCAAGCCAGAAATACTATGAACTTGAAGGCATCACTGTATAGTTTGAAGTTCAGAGGCCGGGGGTAAAGGATGGATCTCACCAAGTCCCCTTTGGCTGTATTGTAACCTGCATGAAAATAGGTAATTACAGGCAGAGTAAGATCCTTTTACAGTTTCTCCCAAACCATGATTAGTTTACATTGAATTAAGGACTGGTTGACGGTCCTCTGAACATGGAATGAAAACAGCACTGCTATGACCTCATAGGGTATTTCCATTCATTGTCCTCACAGCTCACTGAGAACAATGAATAGCACTCCCTCAGCCCTGCTCAATTTCTCTTGCTCCTGGAGTCAGGGCATCCATCAGTGGCTCACATTGTGACACCCACTCATGCATGGCCTTGGGGGAAAGGAGAATAAGGAGCTGATGGACACAGTGGCCAGAGTAGGTGAGCTGCTGAGAAAGGAAGACTTTGAAGTGCAAATGTGTGTTGAAAATAATAGAAAATAAAGAGAAAAAGAAAACATAAGGCAAGTAATTTCTTAAATACATATATATGCCTTTGATCATGTCATTTTTATGCTCAGAAACCTACCTGAACCCCCATTTTCTATAATAAAGTTCACATTTCTCGGCATGGCATTTGAGGTCCCCTTAAATCTGGTCTATTCCTTCCTTGCTAGACTTATCTCCTAACTGTTCACTGGCCCCAGAAGACCCCTGTGCTTTCCTCCCTTTGTGTTTTGCAGACACAAACTAACATGTCTCTCTGGCTCTCTGAAATGATTAGCTAAACAATTCCTATCCCACCAGGCTTGGCTCAAAGTGCTACTTCATTGAATAACTTTTCCAGAGTTCTACTTTTGTACATCATATCAAAATTAATCTCTTCACTTTTTGGAGTCCCTCTAGCACTTGGCCATATGACATCCATCACTGCTCTGTTTTTTAGTCAGCTGCAAATCCATCTGTCTCCCACCCCATGCCATAATCTTTAAGGGCAACGAGTGAGTCCCTCATGACTTTTTTCTTTAGCCCTCAGTGCATAACGCTTAGTAGATACTCATTAATATTTAAAGTTGACTGCTATACATTCTAGATATGAGTCAGTGCCAGTATAAAACATGCCTTAGTGCCACTACTTGTTGAACATCTTGTCTCCTGAAACATGGCTTTGTAGGCTTTGGAGTAAAGAAGCAGAACTTTCTCTAACTTGTCACCTGAGCATCATACAAGCTCAGATCCTACAGTTTATATGATCTCTACCCATTTGCTTCTGCTTATCAATAGGCTGAGAGATCCTCTCTTGCCTGCTGATTACTTTAGACAAAACTTCACTTTTTTTAGTTAAACAAAATTAGGTGGAACAATTGAATCATAACCCAAACTAAAGTGGAGATATATCAAAGTGCAAGGTGTGTTTTATATCTGTGAATATGTCGGTGGCAGAAACACAGGTCAGGGGTGAATGCCAGAACTGGGACAGAGCATGCAAGGTGCTGGCTGGGTGATACCATGTGAAAGTGGCGACTGATTCTAATACACTTGAAAAGTTTTTGAATGTAATGTTCATAGACTGCTTCAAATCATGTTTTATACATGTGACTTGGTGGCAGATTGAGGAGGAATAGGTTAGAGAAAGGTTGGACAAAATACAAGAAAGATACCTGAGGTGAGAATTGAAAATGAACAGTCAAAAGAATGTTTCTGTTGTAATAGTTTAAGCAGGCATGATGAAGGCTTGGACAAAGTCAGGGTGAAGGGGAAGGAGAGGGAGACAGGACTCAGGAGGTAGTCTTAGAATGGCCGGGATGTGCCCTGTTTGGTATGGAATGAAGTGGGGAGTAAAGATGACATGACGCTAGCCAGATGGTGCTGTTGTTAACAGAAAGAAGTGATAGAGGAGAATGTGTTCACGTCCAGACACCTTGACTTTGAAGTGTCTGTGGGGCACCCAAGCAGAAATGCCCAGCAGGGACCTTGACGTTAAAGCCTGGCAAGCAACTGGTTGAAAGGAAAATGTCCTCAAGTGACAGCGGTTGAAACTGTCTTCTGGGTAATCACTTAGAGTGGGTACAGAAAAGAGAGGGTGCCTAGGGACACAAGAAAAAAACAAAAACATGGTTTTGGCTTTGAGGATATATGTACTTTACCCCTGTATTTGCTTCATCATCTGCAAGGGTTTTAATAATGAATAATTCAGTTAAAAATGGTGGCAAAATTGTGGCAACTTAGAATAATAAAGGCTTGATTGGAAATGAGTGTGGCTGTTATTACCAGGAGGTGGTAAACTCCATAATCCTTAATAGGTTTCCCCAAATCCAACTCCCCCACCTTCAATCATAGACTACATTTGTGAAAATGGAATTGACTAACCTGTTTGCAAAACAACCGCTTTTACTTGTCCCTGTGCAGAAGGCTTGACCTGGACCACTTCTGTTCCACAGAAAAGGACGTGCTTCCGATAGTCCTCTGAGCTGTGGGCTTTCCAGGGCATTGTATTCTCCATAGCAGGCAATGGTGTCTTTGTAACAGGTATACTCTCTCCTAGAGAAGATTATATTTTCTGATTCTGTGCAGACTGTAGCTAGTTATTTAGAGTGGGTGCTTGCTATTTTCAAGAAAGTATACAAACCACAGCTAATCCCGTCTGAATGACCATCCATTGGGTCAGATGATTATTGTTAGGGATGTTGGTGATGCAGAGCATGGTGCACTTGATTATATTTCAACTATTTATTTAAGACCTGCCTATCTTTTCCACACCTGGCCTACATGGTTTGCTGTTATAATTTTTAAAAACAGCCTATTTTAGTGAAAACAGTTGTTATAATCATTCCCACAAGTGTTCTAAAATTAAGCCCAACACTACTCTAGGCAATAAAGGAGCAGTGAAGCATGTATATAATTACTATTGTTTGCCCTTCATTCACCTATTTATCTGTCCATTCATTCATTCAGTGCTATTTTTAAGTGCTTACTCTGTGCCAGTCATTACTGTAAGTGCCAAGAACATAATAATGAATAAGACAGATAGAAGTCCTGCCCTCATAAAGCTCAGGGAGTCAGGAAAGTAAACAGCACTAAATATTCAAACACAATAAAGTGAATATTTTGATGGTAGTTCCACATGGTCTGAAGATTGCACTTAAACTGAAGTGAGAGATTTCCTGGATGATTAGGAAATGACGATGTCAAAGGAGAGTGAGGCCAGCCAGATCAAGCAGAGCAAGGAGAGAAAAGTGTGCTTGGATGAAGTGAGGGAAAGAGCATGGTGTGCCCTGGGCACTTGACTGTTGAGGTTGTTTAGAACACTGATCGTAAAGGTAGAGGGAAGCAGTTCAGGAGTAGAGAGATGAGTGAGAAATGATACCTTCATAAAATCTGTAAAATACTCCTCATGGTCTTTTGGAGCTGGAAGTGAAAGATAGAAACCAATATAACAAGACAGGAACTTCTCTTTTCTCCTGAATGCCTTCTCAGCTCTAAACTCATGAACTAGCTCTTAACTATGTAGATACATCGGTAATAATGTCTATCTTCATATTGCCTCTCTCCCCAGCTCTTGTTTTGTGTATCCCAACTGTGGGCTGTTCCTCCCAGCCTGGACATCCTTCTCAACTCAACAAATCTAAAGTCCGTATCAATATCTTTAACCTTAAACTTCCACTTGGCTTTCCTATCTCTTTATGGCACCATTCTATTTCCAAGCAGCAGTTTTACAATCCCCAAATCATCTTTACTTCCTTCTCTTCCCATACTCTGCTCCACTCTCTCATGAAATCATTCCCCAAGCCCTGCTGCTTTTCCTTGTGAGTGTGCCTCACTGGGTCCTTCCTGAACTCTTGCATCCAGGTCCGAATGACTTCACTGGCGATTGCTGTCTGACTCACAGTAGTTTCATTAACAACGGATCAGCTGTGATTTGTTTGCTTTTTTGAAGTACAAACACATTCTCTGGGTTATCTGAGGTTACAGTGGGTGTAATTTATCTTTTTTATTAATAAATTCTCAACCACAATCTGCCTTGACTTTCCGAGTTAAAAAAAAGCCTCCAATCCTTCTTTCTATATTTCTCCTTTACTCTCATGCTACTACCATACTCACAACACTTCTGACCCCACAACAAGCAATTCTTTGACACGAGCTGGTTGTCCTACAATTTAACTCAATTCAACTCACTTACGACACTGTCTACCTAGAGATAGCACCCAATCCCACAGGTTAGGAGCTCAGTCCTGCAGGACTGTTCCCGACTCACTTCAGACACCAACTGCAAGTCTATATTGTCACCTGTGCTTCTGACCAATGTATCTGAGGTTCCCATTACACCCTCTTCTGGGGTTTGGTTATTTTGCTAAGTGGCTCCCAGAACTGAGGCAAACACTTACATTTACCAGCTTATTAAAGAATGTGATAAAGGATACAGATGAACAGCCAGATGAAGAGATACATAGGGTGAGGTCTGGGACGGCCCCTCGTGCAGAAGTTGGGGTGCATCACTCTCCTGTAAGGAAGGTGTTCACCCACCTGGAAGCTCTCTGCACCTATATCGTTGGGATTTTATGGAGGTTTCCTCATACAGGCGTGATCAATTGATCAGCTCTGTTTCCATCCCCTGTCCCTTCTCTGGTGGATGTGGGGCAGGTGGCTGGAAAGCCCAAGATTCTAACCATGGCTTGGTCTTTCGGGTGATCGGCTCCCACCCTGGAGCCCACCCCAGTCCCCTTACGAGAACAAAAAATGCTTCTATTAGTCTTATCACTTAGTAAATTATCATAAGGATTTCAGGGGTTTTGTGCCATGAACCAGGGATATATGTAAGTAAATGTATATAAATTATATACTATATATTAAAATATAAATTTAATTACAATTTAATATACAATATAACATATTGATGTATCGTATTACATTATCATACAATATAATAAAGTATATTATTTATTATTGTATCAACAGATAGTTATAATTTATAGTTTTATGAAGTTATAAATTATATGTTTTATATGCTATATAAGTTATATACTTATGATTTATATGTAATATATTTCTATAATGTGTAAATTTATATAAAGCATTTATATGAAATATATAAATACCTACAATATATAGAGAGAGATTTATATCTCTCTATATCTACAAAGGGATTTTTTCCTATTATGTCAAACCTCTGAACTGGTCTCGCCACTCCAGCCCCTCCCCTTTACTCATTCCACATTACTTCCAGATAAAACCTATCAAAGACCCCTTTTATCATCTTATGTTTTTTTTCTCAAAACTCCATAGGCTTTTCCATTGCCATTACTAACAAACTACAAACTCCCTTGCTAGATTGTCAAAGCCACCATGTCTGAGCATTACTGGCTGCTATTTCCAACCCGAACTCCAGCTACCTGAGGCCGCTTGCACATCCTATTATTATTGACCCTCAGGCTTTGCCGGCGCCTTTTCTCTGCTTTCTCTGATGGCTGGAAGGCAGGCTATTTAACATGCAAGGACAATTAGCTTAGGATTCAAAAAAGATACATTTTGGCCACAAAATAAAAAAGTTAATAATGCATCCTGGCTCCCAGATTTAAGAAACAGTAGAATGAATTTAAATTCCACCAGTCTTGTCCTAAATGTTTAATTAGCAAGAAAACATGTCCTGTTCCTAATTTGAAAACACTATTATATTGATTATAGTCATACAACTTTAGGTTCTATCACTCCCTCTAGGTCATAACTGAGGGCAGGGGTTTTAACATGTATAACTTTTTATATTCCTCATCCTCACCACTGTATGTAATAGGTTCAAAATACTTGTTTTTGCTGAGTGCTGGATTGGTAAAAACAATTACCCAGGTTTTTTTACGACTGGTCATTCAAAAACTAGCTTTCTACCATGTACCAAAAACTCGGTATATTTTTCTACTTGTACCAAAAACTAAGTACATTTTTCTACTTGTACCAAAAACTAGGTACATTTTTTACATCCTAAGGTGCAAGAAGCTATACAATTTTATTCTCGATCCTGAATATTCTTCAGAAAATTCCTTTCTCTGAGCACTATTCTTGTCATTTTCATTAGAACAAGTATGGTATCCATCCATCATGTAGGTTTATCAATTGGATTCTAAATGGCTTTGTAAAAGGGATAGAAGCTCTTGACAAATCTCCAAACCATTGGGCCACATTGTTTTTAAGTCAGCCTTTGTAAAGGCAGATACTTATAGATGATTACAAATGTTGCTCTACCTTTATCAGAGAATAGTAACCCACAATTTACAATTAACCTAATGTTAATGAATCGTTTCTGCACACAAAACCAATAGTATCAGAAACCGGTAGCTATTCAGTCACCAGAGATGGAAGTTGTTGGAGATAGTGCTCCGGAGATAAGGTTCGCATCAGATGTTTTCGCAGTCTCTTTTTCCCTATTCCCACGTTAATAAGGAGTCTTGTGCTTGGACTTTCTTGGTAACCCGAGAAAGAATAAACTCTTCTACAAAAGTCTGGAGGTCTCAGCAGGCTAGCGAGGATTTCAAAAAGAAGTGACACGCACCATCCACTGTTCAGTTTGTTCCAGGACCTGGAGGCCCTGTCTGCCGTGAAAGGGAGACTCTCTCCCTTGTCCCCAGGGAGCCAGCCGCCTCTGCATGAGGACAGTGATCGAAATGCCATGTCCATGTTTGTTTGTATTTCTGGGACCACTGAGGGCAGGGACTATTCCTCACTTATCTTGTTGACTTTAGCACACAACACAGTGCCTGACACATAGTAGGCATTGCCGAATCTTTATAGAGTCAATGGATGAGCGAAAGAGTAAATGAAAGAAAAGGAAGAAAAAAGAACTCATGGACATGGACAACAGTGTGGTGACTGCAGGGGGGCAGGTCAGGGAGGTGGAAGAGGGTATAGGGGCCAAATGGTAATGGAAAAATACAATAAAGTACTGAAAAAATAAATAAACTAATAAAAACATTTTAAAAAGAAAAGGAAAAAAGGGTGAGAGGAGAAAAGGAAGGAAGAAGAGAGAAGACCTGACCTATCAACCAATTATGAGCTTATTTGATAGGATATAAATGTGAACTAACCACTTAGGGAAATTCCTAGGTTCCAACTTGAAGCAGAGCATACTTTCCACAGGCACATTCCAAACAAGGCAGTCATTCTAAAGCACAGAGGGAGAAGGAGGAGATGAGGGCAGGGTGGCTATTACCCCTCTCACCCACCATTATCCACAAGAGAATGAGGAGCCAGTAGTTATAAGCAGAGGTTCTGGGGTTAAGACACCCTGGTTTAAGTATTTCATTTTTTTTCACAGAACTTAAAACTGTTGGAAGCTTATGTTATTTGCTTATTTTCATATCTTCTGTCTCCCCACGATAATGTCAGTTTCAGGGGAACAGAAATCCTATTTGCCTCGTTCACTGCTGTATCCCTAGCGTCCAGGAGCGTGTCTGCTCCAAAGTAAGGAGTAACAAAACATGTGTGGAATGAACAAACGAATGAAGGAAGAAATGAATAAACAAGTGGATTCAAATCTCAGCTTGACTACTTTTAAGCTGTGTGACCTTAGGTAAATTACTTACCCTCTCTGGGCTTTATATTTGCCCACCTTTATAGGGTTGTGGATTGAAAGAAATTATATATATATATATATATATATATATATATATATATATATATATATATATAAAACATGTTGCACAGTGCCTAATAACATGTAAGAACTAAGTATAATTAGCTATTGTGCTAAGAGAAAACTTCAAAATAATAGTAGAATTTCCCCCATGGTATTCCTTTTTGCCAATTGATCACCTTGTGAGGAGCTAGATCTTGAAAGAGATCATTGCCTCAGGAGGAATTTTAAAAGGACAGAGGAGTTGAAAGCTAGGTTTTGGGTTTCAAAAGTCATTCGTTAGTGTGATCAGGAGTTTGAGAGACTTCTCGGGAGTAAAAACAAAGCTATCTCATTCACCACGCCCTTCTACTCCTTTTCTAGCTAACTAGAAATCCCTGGGCTTGTAGTTGAAAGGAAATCCAAAGGAAACTCAAATCCTGTGTGTCCTTGACACAAGGTAGAAACATTCTGGAAGCTTGTGGAAACTGAGAGCCAAAGGCACCTGGTTTTGCCTCCTTTTCCAGGTACATAGGCCTGCTTCAGTTCCCAAGTCCAGAGTGAAGTGGGGGCACCAGAAAGAGGGGCTGCCCTTCTTCCGAACCCCCTCCACATGCCTTGCACACATCAGGCAGCCAGCCCAGACCTGGAGGACCTGCACACCAATGGGATAGCCGTCAACTTCTACCAGCCACTCCACACTGCACACTTCCAAGGGTGGTGATTCTTGGAGCCAATGTAAAAATGAAATGTAGTTATAAAACAAAGTGGAACTTCTTGCATAGTCAAGAACGAGGCTAAGGAGATGAGGAGGAGGAAGATCTTGTGACGGGCACGTGCTACAGATAGGAATACCCAGTGGAAGAGAAAGGAGATGAGGCACAAAAAATGACAGCACAGTGTCACTCCTCTTAGAATCACCCTCCTCTCTCCTATGGTCCCAAATGTCACCTCTTGTTCTAATTCTCTCACTCACTCTCTGAGCAGCCCTGCCCCCTTCACTTCAATTCCCTCATCTGTAAATGGGGTATTATAATAACTCCTACTGTAATTTGCCTTGTGTTACAATAAAGTGAGATATAAAAGTTATTTATAACATGTAAACTGCTATATAGATACTGGGAGTATTTACTGTTCTGGTTCTTGCATAATTAAAGACTTCTCTATATGTAAAGGTCTATTTTGCATATGGAGGAAAAATACCTGAGTCACATTTGTAGGTAAATGCTCTAGGAATACACTTTCAGGTTTAGGACTCTAACCCCCATCTGTTTTTTTCAGTCAGGGTCCTTTTCACAAACGTGTGCATGAGTGAAAGGATCTATGTAGGCTGTAAAATCAAGTATTCAGAGCATGGTGGTACTTAGAGCTTTTTGAAGAAATGAACAAGAAAGAAATACTTCTGTCTTATGTGTCTGTCTCTGAAATCAACTTTTATCAGTACTTAGGTGACATAGATATTAATTCTGGTGACTTTATTTTTCCAGAAACAGCCCTAGAGAAAGCCACTTATGATTTAAGTTCATTTTAGGTCAGTTTTGCACATTTGTAGAAAAAGAGTCTTGTTTACCCTTTCTACTTCTCTGGAACTCTCTGAGTTTTCCCCAGAATCAAGGCAAGAACTGTGCACCTGCGTCAGACTCGGGGGAGCAAATCCTGCTCCCCACCCTCCCTGTTTTCTTAACCCATGTTCTCTGTCCCCAACGAGAGCAGCCATTCTTCACTGTCAGGCTTCTGGGAAGCATGAGGCAGTTGCTGCCTTTGAGTGAGGAGGACAGTTCTCAGGCCCGAGGTTTGCACGTTGGGTACTATGGCAACACTCTGGATGGAGGATATGATTAGTATGCAGATCCTCATCACTGTCATTATAAGAAAGTTAGATTTCAGCACATTAAAGGGGTATTTTGCAATTACACTGAACATATTTATGTTTACCACACTTTCTTGTCTCAATTTTAAATTAAGCAGACCCATTTTTAATTTGAAGTCTGCTTGTGTTGAACAATTTAGGGGTAGATAATGACTGCCTTTACATTTAGGTGATATTAAAAAGGAGAGAGAGAGAGAGTGTGTGTGTGTGTGTGTGTGTGTGTGTTCCTGCCTTCAGCTATTTGGATATCGAAAAATGCAACAATTTGTAAACACAAAAGACAAATAGTTTCTATTTTTGTGTTGCTGTGTAGTCTCTTCTTCTGTCATTAGGATATTCTGTGTTGTTGTTGTTGCTTTGCCTAAAGAATATTTTGCAAATAGTGCCTTACTAATTACACAGATTCCATTGGATTTTACAAGTGGCAATGAGAACAAGGACAGTTTAAACCACAGCTAGAAAACTGGCTTTCTGCTCGGTGAGGTCACCTAGAAATCACATCCTAGAGAACAGAACTGCTGCACCACTTTTGCCGGAGGTTCCACCCAGTCTCCTTCCCAGTGACACCTGGGACTCGGGCTTCCACGCATAGAGAGCAGGGCTGGATGCGCGAGGCGCTCTGACTGCTGTGAGAGTGGTAGGCTTAGGCTGTGTTTTGTTTGGATAAAAATAAAAACTATTCTCTTATTTATGAAGAAATTGTGCATCAGATAGTGTAGTGGTCCCACTCTCCTCAGAACCCTGTACACCCTATTCAGCCCGCCCATCAGGCTGGATTCTTTCATTGTTAAATGTTTCCTAGTCACATATATTGTGTCTCCCTCACCCATCTCTCTATACCTTCCCCTGGGCCTGGTATAAGCAGGTAAGTATATACCGATCTGCTTTGCTAACACTTGGCCTAGATTTTGGACAGGAAAGAAGAAGCTCCATGGCAACTGCCTACCTGTGAGCATGCCTTCATTCACCACACAGCTTCCTTCGATCAGAACAGCATCGCATGGCAACGAAAACCTTCCTGGGAGAATAAGGACATCTCCAGGAACCAAGAGGTGGGACTCCAGCTCCTGCAAACCTATACAACAGCACAGTGTTCATGACTCTGAGCTTTTCCTGTGTTTACTTTAAAGTGAAAGTGACTGAAAACTCTTGTCAGCCTGTTGGCACTGACTGCCCTGTGTGCTCACCTGCACCACTCAACCCGATCCCCAGAAACCAGGGTTGGGGAATTGATTCCTGGGCCATAGCAAAGGATCAGCTCAGCAAACAAGACTCCACCTTGACCGTAGTCCCTGGGACAGTGCTCTGCCCACAGCAGACACTGCAGGACCTTGCTCAACAGCAGACTGCCCCCTTACTCTCTTTGGCTGAGTTCCTGACATATTGTGGCACACTGTGTCCTTTGAAGGAGACCTAAAGGGAAACGTCTGCTGCCCTGGGGTACAGCTCCTCCTTGCTCACGGAGAGCCATGACCACCTCCCTCCCCCCAGGCGACATCAAGAGCAAATGCCAGTGTCCAACTAGCCATCTACAAGCCTCATTCAAGCTTTCATTCTGGTTAGATCAAAATGTATATATAACGCAGGGTCTGTTTGGTATGCTTAGTTAGGGAAATCAAAAAACCACAAGAAGGCTTAGCCAGTAACATTCAAATGAGTAAAATATGGAGTGCAGAGAAAATTTGAAGTAACCTACACACTGCAGGACAATGGTTTAATCAAGGCTGAGATGAGAATAAGCCATGCAAGATATGTAAGGTACAAATTTCAACAAAGTCCTCATTCTCAGCATTCCTGCAGGTATAGGTCAGCCTTTGCATGATCTTGTCTTCCTAACTTTTCATCTCAGATACCCTGTTTGCCTCACTTTGGCCCCATTCCTGGGTTCAATCAGCAAAGCCTGTTTCTCATGGACTAATAGCAATAAATGAGGTGGAATGCACCCTGAAATATTAGGATGCTAAAGATGGCAGAATACATATCTCTTACCTTTGCCTTTTACAGTGATTGTAACCTGGACTTTGTTGTGATCCTCCACAAGGTTGTGCAGCTTCACTGATTGCTGTCAATCAAAAGTCAGCATTTAAATGTTAGTCCATAACCGGAAAAGCACATGATCTCAAATTAGCGAATGGCAAACTGATTCTGAGCAAAGACTCAAGTTCCGCCTTTGATGCTCCTGCTTCCCTTCTCCAACCCCTAGTTTATCGAGCTCCCTATTTGCAGAAGCAGAAATGTTCATTAGTTTAATGCTATTTCAATCCAAGGAAAAATAATGCACAGCCACTGTCCCTAAGGACCTGAGCTAAGGCACAGAGGCTTCACTCCTGGAGGATGTTGGGTTAGACTGGGGAAGAAGGAGATCACACACAGGTCACTTCCCCCTCTGTGCCTCTGTTTCCCTGCCTGTAAAACAACACAGCCAAATGTGATTTGTAAGTGACATGCCATTGTGAGAATCTGTGAAGACTCTTGTTGTGTTTGGACTGCATGGGGAACAGGCATCCCCTCCTTTACGACCTGGTGGATTTGCATGTTGGGTAAGTCTGCAGAGTGGAGCCACGCCGCTCTGCTGACATCCTGATGCTTTCTCTTATGGGTTCTTTAGCTTATTTAATGCCCTTTTCTGCATCTGAAACTGGAGCTCACTATATCTATTTTATAGAGTTGTTTTAGTTAGTTAATCTTCACCTTAATTATCCCTTTGAATGGTACTGACTACTAAGGTAAGAGCTCAAAGAGTGTTAGCGATTAACACGTTGTTGGAAAAACAGTTCTCTGAGTATACCAGCTGGAAAAATTTGCTCGAGGTGGAATTCACTGAGGTATGACCCTCTGCAAAGCAGAGGAAGTGGAAGCATCCTGTACAAGTAGAGGCAGCTTCTCCTAGATTACTCAAGAGATAGGAAGGCAGAGGTGAGAGGACTGTGTTGTTCATACAGTTCCCCACACCGACTTTGGCGCCATCGGCCAGAGGGAGTGGGTTGCTGGCCCAGCGGGGGCCTGGAAGGCACGGCCCATCTCTGTGGGTGTCAGTTACTGGGTACCTCTAAGAAGAAGAGGTCTGAGTACTGTCAACAGGACTTAAACACAGCTTGAGCTAATTCAAATATAAACTTTTTCCTTTTAGATGTTATGGTAAATTATTTTTATCTGTTCTCTGGATGATTTTTAACATTACAAATGTCACCAGGCTAAGACAAGCATTATACATAATTATGCAACTTTCCTCTTGAGAAAACATAATGAATTCTGTGTTAATATTTATATAGAACAATTTATTATTTATTTCAGATTTGTATGAAAAGCTAAACTTCAATCATTTGGAGCAATTGAGTGGAAAGAGTGATATTACCATTAGGCACATACTCACGCCCTAACTAGCATGCCTTCCTGAGGCTGGCCTGTTGAGACATTCATTTCTTTTTTTTTAATTAAGATTTTATTTATTTATCTTTAGAGGGGAAGGGAAGGAGAGAGAGAGAAATATTAATGTATGATTGCTTCTCATGTGTCCCCTGCTGGGAACTGGTCCCTGCTAGGAACTGGCCTGCAACCCAGGCATGTGCCCTGACTGGGAATCGAACCACGATGTTTTGGTTCGAAGGCCTGCACTCAATCCACTGACCTACACCAGCCAGGGCTTGGAACATTCATTTCATTGATAGATAACAGTGAGGAAGTCAGCGGTGGCCCTGTGGCTGGAGCACTGTATTCTGTCAGGATTCCCGAGTTGTGGTTCAGGCTTCCCCATTAACCAGTTATGTACTAGATATCAGAAATTTCACCTTGTAAATTAGTTGTTTCTTATGTAGACAAATTAAATTGGATCATTTTCCAGTTTCCTTCAAGCTCTAAAATGGCATTGTATTGATTTATTTTGTATGTCAGAGTTTTATTAAAGACCTCCAAGACTTCATAGAAGAAATACCCAGGGTAATAAAATGACTTGAATTATCATTCTCTTTTGGAAGTTTAAAACTTGTCATACAACTACTTTGTGCCAGGCACTATTATAAGCACTTGGAATATACTGATTGATTTTTTTGATTTTTAAAGTAATCCTATGAAGAAATGTTATTATCTCCAATGTACATATAACAAAACAAAAGCAGAAAAAACAAGGGTTTGAAAACGTTCAAGTAACTTACCCACAATCATATACTTACTAAGTATTAAGAATGACAATCAAACCCAGTTCATCTGGCTCTAAAGCCTTTTCTATTGATGAATATGTTTTCCTAAAGTGCTTGGAAAGAGCTCTTTTTCCTTTAAGAAGATAAACATCCTTCATGAGAAATTTTTTAAAGTTATTTTCTTGCTTAGCAAACTCTTTTAGTCAATGACATGACAACTTCAACCTAGCTTAAGAGGATGATAATGAACACATTTGAAAGTGATGAAGTACAAGTTAAGAATGCTTGACTGTAATTCTCAGTACTCATTATGGCATGAAGCTGAATTTGTTTATCAGACTTAGCATTCTTTAGAACCTGCCTTGCTCCCATGACTTTGCTCGAGCTACTCCCTAGCATGTTCACCACAGTTTTCTACCAGCAAACTCTTGCTAATTCTTCACATGAAGCCCTGCTCCAATGCCACCTTCACTCTGAAAGTCCCTAACGTCCCCAAGAAGGATGGATTGCTCTGCTCTCTGTGCTCCCACCTGTATTACTGTACTGATCGCATTCCATTACAGCTCTCTGTCCCTTTGTCAGGGCTCCCCTGCAGGTCCTGCACTTCAAAGAAGGAACCATGTGTTCACCTATGTATCCCCTGAAGTTTATCACATAGTGGTCCTCAGAAAATATTTCTTTAATAGAACTGAATTGTTCTACTTCTCTGGCAATATTGGAATAGGATAATGTAAGCATCGTCTTTGAGCTAATGTACTCAGAAGCTCTACAAACACAGGTTTCCATGACAACCAACCAGCTAGGAGAAAGCAAGTGCTGTGATGCTTGCCTGGTTTTGAAGCCAGCTACCTCATTGTCATTAGGCCCTCTCTGGTTCTCTCGTCCCTGTTCAGTAGGACCAGAATCAGTTTCCAAGACTAATTTTCAGAGTGTTATTATTTGGCATTTGTTGCTGTGCTTCCTTGTGTTTGCTGTGGCCGGATTTCCTCCAGAGATGAGTAACAAGGTCAGGTGATTCCTGAGCCTGGCTCCGTCCTGAATGACGCAGAATGGGTTGGATACTCTTGTCACTATTTCTAGCAGCCACCCGTGGAGCCAGCAATGGAGAACGTGATACAGTTCAATAGAAATACAGTTGAGTGCCAAGGTCTACATTGAAACCTGTACCAAAGTGGTTGGAAAGGGACTGCACAGGGTGTTTCTGGCTTATACAAAATAAGATCTCTCTGTGCAGGCTGATTCAGGGCTACATGAGATGCAGAAAAATATTTTACTCCACTCCAGTCAACACCCCCCTCCTTATAATTTTAAAAAGCGCATATTTGTTTAGCATGGTAGGTAGGAGGTGGAAGCACACACTCCTTTATTCCTACCAACACCCTTCCCCAAATCTGCTTTTGTTATAAAATTACCAAACAATCATTTATGACCCCAAGGAAGCTCGTGGGACTCTTTGAAATTGTGCTCAATGAATGTAACATTGTAACCGTGGGAAATCGTAGCTCACCCCACCATTCTTTTGACATTGTTTCTGTAACTGCTGACTCTAATATGTAGCTTGTAGATAAACAGCATGTTTATATAAGACTCCTAGCAAAAAACCTCAGAGAACACAGACTCTGACCTTTATTTAGGCAAGGCATGCCAGCTCCAGGAGATTTGGGGATCTTCATCCATGGAGCCAGGATGACGTGAAGTCAGGATGCTACACACAGGGCCGTCTCTTGCCTTACAAGAATGGACTGTGCTTGTCTGCATGTAGAGAACTTTCAACCCCCTCCCTTGATCTCTTTGTTCTGTTCCTCTCCCCCTCCTTATAAAAACCTTTGCCTCCATTCAGAGGTAGAAATGGGCTTTGAGACAAGACTCCCCCATCTTCCAGGTGGGAGGCACCTGAAAATAAACCACTTTCCTTTACATCAGCACCTGCCTCTTAAGTTTTGGCTTCCATAGCAGCAAGCAGCCAGACCTGCATTCAGTTCCAGGACAGTTTGTTGTTCTTGACCTGGAGTCAGGAAACTTGTGGCCAAGATCTAGGGTATGAGCAAGTCACTTCACCTCTCTGAATCCCCTGTCCTTCCTGTTCAGGTGATGGAAGGTAGAACAATTGTGCAGGTATTATTTTATGTTTGCTATGCCCCACACAGCACAAACATTATGGATGAGGGAGCCATTCCAAACTATAAAATGCTAAGTACATATTGACTGTTGAGTATTTGTGATTTAAATTGCAAAGATACAGTTTCAGGAAGCTGGCCCTTTTTGTTTAGTGTCACAAGATGCTCTACGGGTTAGGTTGGATAAGCTTCTATTTAATAAATACTAACTGCTAATAAGATTAGTGTCTGCTTCTTGAAAAAGTCTTTTGCAATACTGCCATCAAATCTGCTGTTCCCAAGTTAGTCAGTGTTTTGAGCACAGGCATTCGGAATTCTGTTAAAATATAGATCTTAAATGTTTAAAGTACTTTTAAAAAGGATTTGAAAATAAATATTTAAAAAGTTACAAATAGAAAAAAGTTGTAGAAGAGGACACATGTAGAAGCAGATCAGGAAAACCAGAAACCATAAAGAAAAGAGAAATATATTTGATTAGACACATTTTAAATATCTGACCAATGTCAAGGTCAAGAAAAAAAAAAGACTAAAAAATCAAAATTTTCACCCTGACTGGTTTGGCTCAGTGGATTGAGTGCCAGTCTGCCAACCAAAGGGTCACCGGTTTGATTCCCAGTCAGGGCACATGCCTGGGTTGCAGGCCAGGTCCCCAGTAGGGAGACACATGAGAAGCAACCACACATTGATGTTTCTCTCCCTCTCTTTCTCTCTCCCTCCCTCTCTCTCTAAAAAACACATAAATAAAATCCTTTTTAAAAAAGTTTTTTCCACATACCTGATGAATATAAAGAGGCAGTAAATAGAAAAAA